CCGCACGCTTGCCGACCTCGAGCTGATCAGCCCCCGCGACATGCGCGATCTCCTGCAGTGGAACCGCACGATCCCCAACGCCACCGAGGACTGCGTCCATAACCTCATCGCCAAGAACACCATGCTGAATCCGACCGCCCCGGCCGTGTGCGCCTGGGACGGCAACCTCACCTACGCCGAGCTCGACCAAATCTCCTCCAAGCTCGCCGCCCACCTCATGAAGTCCGGGGTCGGGCCCGAGGTGTTCGTCCCGCTGTGCTTCGAGAAGTCCATGTGGACGATCGTCGCCATGCTGGCGACCATGAAGGCAGGTGGCGCGTTCGTGCCCATGGATGCGTCGCAGCCGTCCAGCCGCATGCAGCTGGTCGTTCAGGAGGTCAACGCGCATGTGATGCTGTGCTCGGAGGAGCAGCTGGGCCGGTGTCCGGGGCTCGTCGAGAAGGCGATCGCCGTCGGACCGGGGATGGCCCAGGCGTCGATGCCCCAGATGTCACAGACCCCTGTCACGCCGTCCAACGCCGCGTACGTGATCTTCACCTCCGGCAGCACGGGCACGCCCAAGGGGTCGGTGGTGGAGCACCGGGCCTTCTGCACGGGGGCGCTCGCCCACAAGGAAGGGCTGCAGATGGGGCGGCGCGTGCTGCAGTTTGCGTCGTACACGTTCGATGCGAGTGTGCTGGAGATTCTGTCGACGCTGGTGCAGGGCAGCTGCGTATGCGTGCCCTCGGAGGCCGAGCGCCGCGGCAACATCGCCGAGGCCATAACGCGCATGAACGTTGACTGGGCGGTGCTCACCCCCTCCTTCGTCAGCACGATCGACCCGACCACCGTGCCCACCCTCGAGACCCTCTGCCTGGCCGGCGAGGCCATGACCGCTACCCACGTCGCCACCTGGACCCCCTTCGTCCGCCTCGTCAACGGCTACGGCCCCAGCGAGTGCTGCGTCTGCAGCTCGTCCAACCGCCGCGTCGTGCCCGGCACCGCGCCCAACGACATCGGCACCGCCGTTGGCGGCGCCTGCTGGGTGACCGACCGCAACGACCACAACAAGCTGGCGCCCGTGGGCTGCATCGGGGAGCTGCTGGTCGAGGGCCACACACTGGCGCGCCACTACCTCAAAAACGCGGAGAAGACCGCCGCGGCGTTTATCCCGCGGCCCGCCTGGCTGCCCTGGTCGCGCTGCGACCGGCTGTACAAGACGGGCGATCTTGTCAAGTACAGCGCGGACGGGTCGCTGCTGTTCATCGGCCGCAAGGACACGCAGGTCAAGATCCGCGGCCAGCGCGTCGAGCTCGGCGAGATCGAGTATCACCTCTGCCTGCCGGCGGCGGTCTCGCAGGCGATCGTCTCGTACCCCAAGAAGGGGATCTACGCCAACAAGCTCATCGCCACGCTGGAACTGACCGCCACCACCGGTGACAAGCTCACCCCGGTGGCTGCTACCACGCTTGAGAAGACTGGATTCGATCTGCCGGCGCTATCCCGGTCCATGAGCGAGACACTCCCCGCGCACATGGTGCCCGTGATCTGGATCGTGGTGGAGAAGATCCCCAGCTCCTCGTCGACGAAGATCGACCGCAAGGCCGTGGACACGTGGCTGGCGCAGCTGCCGGCGGACTTCGCGCCATCGATGGGCGTGAAGCGCAACGAGCCCACCGTGTCCGCACTGCGGCCGGACGAGGGCAAGGCGCTGGCGATCAGCCGCAAGATCGCCAGCCTGGTCAGCCGCGACGACGCCGGCGACAGCAGTCCGCTGCAGGGCCACGACTTCAACATTGCCTCAATGGGCATCGACTCGGTGCAGGTCATCAGCCTGGCCAGCTTCCTCAAGCAGACCTACGGCGTCAAGGTCGACGTCTCGCGCATCCTGGACGGACAGATGACCGTGCGCTCGCTGGCCGCCCTCCTCGACGCCGAGCTCACCGGCACCGCCCCGGCCACCGCATCCCCGGCCTCCTCCTTCGACGCGATGAAGGAAGCCACCGCGCTCATGAAGTCGATCATCACACGCAGCCCCGTCAAGAAGACCGTCTTCGTCACCGGCGTCACGGGCTTCCTGGGCACGCAGATCCTGCGCCAGCTGTGCGATCGCCCGGACGTCGGACGGGTCATCGCGCACGTGCGCGCCGCGACGCCCTCCGAGGCCTTCATGCGCGTCAAGGACGCTGCCGTGCGCGCGCAGTGGTGGGCGGACGACTACCTGGCCAAGCTGGACGTGTGGGCGGGCAACCTCGCGCAGCCGCAACTGGGCCTCAAGCCCAAGCAATGGGCCTCACTCACAGGCGAGAGCCCTAACGAAGGCGGGCTGGTGCACGCGATCATCCACGCGGGGGCAGCTGTGAACTGGAACGCAGGAACGGAGGTGCTGCGCGCGGCGAACGTGGACTCGACGGCGGAGCTGATCAAGGCGGCAGTCAGCTCGCCGGCGCGGCCGCGGCTGGTCTACGTCTCCGGCGGGCACCGGTGGCACCCGAATGAGGACGACCGGGAGATTGCGGCGGAGGTGGCGCACGCCAACGGGTACGCGCAGACCAAGTACGTGTCGGAGCTGCTGGTGAAGCAGTTCGCGGGACGGTACGCGAGCCAGTTCGCGATCGTCAAGCCAGGGCTGATCCTGGGCACGCCGGAGGAGGGGGTGGCCAACACGGACGACTTCGTGTGGCGGCTGGCGTCGGCGGTGGTGGACGCGCGCTGCTACAGCCGCGACGTGGGCGAGAGCTCGTGGATGTTCGTGACCAGCAGCACGCGCGTCGCCGAGGAGACCATCCACCAGGCCTTCTGCCCCGCCGACGCCATGCGCACCGTCACCTTCATGACCGACGGCATCACCGAGCGCGAGTTCTGGGACATCTTCCACCACGAGCTGCAGTACCCGCTCCGCGCCGTGGACCATGCCACCTACCTCGAGACGCTGCAGCAGGCCATCCAGCGCGACGCCACGGGCCATCCGCTGTGGCCGGTGATGCAGGTGTTCGAGGCGATTGACGGCCGGCTCGGCGGCGGGGATGTCCTGCCCGATGCCAGTGTGGTGACCCCCTCGCAGCGCCAGCATGTTAAGGCCACCGTCCGCCGCAATGTGCAGTTCCTGGTGGACGCGGGCTTCATCGCGAGCCCCACGGGCAAGAAGATGCGCTATATGGCCGAGAAGGTGTTCCGGCGGTCGGGAAATGTGTGGGAGAATGTCAAGGGGATGGTTAATGGACTAGCTTAGGAGAGTGATAGTCCTATAGGATGGACTGGACGAGATTGTGATGTTTAGTGTTATGTAAAATAGTGTAATGACTTGGAGTATTGGGTAACTGGGATTGAATTAGGATAGCATTCAATGGATTTCGCTCGTTTATCTCTCGTTCTCCGTCGGTAAACCCACTACATAATTAGAATAGAGGTTTGAGCAGCAGGTGAAGCAGCTGAACCTCCGTATAGGGTGTTACCTCAGCTAATGTCGCACAAAACCAGCCGATCCATAAATAAGTAGCGTTGATTATCGCCGATCAGGGCTAAGCAGGAGGATGGGGGGTATAAGAAGGCGCATGCCCCCAGCCTGTCTCCTGTCCTTTTTCCTCTCTCTCTCTCTCTCTCTCTCTCTCTCTCTCTCACACACACACACACACACAGAGCCCTAACTTCCCTTCCTCCTCACCATACCCACAACAACAACCATCACCACCACCACCACCCATCTATATCCCAACCACACCCTCTCAAGACACACCACAATCTCCCTTAATCACAGACACTCACAGAGAAACAAAATGGACATGTTCGCCCCAGCCCCTCCACCCCCGACCGCCTTGGGCCGGTACCGCACCCTCTCCTCGACCGCCGGCATCCGGGTCTCCCCCTTCCAACTAGGCGCGATGTCCATCGGCACCGCCTGGTCCGGGGGACTAGGGTCAATGACCAAAGAAGCCAGCTTCGCGCTGTTGGACGCCTACCTGGCCGCGGGGGGCAACTTCATCGATACAGCCAACAACTACCAAAACGAGGAGTCGGAGCGGTGGATCGGGGAGTGGATGGCCTTGCGCGGGGTGCGCGACCACCTGGTGGTGGCGACCAAGTATACGGGGCTGTACAAGCCGCCCAACTCTACCCCATCTACCTCCTCTCCAGAAGAAACACTCGCAAAGGAAAGCCGCTACAACCCCTCCCACCCGAAGGTCAACTTCGCCGGCAACCACCGGCGCAGCCTGCACCTGAGCGTGCGCGACTCGCTGGCCAAACTGCGCACAGACTATCTCGACATCCTGTACGTGCACTGGTGGGACAGCACGACCTCGATCGAGGAGGTGATGGACAGCCTGCACGCGCTGGTGCAGCAGGGCAAGGTGCTGTACCTGGGGATCTGCAACGCGCCGGCCTGGGTGGTCAGCGCGGCCAACACGTACGCGCGCCTGCAGGGCAAGACGCAGTTTAGCGTCTACCAGGGCCGGTGGAACGTGCTGCACCGCGACTTGGAACGGGAGGTCATCCCCATGGCGCGGCGGTTCGGGATGGCCGTCGCGCCGTGGGATGTGCTCGGCGGGGGGAAGTTCCAGTCCCCTCGCGCCATGGCCGCGCGGCGGGAGAGTGGGGAGGGGCTGCGCACGATGATGGGCAGTGGGGCGCAGAGCGAGGATGAGGTGCGGATGAGCGAGGCGCTGGGGAAGGTGGCGGCCGAGTTGGGGATCGAGTCCGTTACCGCGGTGGCGTTGGCGTATGTGTTGGCGAAATATCCGAATGTGTTCCCTGTGGTGGGCGGAAGGAAGATCGAGCATCTCAGGGATAATATTCAGGCTTTGGAGGTGAGGTTATCGGATGAGCAGATCAGATATCTGGAGGGGGTCAGGCCGTTGGACTTGGGGTTTCCGCAGAATATGCTGGGCGAGGAGCCGGGGGTTACGGGGCGGGAGGGCATGTCCCTGGCCAATGCGGGAGTGGTCGATTTTGTGAAGTTCGAGAGGCCTGTTGGGTATTCTTGAGCTTGGGGGTGGTATCTTGGTTGTTGGAGGTATCTGACTGCTGGAAGGCATCTTGGTTGCTAGAAAGTCACACTGTGTGTATCATAAGGAACATGCTAGTATACATAAATGAATTCGTCATTCTCGCGGTCCGTCAAGTCCATCAGCCCCTGCTGGCCGGTCTCCTCCGTCGTCGTCGGTGCGCCATCGCCCTCATTCAGGACGCCGCTCCGCATGGACAGATCCTGCAGCTTGGCCGGCTTGCCATTCTTCACGCGCCGTCGCTCCTGCATGCGGTTCAACACCACCAGATTCGCCCACTGCAACAGCGTCACTCCCACCAACGCCACAAAGATCCCCAGGCACGCCTTCAACCCCGGGCGATACGTCGGAGCATCCTTGGCATCAAACAGCAAGGGCCCGATGATGTTGCCCGACGAGGTCGCGGCATTAAACAAACTCATGCAGACACTCTGCTTCGTCGTGCCACCGGTGTTGGAGACAATCCACGCCACGATCAAGGGGTTGCCCCCGAACAAGAACGCCAGCAGATAGAAGCCCGCCATGAGGGCCCCGTTGGCACTGCTATCCCGGGGCAGCGCATACAGCATCGCCAGCCCGGCGACCACGGGCAGCACCAGCGCCGCCAGGATGACCCCCTTCATGCTCGCCTTCTGGGCCAGGTAGCTCGCCAGCAGGATGATGATCACCTGCACCGCGCCGAAGGGCATGTTCAGCAGCGTCACGTGGTCGGTGCCGAACCCTAGCCCCTTCAGAATCAGCGGGCCGAAGACGTTGGTCACCGAGGCCCCGATGTTCAGGAGCAGCGCCAGCCCGATCCACAGGTAGGTCTTGGGCTCCAGTACCGCTTCCACCAGGTGGCTCATCTTGTATTCCCGGGTCCCCGTGCCTGTCTGGTTGGCGCGCAGCCGCTCGACGGCTTGTTCCTTTTCGCTCTCGGTGAGGAAGCGGGCCGTCTCGATGTCATTGTCGAGGCGCCAGTAGATGATCGGGCTGGTGACGATGGTGAGGAGGCCGACGAAGAGGAAGATGCTGCCGCAGACGTTACGTCAGCATTGCTATGCTGCCTGAATGCTTTGGAGGTAAAAGGCAAACTTACATCTGCCATCCCTTCAAGGCATCGGACTTGATCTGACTCAATCCGTAGGACAGCGCAGCGGCGATGGTGGTCGCCCAGCCGTTGGTGGAGTAGAAGGCCGCCACACGGATCGGCTGCTCAGCACGACGATACCACCTTGCCACAAGAATCGAGAATAGCGGTAGACATCCGGCCTCAAACAGTCCGAGGAAGAACCGCGCGGCGAGGAGTTGGCTGAAGTTGTGGCAGGCGGCCATGCAGGTCTGTGCGATGCCCCAGCCGAGACATAGACTGGGCATGAGGATCCGGGGCCGGACCTTGACGATGACTATGGGGGTCAGCTATTACCCACCCACTGTTTAGTTGTTGTACTCACGCCAGGATGAACATGGCTGCCAGGCCAGCTGGGCGATGGGAGCGATTGACCCGATCAGCGAGTACTGGTTGCCGGTCAGGTGGGTGTCCTCGGTCATGCCGTAGGTGGCCCCAAACCCCAGGACGGTCTTGTCCAGAATCTGCAGGAAATACACCCAGATCAGGATGGTCAGGATCGCCCAGTCGGTCTTGCGTTTGATTTTCTGGCCATCCTCTTCGGTCAGGGGGATGCGCGGACGGGGGGCGGGGTCAAAGTCGGGAGATACAGAGTCAGAGCCCTCGATGTGAAGTGCAGCAGGCTTAATGTCATTGTCCATGATGTTGGATGGGAGTGTGGAGGAAAAGAAGTCTGGGGAAGGGTGGGGGAGGGGAGAGAGAGATCTGCCCCATATAACACCGACAAATGCGGGGGAAGCGCTAGTGCATTCCATCAAGTGCCACCCCCACGGACCTCACAAGCCGGTGGTACGACATGAGCCCTTGCCGGCTTGCAGCAGGAGTCGAGTCGGAGATGGCAAAAGGCCAAGGCCAAAACCGAGGCAAATGGGCCGAATTCCCCGCTGTCGATCCCCCGTCATTGCGTTTCAGTCTACCTCTGGTTCTCCTGGTTCTCCTGGTTCTCACCCCCACGTTGCACGGGGGCCTTGGGGTTTTAGCCTTTATGTGGAACATAGAACATAGCCAGGATATTCAAGGTTTCCAGCTTGTTTGTCTGGCCAGGTCAGATGATGATGACGGTGCATCTCATGCAAGGATCTGCTCGACCCTCACTGGGTGCGCGCGAGGTTGCATCGAGCTTGTGGCTTGTGGCGCGAGCCACCCACCCCACCCCCACGTCCACGACTGACGGTAGGTCCAAGCGGCCTTGCAGATACTCTCCTCGTCTGCTAGACTTGATGCAATCATGCCGTTTCTGACCAGTGAGGCCATCATAGAAAGACACATCGACTGGTCTTCCGATAAGGTAGACTAATTGTGCACGGGAAGAGACTATACTAACTTGTAACCATGGGTAGTATCTAGACGACCCTGATGTATGCCCCCCAAAGAAGGCAGGGCGGTCTTTTATGATGGCAACTCATACCGGACCTCTACAGGACCCTCGACCTCCGCGGGTACTGATGCACGGGAGTATTTTGTGCCCTTTGCGAAAGCCGGCAACTCATACGACGGTGCAGTCTCGCTCCTCGTATCCATCGGACCCGTTGCCTCTCGTCTGGCTACCTTCCTACGTCGCCAGAGCCAGTACCAGGTAAGCCCGATCGTCAGCAGAAGCGCACAGCCCAAGCCAACTCCCACTCCGATTCCGGTCTTTGCTCCCGTGCCCGAACCCGAAGACGTCGCTGCAGGGGTCGTGGTCTCTGCCGGCGCCGATGCGGCGGTGACTGCAGCCCATGCAGTCAACGCCACGGAGAGAACGGTTGTGGCAGACGTAGATACCGCCGTTGTCGTTGAGGTCCCGACTGCTGTCATGGTCGTCGTACCCGCAGATATATTGAAGTAGTGACTTGCGAACACACCGTCCCAGTCTTCAAGGTCGGTCGCATCACGAATCTGGAAGAAGAACACTACGCCGTCGCTGAGATTCCTTTGGGTGCTGACAACCCAGTCGTAGCTGGTGACCCCACTGAGATTGGCTGCGGCTGTTAGTGGTTTGCATACTGAATGTGGGTTCCATAGCTGTCAGAATGCGTACTTTGAAGCCATTCGTAGTCTGAATTATCATTTTGCCAAAGCATCAGAGAGAGGTACTCAAGGCTAGTCGCCCATCGAAGCTGCACAGTCTGTTCGAGGGTGTAGACGGGGTCCTCCGAGTAATCGTGGATGGGGCCGCCCGTCGGAGGATTGTAGAAGATCCCTGCCTCCGCTCTCACATGATTAATCAGGAAAGTGAGTAGACATAGATAGAAGATGCGTTTGACCATCGTCAAAATAGGACGACAGTGTACTTTTAAAACCGTTGCGAATGTCTGATGGGTGGCTTTTCCCGGTCCAGGGAACGGACTGGGTAAGAGAAGGATGCAAAAGGAATCAGAGAGTTGGAGCGGGGGACTCGCTTGACCCCAACCATGGGCTCGACACTGATAAAGAAATGTCCGAGGGAGTGGTTACCAATGATTTACTATCGTTGGTGAGGTATTTAGTGTCTCCATTCCAACACATCGTTGCTCTGTTGCTATTTTGAGCCTTCCCTCACAGGGATAGTCGCATTGGAACCAATCACAGGCACAGTGTGCTGGGCTGAGGGTCATTAGCACAAGCGGGTGGGGAAGCCTGACTCGCACCTCTAGAGGACTCCATCACTTACTTCTCAGTGGAGACAACGCAGACAGGGCAAGCCGGCACAATCTGACCCTTGGAATGCGTGATGACGGGATGGTTCGACCGGGGTAGACGAGGTTAGCGCTAAAGCTCCGTCTGTCACTGGCTGCAACCAACCCTAACCGTGCAAATAAGCTGCGCCGCCATCTTGGCCCTGGACGATGATTCGATGAGCATGGGGCCTGTCAGTTTCGTTATCGCGCCTATGAAGTCGATTCTCATAAGCTGTAGCCGCCAATGACTCGACCAGTTGCCCTGATAAAGGCTCAACCCTCGAATCTCCGCCCTGGAGACATGTGAGCTCCTTCATAATTCTCAGTCTTTCATCATGATTTTGACACCACGACAATGTCTTTTTCTGACCGCAGCGGGCTGCATCCTCTTGATTGTTGTCACCTTGTATCGATACTCCCCGATCGCGTCCTATAGAAAGCCAGAACAGTCAGCTTCATCCTCGTCCCCTGTTTCACCGATCAGCCACGCAGCCAACTCGACATTAGGTGTAAGCCTTCCTTCTCCCATACACAAGACCTGCTCGATGTTCTAACACCAACCCAGTTCCAAACAATCTTCGCCCTCTCCGCCAGCCCCTCCTGGCGCACACGAGGCCTCCTCGCCGCCGCCAACCTCACGGGACTAGAAATCACACTCCCTCCACAGCCTCCCATCCCCGCCGAACTAGTCACCGCATTCCAGACCCTGGGCGATAGCACACACCCAACTCGCGGCGCCAGCAAAGCCTGGCTCGCGCACCTTGACCTGATCAAGCACATCCACCAATCGAATCTGGACACCGCTTTAATCCTCGAGGACGACGTCGACTGGGACAGACGTCTCCGTGCCCAGGCCCCCCGCATCGCCGCCGCGGTCCGCAACCTCACGCACTTCTCACCCACCGAGGACAACGACGACGCCCCCTACGGCCGGGCCTGGGACCTCCTCTGGCTCGGCCACTGCGGCGAGTACTGGGAGGACGGCATCGAAACGGTGGTCTTCGACGACCCCACCGCCACTCCGCACGCGCAGTACTCCGGCTGGGCGAGGGAGTATCTCGCGCGGTTGCCGGACCGCCGGCGGGCGGTGTATCGGTCGTACAACCCTGTGTGCTCGTTCGCGTACGCGCTGTCCCGCGACGGGGCGCGGAAGGTGCTCGAGCTGGTGGGTGGTGGTGGAGATGAGGCGTTTGATATCGCGGTCATGCATCATTGTCGTGCCGGACGGCTGGAGTGTCTGTCCGTCGTGCCGGAGGTGGTGCATCAGTATTTTCCGGCGGAGCGGTTCGGGGTTAAGAGTCTGGTGGATGTGGGGAATGGGGAGGTGGATGTGCCGGAAGAGGAGGGCTTTGAGGCGGTAATGGGCTCGACGGAGAATATTCTGGAGAGTGCCAGGTGTTGGGCTTTGTGGCGGCAGACGTGTTTAAGGCAGTAGATTGGACTAGAGTGTGCTATGTGGATTGGATACATGGCTGTTGGGTGTGGGGGAAAAGACGCGTCCGACCCGCGCGAGATTATACGGCAACTGGCACCTCTCGGAGTTGACCTCCGATACTTTGTGCGAGCAGCGCTGCGCCATTTATATTGCGGGCTACTTTTGGCTGTATAATGCCTATTTTCCATATCTGTTGAGAGTGGAACGTGTAACAGTTGTGGATGCTGGATATTGTCGACGAAATGTTCTAGCGGGAAGCAAGATATATATGTAGACTCCGGAGGTATAACCACCGATTGGCAAAAACAGACAGTAAGGTTTGTCTGCACAGCTGGACACTTTCTGTCCCCCGAGGCGAGATTTTAAGAAGCATTTACTGTACTTGATGATGGTAGGGAAGGGTAGAGGGTTGTGATGTGTGGATAGAGGCTGTTTCTGACCTGGGGTTGATGACTGCTGTTGGGAGGTTGACTAGATTGACACTAAAAGATATATTACCTAAAGTTGAAACCACAACCACAACAACAGGTGCTGTGGTCTAGTGGTATGACGTCACGTTGTGGCCGTGCCAGCCCCGGTTCGATTCCGGGCAGCGCCACTTTCTTTTTTGTTTTGTTTTTGCTTCGTTTTTATTCTCCGGATCCAACTCTGATCCCAGTCACTGAAGATAACTGTAGATAAACTCAAGATGGACAGCGCCAAAATCAATTCCCGAACGGGTTCTCAAACCGTAACGCCTCGTCCACATTGCGATAGAGCTCCGCCGGCATCGGCCAGAATCGCAACTTTATTCCCTGCACGATCGCCCGTTTTTTCTCATCCAACGCCGTAAAATACCACTCCTCCACGCAGTGAAGCAGGTCCCGTATCTCCTCATCAAACAAATCATTGATAGGTCGCCCCAGGCGCTGGATCCCCACCTGAAAGTAATACGCCGGCTCACCCCACGGCTGCTCCTGGCCCGTCCCTATAAACAAACCACCCCTCCCGGGACGCCACGGTTCATCATCAAAAATCTCATCCTCCTCCACCCACTCATCGTACAAATCCCTCACCAAGCCATCCAACTCAGGAATCATGCCCTCCCGCACGGCCAGCCGCCAATGCACAGACCGCTCAACGGCCCAGTCCGCGAACGCCGCCTGATCGAGCATAGGGTTCTCCGCACACAGCTCATACTCCGCCTCAAATTCATCCACGACATAATAACGCCCGCCCTCCGCAAGCCGGCGCAAGTCCTCCGTCAACGCACTGATCGTGCGCGCGACATGATCGAGCCGGGCGCGCACAGCCGACGCCACGACCGGCCCATCGCACAACGCATGCGGGCTGGTGAACTCGTCCCCGTCCGCGGTGGCCCCCACGAACCACGGCCGGTATTTATCCTTGGCCAGCTCGCAGCGGATCAGCGCGGCCATGTCTTCGGGGGTGCGGCGCCCCAGCGCGACGAGCAGCGCCGCCTCCCACTGCCGCCGCTGGGCGCGCCAGTTCCGCAGACGCGCGTGGTAGGCGTCCACCGCGGCGGTGAGGTGGGTCCGGTAGGCGCGCAGGGAGTTGCGGGCGACGAAGAGGCAGGTCCGGGGGTCGGTGAAGGGCGAGTGCAGGAGGACGTCGTCCGCGCGGAGCGCCTCGTTGCCGCCCGACTGGAGGAGGAGGCTGTACGTGCTGCTGTGGGTGTGGGGCGCTAGGCAGACGGGCTCGTAGGCGAGGCTGCTCAGGTAGTGCGCATCGAGCCGGTGCGGGCGGAGGCCCCGGCTGAGCCCGACGCGGATGCGTTGGGGTGAGAGGTCGTCGAAGACTGGGATGGCCGGGGGCAGGGGGTGGGTGCGCCAGGTTCGAAACTCGTTTAGGGTTATTGGGGCTTGGTTGGGGAGGAGGCGGATCAGGCTGATGGGGAGAGAGCCGGCGGGGAGTTGGTCGTCGGAGTCGTTGTCGGGATTGTCCGCGGTGGCTCTTTTTGGAGCTTTGGAGGTGTTTGTTTCGGGGGACCGCTTGCCTACCATCTTGAAATGCGGGAGTATCCAACATTTGTGATTGTTGAAGAGAATTGATGGTGGACACGGAAGTAATGGCGCGCTGAGAAAAACCTCGGGTCTCGGTGAGAGAAGGTGGATCACGATGTCAATATTGTTGATGCGACGGATAAGAGGGGAGAGCAGGTATCTGGACCTGAATTGTGCGTAAGATCCAAGTGAGAAGATCGTGGCGAGAATCCGAGCAACAGAAGGCATATACTGAGCCAACAAATGAACCCTAAATGAACAATTGCTGCTTTGACTCGTGAAGACGTGGGATCCTTCTCCCCGCTCAAGCAGCCCAGCCCAGAGAAATGACTCCGATGCCAATCGGGCCCTGGGGCTACATCGTGTGAAGCAGAAGCCTGTATAGAGCCAGAGATGTTCTCAATCCGAGCTTGAGGCGGACAATGGTGACCTCGATCGTGAGATGCCTTGGCTATTTGCAGCACTGTAAACAAACCATCCGAGCCCTAACTTATCTGGGAGATGTATGGAAGAACGGCGCGAGAAACCGGACTGATTCATCTAGTAAGCTATCACTATAAACAAACGAGAAGTATAGACGTTGCCAACGCATCCACAAGGCTGAACACGGAACGAACAGAAGCAGGATCAATCTCAAACGAAGGTATAGTACAACACCGCGACTAGCACCCGCAACATAAGCATTCCACAATCTCGAAGCAGCACTCGCAGGCCTCTTCGCAAAGAAAACAACAGCACATGGTCAGAAGACTGAGAGCGGTTAGCCAACGTCAGGTCAACTCAGTTCACGGTCAGCACATACCAGGTGGTGAGACACCCACGGTCCTTGGACTGCGACTGTTCTTGCGGGGGAGCATACTGCATTTGCTGGGGCGGTGGGTATTGACCACCGGGAGGTGGGTAACTAGAGGATCTCATTAGTAACCAATTCACCTAGTAGATTCGGCTACTGCCAACGTACTATCCCTGTGGTGGAGGTGGCGGTTGTTGTTGACCGTAGTATGACATGGTGGGTGTTATGGGGGGGGGGGCGGGGGGTGAGCACCGACAACAGGAAAAAAGCTGGGACTGAGCCGGGGGATGGGCAAAGGGCAGTAAGCCCGACTATTATTATAATCCGAACGCGAACGGACAGCCCAGGCAGAAGGGATTGGCATTTGCCCAAGTCAGCCCTGCCGAGAGGAGAAATCAAACTGGTTCCTCTTGGCCCTGCGGTTGTCGCTGGGGGGTGGTTCCACCCCCCCAGTTGCCATTGGGTCCAGGGACAGGGTAATCGTCGACCGTAATCAATAGTCAGGAGCCGACGTGACCGAAAGAGGAGGTTCAGTCATCCTCAATGGCAGCGTTGGCGCGTGGGGAGGTTACACGTTGGGAGTCCCAGAATAGATAGGTAACACCACACCACGCCTAGACTCGAATTGCTTTTGGGCGCTTGCATTGTGATCGTGGCAGCTGGAGAAAAAGTCGGCTCATGCGACTCCGACTGACCAGATCAGCCATCTGGGTGCATAAGGTGGAGTTATGCCAATACTCATGGTCTTTGCCAAGCAGTCCCCAGCAGTCCTGGAGGGTCTTCCAGGGTCATGGGAGTGAGAGGAATCGGCGGCCGCGGAGCGAGATTGGACGAAGACTGCCAGAAACGCCAAGACGGCGCTTCGCCCTTTAAGGCTGGACTGGAGGAAGACATGTTTCCGCCCCTCTTCGAGCGCCAATTGGCAATGCAGCCAAGAAGGACTTGCTGTCTCGAGTGTGGACAGGGGGTGGGAGCATGCAGAAATAGTGCTGCCTAGTAGAGCAAATTGAGTATCTTCAAGCATAGGTATTTGCCACCCTACATCAATTTGGGCTTGTAGCTCAGTGGTAGAGCGCTCGCTTCGCATGCGAGAGGTCAGGGGTTCGATTCCCCCCAAGTCCAATCTTTTTGGCCCTACGCTTCTTTTTTGGCACGCTCGGATGCTATGATTTGGCGGCCTGGCTTATAGTGCTGGCCTTCGCGTCCTAGGGGCCGGCTTGGCTACGCCCTTTGATAGGGTGTGTCTTTGCCGCCTTCCAGAAACGACTTAATGGGCTGCAGTCCGCTCCAGTCTACATAGTACCTTATGCTACAACCTCGCTGGGAAGAGTCGGTATACTGACACCTCTAAAGCTATGTCTATGTACAATCTAGAGACTTTCAAGCCCCCGAAGTCGCGCTGACTGAAGACCACGAGCAAGATCACCACCAGCAGGTCGGATCCAGCGAATTCCCCGCGACAGCAACGCGAATGCTGCAATGAACCTCAATCCACACCAGGCACGTGGCTTGACGAGTATGCCATCGGCCCCGGGCCGTCAATGCGTGCTACTCACCCTAGCCAATCCGCTGCTTCCGCCTCACCCAAACCTCTTGCTCCGCAGACCCTGCAGCCCCCTCGTCCGACGCCGGAGGATCCCGCAGTTGCACCTCCCAGACCTTCAACTTGTAGTTGCCACGGTCTGCCTGCCCCGAGAACAGATCAAACGACCACCCGTGCTTGGGACAGTTGATGCCCGCACTCAGGGTGATGCCGAAATCCTCGATGTCAAAGACGCTGCCCCAGGATAGTGGATACAGGGCGTGAGGGCATTGCTGAGGATATATATACATCAATGTTTTGCTGATCTACACAACCCCCCCCAAAGATTCTAGAGTGAAGCATGCTTACATGATCAATGGCATGAAATTTGCCCTTATACCGAAAGACGAGGACCTGCTCGTTGATGTTGCCCGGCATGTCTAGGTCCGCCTCGACGGGGGTGTCGGCCGGGCACTCGTCCCTGGTGGCCGTGGTGGGGACATGGAATGCCTTGCAGCTAGCTTTGATCCGCGACTTGGCCTCCTCGGAGTCGACGTCCGGGAAGTCGGAGGTGAGGCCGACCTTGCGCCAGGTGGCTGCTGTCTGGGATGGTCGATGGAAGGGGTTCATTTTGGAAATGTGACAATTGAAGTTGATTTGACTCGCTCGCTTTTTTGCGGCTGCGGGGGAGAATTTCCGAAGGGGCGATTAGTCATCCGCCTCCAGTGCTTCTCCGCACCCCACATAAATTTCCCCAACAAAAGAAGCTGGGAGGGCTGTCGCGTTCCTACGGTGGTGGTGAGGTTGGCACAGATAGTCCCACTGTAGCCATTACAAAAGCTTTTAGATCGAATACACACACACTTAGCACAGGTCCGGCCTGGATACGGAAATCACAAAACCAACCCGAAAAAGAACAATCCAAAGAGCCCCTCAACCTGACATAACCTGTCATTCTTGGAGAGACAACAGACAGGGCAAGCACACTGCTCAGCCGATGCTCAGACACATGCCGTCCTTGAGCGCCTTGATCATATCCTTGTCAGGGGATCCTTCTTGTTGAAGCTCTTCGCCTTGCCACGGCTGCCCGCCCCGTAGGCGGTGGTCTTGCTCTTTCGCTCGTACGCCTTGAAGCCCGTCGCCCAGCCCCAGGGATCCCGAGCGGCGGCGGGCAGTTCCACGCTCTGCTTCTCGGCCTCCTCAGCCTCGGCGATGATCTCGGCGATGTTCGACGGCCCGTACATGGTGATGTTGTGCTTGCCGCCGTAGGCGAGCAGGTACGGCACGAAGTGCTCCCCAGCGTAGGCCTTCTTTTTCTTCTTGCCCTCTGGCGCGCCGATTGAACTCGTCCGAGCGCATGGCGTCGGCCTCGCAGGCGACCATCCCATGACCCAACCGAGGTTGCGGACGTGGGCCAACTGACCCTGCTTCTCGAGCTCGACCAGCATGCTCAGGAACATCAGTTCGCGGATGATCATGGTTTCGCCGAAGAGGTCCCCGTCGTTAGTTCTAGCACATCATCGAGGGTCATTAGCACAGCCCAAGCATTGGTCAGCGGCGAGTGAATCCTTACCTCATCATGGGGTCGAGCGAGTCAGTGTTGAACAACAGCGTGGAAGTCGAGCAGCATGTTCTGGGCCACTTCGATGGCGCCGTAGCCGACGTGGTCGTTGAAGGTGTACATGTCGAAGGCATCCGGGTTGCGCAGGTTCAGCATGTCTTGGTAGGTGTTCAGGCGCTGCATGCCGGCGCGGGAGATGGTCCAGCGGTGATCGGGGTGGTCGGCCGCCGGCTTGCGACACATGCAGCTCTCGCCCGCGTCGCAGTCGGTCATAGGCTCGTCATTCTCGTTCTCGCTGTCCTCCTCATCGTCGTCTTCGTCCTCTTCCACCCCGGGGGCCCGGCAGATGCAGACAAATTCGTAGGGTTGGGCTTCTTCTTGAGGAAGAGGTGGTAGGCGACATCGGCGTTGCCGGAGGCGGAGACGGCGGCCCAGCGGACGCCATTGTATAGCTGTGAAGGGATGGAAGATTGAATGAGAGGTGAGAACTGGGGGTAGAGACTGGGAATAGGGATGGGAATGATAATAGTAAACAGGAGGGAAATGGAGAGTTGGATGTGATGGATGTGATGGATGTGATGCATCAACTTTCATGTGTATCTCGGCTAGTTTGTGTTTGTGTTTGTCTCGACGCGCGCGACGCGTTGTTTGCTTGGTTCGACGTCACCAACACTCCTAGCACCGTTACGGTCTATTACTCATTTGAAGCATCATCATTGGCGAGGGATTGACTATGTGGCAAAGTAAGGGAGACGGACGTCATGGGGTCTTTTTGACGGGCATGTCATGGGTGGAGCAGTGTGTGGGCCCCCCGTCATATCACCCTTCCTCTTCCTCAACAGGTGTACATGGTATTCTATGCACGATCAGAGGCCTCGGAAAGAACGGCAGGAGACTACAATCAATTTCAACTGTAGGCAAATTATCATCATGGATGCCCAAAAACACTGCCGAAAAAGCCCCGATTACAAAGCCGACTCTTTGCGTCCGGCCAATCATGTCGCGAGAACTCATGCCCTCTGGCTGTATACTTCCAGCTGGAGAACCATACCGTCCACTAAAGAGCCTCTGAATGGCTTCTAAAATATCATCCTCGCTTCATACTTCAAGTCAATGTTGAAGCTTACTTCTCTCTGGCGATGTGTGACTCGAGACTACAGACCCGAAGGCCCGTTGCTCTGAGATGATATCACGTCAACCAATACAGCACAGCAGTTCGAACCAAGGACTTGTCAGATAAGAATATGCGGACTGAACAAGATAGAAACGCGCGTATCAAAACAGTGCTCTAATATAGAGCTACGAATACAGAATCGATAACTTGAACAATGCATCGAAACTAGTTACCAACCGCTTGTGACTGCCTGACAGCGACCCGTCTGACCGACACAATCTCTACTGGGCAACCAGTTGAGCAATGTCAACATCCTATTTGCATGTGGAGTTAGCATACGGCTGCGCGATTGTAGGAGCAACGCCACCATACCTTCTCGTTGAAATCCTCTCGTCCCGTGTAATACTGATCGAGGGACTCATAGGTCATCTTCGGGATACCAGGAACCAAAGCAAGGTCCCACCCCTCAGATATCGCAGCTGCATCACCACCCTCGCGCACAATCTCTGCAAGTTGTGCATTCGAGGGCGCGGTGAATGCAAAGCGGCGAAGAATCTCTTCTTTCTCCTCTACGGAGCCCCGCATCCAGTCCAGATAATGTGGCTTGGTCGGCTCGTCCGTATCCTTTCGCCCTCCATGATGCGAGACATTGTCCGCAACCAAAATAGACTTTCCCGGCTTCAGCAGCCCCAATTTCTCGGCCAGCCAGAGATCAGGGAGATAGCGGTCCTTGAAGTGATCGAGGAAGAGGACATCAATCCCGTCGTCGAACAGCCCTTGCCTCATCAGCCGGGCCAGAGACAAATGGGCGGGGGCCACCAGCAAGGTGATGAAATCCTTCAACCCGGCCAAGTCGATCAGGAGACTGGCAATGGCCGCGTTGACGGGGTTGATCTCTAGACTGAAATAGTGCTGGCCTCCGGCTTGGCGTACCGCGTGGCCGAAAAGAATGGTCGAATATCCGACGTAGCCGCCAAGCTCGACCATGATTTGCGGCTTTCGCTCGGCAATTAGCGAGGAGACCACGGCGCCTTTCTCCGGGCCAATGTGAATCAGATGGGACTGCTCTCGCGCGAACCGGTCAATCTCTGCCAAGACCGCTGCCGGGTTGCCACGGAGAGAGGTCTCCAGATGAGGCAGGGAGAAGATGTGTTGCAGGAGAACGAGCTCGCGACCGTCCTGTTCCCACGCAACCAGCTTAGCTCTTGCTACTTTATAGTGACTGGGAGGTAGGTGGCATACTTCACGGTTATACCTGGGGTTACCCATCTCGGATGTTGGAATGTTATGCTTTAGTGCTTAAAATCGAGGCAGCGGTCGCGGGGGAAAGAGTTGATTACGTGCCTGATGCATTTTGGACCACAGCCGACCATTTTATCCTCGGAACGCCCGCCCTGATATCCATGGTGCACGGATTGTATGATTCCTATCAGATTACCGCCGAAGCCCGAGGTCTTGGCTCTCGCAAACCGGTACTGAATCGGGGCTAGCGTGGCGATAGAAGCATGATGGAACCGGGTAGGGCTCAAGCCAAACCCTAATCTGATAAATCTGATAAATTCGGTATATTCTTTCGCTGCGACGCCTTCCCAGGACAACGAGATTAAATAAGCGCCGATCGATGGCGATTTTGGTAATCTGATCATCTGATAAACTCTGTTTCTTCGCCATCGTGTGCATGTACACATCTTACACAGCGTCGAAATGGTGTTCCCAGGCAAGCTAAGCGCCGGCTGTATACTCTGTCGGAAGCGGAAGGTCAAGGTACGCCAAATCCTGTTTTGGTTTTCTATACATAGCTATACAATATTCATACGGATACTGACAGTCAAATACAGTGCGATGAGGGCAAGCCAGGCTGTCAGCGCTGCATCACGCACGGGGTCCCCTGTCCGGGGTATCCCGATGCCTTCGCTTTCCGAGGATATGAGGTCGCTCACGGGAGCACTGCCGGCAAGTTGAAAGTCGTCCGGAATGCGAGGTCACCTCCCTCTAGCCCACGGGAACCGAAGCAGAAGAAGGTCGACTCTGCGAAGATGCAGCCAAGAAGCATGATCACTTCGTTTGTCCCAGAGGACAGCGAGCTGATGTCGTTGTGCTACTTTCACCACCACCATGTGCTGCGCGTGCAGCGATCGCCATGTGAGGGTCATCTGGCCTTCTTTCCGGACCTTTTTCAAGAGCGAGGGAATGATCCGTGCTTCAAGCATGCCGTGCTCTCGGTGTCCTACCTGACCCTCTTCCACAAGGCGCGGGTGCCCAAGTTCCAGATCAACGCACGAAGGCACTATGGTCTGGCCTTGCGGCTGTTGAATCAGGCGCTGAGCTTCAGCCAGACGCAAGTCCGCGATGAGATCTTTGCTGCCTCGTTGTTCTTGAGCATGTTCTCGGTAGGAAGGCCTGACAAGGATCTAAAACGAACACTCATATCGAGCGTGACTAATCGAGCACCTGGACAGGATTTGAGCGGGGAGGGTGCGACGACAGGCTTGTTGAACCCCCACATCCCCGGCATCTACTCCCTCATGCAACTACGCGGCATCCCATCAAGAAGCAACAAGTATAGCCGGCGACTCTGTGGCTGGGCATACACCCAAATGGTGAGTACCAGCCCGCCCTCTATTGCATCAACAGAGCACGCCCTAAGCCCACCACGCAGCAAGTGCAAGCAATGATCCGCCGGGAATTCCGATACGCCTGCATGCCGCCCTCCTTCGACGAGATCACCCGCCCGTGCACCGTGATCCGCTCCTCGATCCTGACGGGCAAACTGTCCGACTTCTGCATGCAGGTCACCAACGCTCGGCGTCGCACGAGCCCCTCGTCCCCGATCCCCGCCGACACCCTGCACGCGCTCCTGGTCCAGGCGTGCACCCTGCTGATCGAGCTCCACAACTGGCAGGCCACCATCCCCAACCACTGGCGCAATCAGTACGAGAACCCTACACCCACACCTACACCATCGCCACTCTCCGAGAAGGCCACCGCCGCGGATCCTCACACCCGCGGGCGGGATCCATGGACGACCTGCTTCCTGGCCGGGGTACAAGCGGCGCAAATCTCGTTCTACCAGCAGTTCCTCGACTGCTGGGAGGAGTGGTGCTTCCTGCAGGGCCGACACGCCTCCTTATCCGAGCTGGCGTTGCTGGGGTTCCCCGACGACCCGGCGATGTTCCTGCTGGATGGGATCGCGTATCTGGCGGAGGTGATTTGCGCGACGGTCACGAGTACGCTCGGTGGTCTTGATGCAGAGGCACCCCACCGGTTCCGGCTGCATGAGCATGCCAAGCTGGCCAACGGGTATACGCTGCTCTGGCCGATGTGGGTGGTCGTCAACTGCCCCTTCGCCGACCCGGATCAGGTCGCGCTCTGTCGGGCGGCGATTGAGTGTGTGGGGTCCACGATGGGGTATAAGCTGGCCTTGCATTTGATTGAGCCGGGTCGTGGGAGGGGATTGGCTGTCGACTGAAATGTGAGACTTTCACTATTCTACCAGATTAAGAACGGTCATGCCGCTGACCTAGCTCATGACGCTCTTGCCCTACCCCACCTGCCTCACATCCGCGCCGAAGTCATGGTCGTCACCGATGAAAAGCTGACGGGAGAGACCTTCAACCGGCTGCCTTATATGACCGCGCTCATTTATGAGCTCCTCCGTCTCTACCCCCCCCCCCCCCCCCCCCCATTGCCTGGATGATCAGTCGCAGGGCCTCCCGACACGGTCTGCTAGGTGATCGGATCCCCATTCATCCAGGCACAGATGTGGGCTGGACCGCCCATGGCGTGCAGACCAACCAGTAGATCTGGGGTTCTACGGCCTCCGAATTCCTGCCCGAGCGGTGGGGCCCCACGGTGCCAGAGATTCAGGCCGCGGTCCGGCGTAAGACTGCCCGGGGCCACTACATCCCCTTCAATGCGTATTCGCGGAAATGCCTAGGACAGGAGTTTGCGCTTCTCCAAGTCAAGGTGGCGCTGTTTGAGATGGTGGACGCATCAGGTGGACTGTCGATCCCCAGGCGAAGATCAAGATGAGCTCTGTATGTACACTCTATGCCATCGTTTGATAAAATGGTGGAACACTGACCTTCGCTAGGGTTCGCTCACGTTTCCGATCGGATTGAAAGTGGTAATTGAGGAGCTGAACGCTGTTTGATGCTGTTTAGACTTAGTAGTCCCAGTGGAATGGGCAGTAGGGCATATGGCATGTTGTGTACGAGTCTTCCGCCAAGCGCCTCTGTTGTATCTTGCCATTGATTTGAGGATTATTTCTGTAGATCATGGGCCTGTTGAAGCTACATGCTTTGATTGACAGTAGCCTCTGGTGCAACGTAGCATAAATGTGACAACCTGCCGGCCTCGATCTCCAATTGCCTATGCTGTGTATTCAGCCTCACCTACGCCAAGACCGGCGCCGCCATCGTCCGCCTGCCCCAAGCCACCGCATTCCAGGTCTTCGACCAGAAGACCCTCCACCTGCTCGAGCCCCGCTACGCCACCTCCAAGCCCATCCATGCCGACACGCTACCGGAGCTGGCCCAAAAGATGGGGGTCGATGCGGCCAACTTCGCCGAGACGATCCGCCAGTACAACGCCGCCACGCCCCACGATGCGGTGGAGAAGTTCAATGCCTTCGCGCTCGATCATGTTTCGACGGGCACTGCGTTGGCAATTCCGAAGAGTAACTGGGCGCTGCCCATTGACCAGGGCCCGTATGTGGCCTACGGCGTGACGTGCGGTATCACGTTCACCTACGGCGGACTGCGCACGGACGATGCAGCGCACGTCTTGAACGAGGAGGGGCTTGTGATGCCGGGTCTCTGGGCGGTTGGGGAGATCGCTGGCGGCTTCTTTGCCTTCAATTATCCTGGAGGCTCGGGGTTGACCAAGGGAGCGGTCTTTGGCAAGATTGCCGGCGAGGCGGCGGCTGAGCGGGCGAAGACCCTCCGTGGCTGAGGTGCCGCTTGTTGTTTTGTAAATTGATAATGCGATTTGATATTTTTGACTACTGCTCTCATGAAACGATTAATGATACTCAAAACAGCGCAGGTTCGTGCAGGTGGCGGGCTGCTCTAGAAGACAGACAATCAATGATGAAATCTCCTGGCAGCATAGGGTTATCTCCGGCAGGGCCCTATACCCTTCTGCTCCCATCGCGCCCTGGTGTCTTCCGGCACGAAATTCGGTGTCTTTTTTCATCTTCCGCAGAGACAAGGCATAAACCTTGCCAAGTAAGATCGATAGAGGATTAGAGATTGAGGAAGCAGCAGATGGCGTTCATGAGTGCGTATGAGAAGGATCGATCTGCACGAGTTGAGTCGATTCTGGGAGATCTGTGGGGGCAGATCCACCCAGCATGACTCGGTATCTGCACGGTGACTGCGAGTTGATACTGAGTACGAGTAACTTGTTATTAGCTGAGCCCCCTTCCCCCCACCATCGATCGAGTCCCAGATGACGTATAAATTGCAGATCTTATCCAAGTTGAGCTCAGCTGAAAGCTAAAGCGCCGGTCAGCTCGCGACAATGGAATCGATTATGGAAGAGACCCACGAGCTGAGAACTTAACTCAGTCGTATAGCCCACCCAGCCCCACCACCAAAAGCAATGTGATGCTGAATACTCAGTACTGAGCACGATGGCAGCAGAATCGATCTGCGTAACATGGCTTGCCTAAGCTGCACCTGATGACCCACGCTGCAGTTCAAATGCTTCTATAAATTGAGATTCATGCCACTTTGCTTCCTTGCCTTGTGACCAGCCTCCTAGCATATTCATCAACTCCACCACCAAACCAAATCTAATATCCAAATCAACCGTAACCAAGTTTGAAGCCCATACTGCCGAAATGCCTGTCAAATTCGCACAAGAGTACGCTTATTCTCACCCTTCATCCCCTCTCCTTTGACTAACTACCGTCTCGTCTTCTAGTCCCGGCGAAGTTATCGAGGCTATCAACGAAACCTCTAAGTCAGTCGTTGTACATTACTGGGCTCCTTGGATGGGGCCCGAGTCGCCCTTCTTTCCAATTTTCTGCGAGGCGGATGAAAATCGGGGCGACGAGGTTGACTTTGTCATCGTGAACAGTGGGTTCATTCTCCCGCCGCATTCGCCCGACCAGATGCCCTTGACAGTCCTCTACAAGCAGGGGGAGGAGGTGGAGACGGCTCAGTTCGATCCCAGCGAGGTCCAGGAGCTTATTGAAAGGGCGTAAAAGGTTGGAGGTTGAGAGGATCATGGCATATATACCTTGTCAGCTGGATGATAGATTCTCCATCACATTCACGAATGTTATTCAGTTTAGATTAAACAATACCGTACAACAGCCTCTGCATTCACATGACAACATAGGGAAAACCCCTCGACTCGCAAAGGGGAAAATTCATGCCAAGGCCGACTAAGAGCAAAGACACACAGAAAGTTCAATTGCGATAGGAATCGGTTTCACTGAGCCCAATGCCGAGCTTGTCAATCTCGTCGGCCGCGCTTCCCTCCGCACCAGTGATGTAGCCAGCCCCAAGCTGGTAGGCAGTGGCCCCGGTGCCTCCCGCACTGAACCGACGCCCTTGGCTCGTCTCAAACTTGATACAGTCAACGTGGGCCGCCGCACGGATAGTCAACGATTTGACCGTCTCTCCCTCCTGAAAGGTAAAGGAAGACTTCTTATACAGGGTCGTATCCTTTTAAGTCTTCCCGAAGATGCCCATGCTGTCCGATCCTGGACGCTCCGATCCTCCCAGCCAAACCACGTAAACTTGATGCCTTTGAGGACAGTGCTCGAGCCCAAATTTACCGTGCCAGTCCACACCGCCAGAGTCTTCAGCGTGAATTTGTTCGGCGAATAGGCATAGAACGCAGTGCCTTCCCCGCCGCCATACCGGTCCAGCCCCACGCTGAGGGGCGGCAGGGTCACCAGGGTCACCAGGGTCACCAGGGGGTTAGTCCTCGGGGAACGACGACTCATCGGATCGGCCTCTCCTAATCAGATCATCGAGGAGGTCCCCCACGATGTTCTCGGCGGCGCTGAGGATAGTCGATGGGGTGAAGGAGGAGGTTTTCTTTCGGAGCATTGGCACCACGCTCATGCTGGTGGCGATCAGCGTCGACAACAGCTCGCCGGCATTCTCCTTGCCGAATTTGTTCTCCAAAAAGGTCTTGGGTTCCGTGACCGCCTCGTATAGCACGGTCCAACCCCTGGCCGCGAGCGGACCGACGACGGGGATCATACCCACGCCCAGCACCGCCACGTCGTTGATGAGCTTGGAGGCGGACGGCCACGCCCCCTTCGCCTTCCCGTGTTGGAGCAAGGTGGGCCTGAGACAGCAGCTGGGCCCGGTCGACGGCCTCGTTCGACGAGCTCATGTTGCGTTTGCGGACCGACCCCGGCCAGATCGTCTCATCCTTCAGGCCGGGGCCCGTGGCGTAGTTGGTCGGCTGCTGCGCGCAGTCTGCGTATAGTAGAACTCGTCGACGCTGGCATTGTAGACTACCTAGAGGAGCACATGGTTGTAGAACTGTTTGGCGTCGGAGGGGTTAAAGTTCCTGCACTTGAGCAGATCGTTTAGGAAGGGCACTTCACCCAAAGGGAGACTAATCATTTTGTGGTACGGGTGAGACGAGGTATAGATAGAGATAGACCTAGTTGCTGGCCAACATGGTGTCTGATTCGACTCAGCCATGATCTCTGTTGTTATACATTGATCACCAAGCAGGTCAGGCGGAAGAAAAGAGCACCTCAAATCAATTAAATGGAAGCAAAAACATACAACAGAAGGGATTCGCTGGTGGTCACCCACCCAACTACTAACCTCCCGGCGTGTGGCTTAAGTACGGCTGAGCGGACGGGAAGCCCTGTTTTCCACACCCTGTGGTCGTATGTGCTTATCCATATCGCTGGAAAGCTCATATAGCACGACATGGGTAAGCTTTCCAGATCATGTTCTCCCGGAACAGGATCCCCAACGTATAAAGGAAGGGGGTGTTATCTAAATCATGAAAGTAGTATTGAATCTGCCAAAGAAGAAAAAGTCAAGTCAGCAGGGCGGCCACACCGCACTCACTCACCACGGCAACCGCGCTCAAGACGGCGGGGCCCAAAGCGGATTCTGGCGACACAGCTGCTTGAAATGCAGCAAGAGATGGAGGATCTGAGACGCTTCCAGCGCACGATCAAACGCGTGGCCCTGCCACTGGCCATTCACGGGAGTATGTTGGGCCATGGGGTCTGCGCGCAGGCGCTTCGGTTCACGGTCGCGGTAGATGGCGTAGAATCGGCACTGGCCGTTGACGACCACGATCCCCTTGAAATCCTGGGTGCGGCCCGCCGAGGTCGGGACCAGACTCTGGAGATGCAAGAAGCGCATGCGCCCCGGCACGGCCTCGGCCGGTACCCCCGGATGGGGGTCCCCGATCATCGTGAAGAAGTTCCCGGAGCCCGGAGTCGAGATCTGGAGGAACTCGTTCAGGATCAGGTTCGCGTCCAAGGCGTTGGTCGACCAGCCGCGCAGGTAGATGTATCCCTCCGCGCGCGGGAAGACCGACTCCAGCATCGTCACCATTTGGTCGAATAGGGTCGGCGGCTGCTGCGGCTGCGCCATGGCTACGGTTCTGACGTAGGTGATGGTTTACGCGGGAAACACTGGTTGGTCTCGTGCTTGGTGATGTTGATGAGGTAGTCTTGTCACGAAGGTGTTTGGGGGGTGGGACTTCCATAGAACGTTACGAGGCGTGAGAAGTATTTATGGCCTCAAGGGTATCCAAGGATCTGGGAGCTCACTGCAGACTGGCTCTTCTGCGCACGGAGTACTTCTATTATGCTGAAAGAGCAACTGGAAGTTCCCGGTCGCTTGGCTACATAGGATGCGGTAAATTTTCATTCGCGGATATGCAGGGAGATTCCGTGGGATATTCCATGGAATGCTGAGACATGAAGCAGCTGACACCATACGAAGATATGTACCATTTCAGCAAGACACTGTGTTGGAGACCATCAGAGGTTTGTGATGGGTGTCGAGGAAGAATGGCATGACGAAGCATCCGATTGATAATACTTGCATGTGCGGCAGAAGCGAACTTGATTGACGAAGGCAAACATGAGAAGGAAAAAGGAATTGGGATGTCGCACTTCTACTTCTCTGGCTTCTTCCTTGTAGCATAATAGCAGGACGGATAAGGATGATGGACGGGTTAGGGCTTGGATCTTGCCTCTTTCGTCAGTGGGTGCTTTGAATCTTGCCTGTATTTACTATAAGCCCTCAGTGTAGCTAGGCAGATAGAAAGCCATAGTCTCCACCCTCTGTGATGATAGTAATTTATCACCTACTCAGAATGTTCCCCTCCTTCCAGTAGTGCCTTACTTCCCCTCCGCATGCACAAACGTCAATCGCCCGGATTTCTCATCCGGTTCTAACTCGTCCGTGATCACCCCAGCCCGCCGCCGCGCGACGAACCCCTTGGTCTGCGACCCCGGCACCAGCCAGGGTTCATGCTCGAACAGCGCCGTCATCTCCTCGAGGGGCCGCAGGGCGGTTTCCGGCAGCACCAGCCAGAAGAAGATGGCGTTTGTGAAGTTGCACACACAGAAGACCACGTAGAAGCGCCACCCGCCGATGTTGTCGATGGCGATGTCCGTGACCTGGCCGATCATGGTGTTGAAGGCGAACGAGGTCATGGTGGCGATGGAGACCCCCTTCGACCGGGTCTTGGTGTCGAAGATCTCGGCGCAGATGATCCACGTCAGGGGGCCGACGGTCGCGCTGTAGGAGAAGTTGTAGCACCAGGTCATCACGATGAACGCCCAGCTGGCGGAGGTGTTGTTGGAGACGCCGGGAGGGAATTTGGCGATGAGGATCGTGGGGATGACCTTTGTGGGATCTGTCAGCATGCTGTGCAAATAGAGGAGAGGATGCGTGCATACGAAGAACAGGCAATTGAACAAATTCCCAATAATCTGGGGCCACCGCCGGCCCGTCTTGTCGATCAGCATCATGCAGCAGAACTGAGCAATAATGGCGATGATGGAGCTGATGCCTTGGTACTTGAGGGTGTCGTTGGCGGCGATCCCGATCTGCTCGAAGATGGTCGTGCTGAAGTACTGGATGGCGCTCACCCCCGTCATCTGGGCTGCGGCCTGGATGGAGCACGCCAGAAACAGGCGGCGGAAGCAGGACGGGTCCGTGAACAGCTCCTTGTAGGATTTAGCCTCGGCTTCGTGCTCGTGGGCGATCGAGACAGTAATCTGCTCGTACTCCGCCTGGACCCAGGCGTCGGAGGTGTCGCCCCGGGCGTGGAGGCGCGCCAGCGTCGCCAGGCCCTCGTCCAGTCGGCCATGGTCGATCAGCCAGCGGGGCGACTCGGGGAAGAGCAGGATGAGCGCGGCCAGGAAAACGGCCGGCACCATCTGGATGCCCAGGGAGACGCGCCACTGGCGGGAATCATCGTCCGCGAAGTTGATGAAGGTGCCCCAGGAGATCCACGACGCAACCAGAGAGCCCACCCCGAGCATCAGTTGTTGGAGGGATGTGATCCGGCCGCGGATGTTTGGATGTGCCAACTCCGCCTGGTAGATCGGGACAATCATCACCAAGGTTCCTACTCTTCACCCCATGCGAGGATCCCATCCAGTCAGCTACATATCATTCCCTGGATTTCGGAGAGATGCTCACCCCAGCCCCGCAACGGCCCGACCAGCATACAGATAACTCAAGCTCTGCGCACCTGTTTGTAAACCTCTGTTGCCGTTAGCCTCCTTGCTACAGTCCAGCAGCACTGCTCCAAGACCGCATACCCGCCCAGCAAGAAGATTAGGGCTCCGACAAAGATAGTCCATTTCCGGCCCGCATAGTCACCGAGTGAACCGGCGAAATAGGCGCCAAAGAAGGCGCCGCCGGTGAAGACCGAGGTTACTGCTCCACGCTTGGTTGCGTCGGCGTTGAAGGCATTGATAAGCGAGGGACTAGTGAGCGCCTCGGCGATGACACCCAGATCATATCCGTACAGCACCGACCCCAGCGAGGCAAAGACACACACCAGAAATTGATACCATTTGGGAGGGAGAGCCATGATGAATCCCAGCCGCTGGAAAAATAATAACGCAAATAAATAAAGCTTAGCTGTGCCATCGCACTTCGTCCCCGAGCATCAAGCTTTTATGCAGATTTCTTGGGGGGGGAGGAAAGAGGGGGAAAGAGGAATCCCCCGCAGGAGTTTTTCCCTTTGCTCTCTGATGCATCTCCGGGATGGCGCCTGAGCCGCCGGAGGTGGCGTGGTATCGTTCGCTCACCCGGCAGCCTCCATGAACTGACTCTGCTGGCTTATCAGAGTTAAGCCTTGCGGGTGGCTTTCTGTAATTCCTGCTCGGTCCTATGCCGGGGCCCCGGGATTTCACCACCCCCGCCGGAGTCTGTCGCTGTCTGTTTGTGGGGTGATTTAGGGAACTGAGTCATTTGACGGACAGCATGTGAAGCAGCTTCACTCATTCGTCTGCTTTCATGGTGCTCCAAACGTCCCTTTCGGTTATGGTTCATAGCATAGGCAAATCATAACTCTGATCCGGATCCATCATGGGAACCAGGCCTCCCCAGCTGTTGGTGAATTTTCCGGGAATGACAGGCCGGGATACCTAGTGAAGCGATCCTCATGACGCGGGGAAGGCGCTCTGATACATTTCCCTAACCAGTGACTCGAATAACACCTGGAAACAGGATCAGTAAGACAATAATAACTCAGGTTAGGATAGTAATCACGCAGAGTGTGGCTGAAGATGGCGTGGCTTGGCCCAGTATCGGAGGCATATGTCAGCGGGAAGGCAGAATGCCGGGCGGGCGGTGCCGGACTTAACTATGGAAATAATTAGGGCTGAAGCCGGAATGGCCACGCGGCCTCCGCCGTTCGACCGCAGTCTAGACTTGACTGTGGACACAAAGTTGATTCGGGAAAATCTACCCGGTGAAATGTGGTTGGCTCTATCCAAGAAAAAGCTTTTTTCATGGTACGCGGAACGCGCCCGTGCATACACAAGAGGAGAGTGGTACGCGACTCCTGGGACGTCGAAGCAATTTTTATTGGTCTTTATACCCTGGAGAACCGGTGAAGGGAAACGCAGAAAAGGGAAAGAAAGAAAAAGAAAAGAAAAAGAGAAGAAAAGAAAGGAAGAAAGGAAGAAAGGAAGAAAGAAAGAAAGAAAGAAAGAAAGAAAGAAAGAAAGAAAGAAAGAAAGAAAGAAAGAAAGAAAGAAAGAGAGGAACGGACGAAATAATCGAATGAAAAGTATGTATTCAAACTATGAGATCTATGGTATGGTTATCACATCTACCGACGCGACATGCATGTAGCCTAGTTGGAGTGCTGCACGGGGGGCAACAGCGCGATCTTAGAGTCCACGCTGAATGTGAAGGAGTCGGAGGAAGAGGACTCCGACGACGAGGAGCTGGAGGCTGAGAAGGAAGACGAAGACTCGTAAGAGGACGACGAAGAAGCGGCCGAAGAGGAGGCCGACGACGCTGACGACGAAGTAGACGAGGCAGAAGAGGAAGAGGTTGAAGTCGAAGTGGAGGAGGACGAGCTCGACACATACACATCACCCACGGAGTTGACGGCATCATCGGTGAACATGTAGTTATTGGCGCAGTAGAAGAAGGCGTAGCGCGTCACAGAAGACTGGGAGTCGAGCCAGGAGACCGCCTCATCGAGGAAGCTCACGGTGGTGTCGGTGTCGGAGACACCGCTGGTGTCGGCGCTCAGGCCGAATTCGGTGAGCCAGACCTCGGAGATGTCGTATTCGGCGGCGGCCTCGATGGCTTCGTTGACAAAGGTCTTGAGTTCGTCCACGGAGTCGCCGTACCAGTGCACGGCGAGCGCGGAGATGTTGCAGCTTGAGCAGTCGCTCATGAAGCTCTTGAACCAGTCCAGTCCCTCGCCGCTGCTAGTGGAAGAAGTCACGGCGGGACTGACCAGCTTGGCGCTGTTGGCGTAGGGGGTGATGTACTCGGCGTAGAGTTCCGCCGCGGTGGCAGCGGTCATGTCAGCCTGCGAAGACATGTCGGGCTCGTTGAAGCCAAGGATGTACAAACTGCCCGACGAGAGTGCAGTCTCGACCGCGTCGGTCCAGCCATCGACATAGTCAGAGCCAGAGCCCCAGAGCATGGGGACGTATTCCACGTTGGAGGGCATGTCGCCTCCCATAGAGCTGCCCCAGTTGTACGACCACGACACGGTACCAGCCTCGTCGGTGGTCAGGGTGCTCACCAGGGTAGCATCATTGTACGCAGCACCGCGCTTGCCGGTAGAGCGCTTCTGCAGGCTGGTTCTCCGAGTTTGGACCGGGAAGGCAACAGCCGAAGCAGCGAGCAGGCCAGCGGTCAGAATACGGGCGAAAGAGGGCATCTTGCGGACAATGATCGGACAGGGTCGAAAGGATTTGAATGAATGGGTTCTCGGATGAGATGTAGCGATGAGAAAAGACTGTCTTGGGACAAATGAATGACCTGAAGCAGTAGAAGGAAAGACTAGGTGCACAGCACGCGATTCGAACAATGAATGAATGAATAAATGAGGAATTCAATTGACCAGGCGATGGAGATATTGGTGATGAAGCAGGGGAACGTGTGTTATATAGGCAAGCGAGCCCTAAGTTGGCAGGTAACCGCCGGTCCGCCCGGCATCGCGGCCATGGGCGGATGGTGCCTGAGTGGGCGCATGGCTGAGAATCTAGAATCGGTATACCATTCGATGACAGCCCCGCTGCTGCGTAAGTCAATGATGGACGCCTATCCAAGCCCTAACCGTGAGTGTGGGGTTGCTGGGCTATGGTCGGACGACGCCTGGAGGCCTCACTAGTCACTAGTGTCTAGTCACTACCATAGACAGGCTGATGCCGCATTGACTGAAAGTGTAGCCATTGGCTTGAAAGTTGGCGCCGGCTCGTTGGATCAATTTTAGCAGTCGACCGCAGCAGCCGGTGGATCCATGGCGACGTTGTTGTCATGGCCGTGGTGGGTCTGTCACTAGTCCAGAACTCTAGATCGGTCCAAACAATCGACGGAAATATCTCCTGTGCGATAGCGATTGGACTATTTCCAGGCATCAAGAACTAGGTTAGCCCCGACAAACATGAAACACATACGTAGTCTTTGCTGAAACACCAGGAGTCAATGCACCGGCCATGTGTTCCTGAAAGGCTAACTTACAACGTACTACTCCGTACAATTTGGTGAGGTTGCGAGATGCCGCTGGAATCTACCAACCCATTTGTCACAATCCTAAACATCGTTTCGCTTGCTGTGATTTGACAAATCGGTGAATTGCTCTACAATCCATACGCTCAGTCCTTTATCTTCTTGAGGAGTCATGTAGCTTTATTCACCGCGACATTGCCAACCACCCTTGGGACAGTGATCTTGCCCACGAAGTCTTTGGGGAATAGAACAAGTACTGTACTTTTCAACTCCCTCGCGGTTTTCAAGCCCCACCACACATCCAAAGCCTTTGCAACGCTCGAGTTCACCGCGGTCGTACTTGCCAGACTCATCTGCCCTGTGGGGCATCTTGGTCCAGTAGCATTGTCATCCGGTCAATACCCGTCGACCTAGTATGAATCACGGCCAGCCAACCAACGAAACCACGGGCATCAGCATCAGAGAGGATGCACTAAAGTATACGTACTGAACGGCCAGTCGGCGCTGAGACTGTCTTCGTCGACTAGGATTGGACTGTACACGGCGCTCGTCCTTGTAAGACACGAATTTCGCCCGCAGACCTCGACTGCCTTGCGCTTATGCCACCATCACACTCGCGCGTGGGGATAAATCTATGTACAATTTTCTGACCCCATTCCTGCTCACAATCACGCAGGAAGGTACTCTGACCAGTCGGTAGGCTCATCGACCACGACTTCCACCTCCGGCATATCCCGGAAACTCTGCCCTCGTACCCCCACGTCCTAGCGACCCCTGTCCGTGCTGCTCCTCCAGCTTGGATCTTCGTCCTCCGACCGGCCCCAACTCCTGGGCTCCCCAAGCGCGAACTGATCCACGTACAACAGCACAATGGAGTCTTGAATTGAGCGCTCTCCCACTTCCTGAAATGCGGTCCCTTTACGGCACAGACGCTGCTATGCCCATATTCAACGGCACGACGGGCGGATTTAGATCGCACTTGATCCTCCCGCAGTCGAATGTAGGTCGAAAAGGGGGGTCTGTCGGGTGCTGTAGCAATGCGGATGTGCATGTCAAGCTCGACGACAAACGACTCCAGGATTTCTCGAGTGCGTTAGCATGGTGATGAGTTATGCTATGCTTTTTAGATGGCGTTAAACAAAACCTATGGCGGGTTTTGATTCCGGGTTTCTGTTTTGTGTTCAATGGTGGAGATTGACCCTATCTACTTTTAACACCGGAAGCCAGAAATATACCACGAAGGCTGTTCCCCTCGCCAAAACATAGAACAATTTACATCATTTGACCTTTGAGCCTTAATAGAAAACCACAAACCATCATAGTTGTCTGACAAAGATACCATAACATCTTTGGGTACATACATAATGTCCAGATTCATTTGTTCTATAGCCTAAAGATCATGTGGAATCGTGCTCGATGAAAAGAGCAGAGCATTATCTGCAGGGTAAAATATCATTACAGAGACGGATGCAAGTATCACCCACATGGGCCTATGGCGCAATTGGTAGCGCGTACGACTCCAGATCGTAAGGTTGCCTGATCGAGCCGGGCTGGGCTCATTGCTTTTTTTGGTTTTCATGGTTTTTCCCCTGGCTCGCCACCCCCTTTTCCTTGTCCCAATATCCATGTTGATTGGTTCTGACTGTGCGGCTGGCCCCACCAATTGTCCTCGGAATCTATTCCTCTTTCGAAAACCTGTCACTAAGACCTTTGTGCGGCCGAATACGTATGTCTTGTGCCCGGTTCGCTGTCACTTTCTCATATATTTCAACTCTTGTTGAAAGAAGAGGTGTCGAAAGCGTTATCAATAAGGACCAAATATGACCCATACCCATCACATGTAAAGCAGCAAGCCCAAAAGCAGTCCAAAATACCTTCTGCGATATCAAGCGGAGGATGCCTAAACTCACGTTGCTACCACGGCAGAAACCTGAATGCGACGATCACGAACCAACAAAATCATAGACAGTATGGACATTGAGTCGCATTATCACAACTATGACCGTCCGCGCAGAGGTTGATACCAAGAGGTCTTCGACAAAACGCACCCAGCTGTGAGAACATGTGTGTATATTGAGATGTGTGTAGCTAGTGGAATACATGGATCTGGCGGAGACGCTGAAGTCCGAGATCTCCCATTAGTCGAGCAAGAGACCCTTCCGGCATGGTCATCCACATAGGAAAATTCCCTACAGTCGGCGACCCCCCCTTCCCCTTTGAACTCTGTGCAAACTATTTGAATCTCTGGCATAGGAAACAGTACAGAAAAAAACAAGCTCGCCTAGCTTCAAGTATTCGAGTACACCTGACCCGATGGGGAGTTCCATATCCAAGAGGTCCCTTCCACAGGGCCAGCAGTCAGTCGTACCTTCTATATATAGGGACTCCAACACACAACAAAACTGATCAACTCGAGCATCGGAAGACTTGGTATGCTTTGTACGGATCCCAGTTCAAAATATACCTACGTATCCCTATTGTTATTCCCTTCTATTTGACTCCATCCTTAAAAGGAAGAAAGGAACTGAAACAGAAAACCACAACCATGGCAAGCGACCCAGCCGCGACCCAGCCCGCAGCTTCTGCGCTCCATCCACCCACAGATCGGTGGGAAGACTCTCCTGTGAATCGTGATGCTCTCCGGGCCCACAAGTACTGCACTCAAAGATGTCTGCTGAGCCTGCAACGCCGTGGTAGGCTGGACGAGAAGTGCCCCAACGTCGAACGGCACCGAGTCAACGGCGGCACCCATCACCCCACGACCGTCGAGGAGCTGGTGGAGCAGATACGATTGGGACTGGACCACAACCTGGAGCGTGCGATGCCCATCGTCGGGCCCGGCTACAGACGCGCTGCTCGCCCTGGCGGCTCCGGCGCCCCGTTCAAGGTCGTCTCTCCTCGGTTCGGATACACGGTTGTCGGCAAAGGAACCATATGTCGGGTCTGGCCGCGCCTCGAACGGGAGGCTGATGTGTACACGCAAATCCTGGTGGCAGCACAGGGGTCCGCAGTGCCCGTGTTCTTGGGTAAGATCAACCTGCAGCAGCCATATGAGCTAGAAGGCTTCGGACGGGTCCGCCACATGCTTTTGATGGGCTACGGGGGCGAGGAGATCGGGATGGTGACGAGTATGAATCGGTGGGTCCGGTACAATCAAGAAACCACGTCCGCCCACGAGATCGAGGTCCTTGGGGTCGTGCACAAGGACCTGGCCCCGCGGAACGTGCTGTGGAATGCGGAGCTGGGCCGGGCCATGATCATCGACTTCGAGGCGTGTGACCTCGTGCTGGATCGGATCCCAAGGCGGCCCGCTTGGGTACCACAGGGGCTGGCGAGTCGCCTGTCGCAACAAATGTCTTTGGCCATGATCCCAAACGAGCACCGTGGGCATTGCAGATACCACAAGGTGTGCTGCCATCATGACCCGCACAAGACTTGTCCAATGAGGAAGTATGGCTTGCCACCATAGAACTTCTTTTCTGGGCGATCTGATTTCTATTCAGATTCAATTGATAGATTAGTTTAGCCAGAGTTTTGTTCTTAATATACTAGAATCCACGTTTGACACGAGCCTTAAGGCGGAAACTCTTAGAGCGCCACACAGCCGTCTTTAAATCTCATAGTAAGCGTCGTGGTGACGCGGCCCCCGCAGTAATCAAAGACACAGGATTCATCTGAGCCATGCGTTCTTTATCTAACGGTCATTGGCTATTAGGGGAATGCTAAGCTCAATAGTGGTTAGCATGCTTGCCCTCCATGCATAACAGTGGTGCTCGGATAAGTCGGGTCAGCATGGGTCCCAGACTTAACAATTAGTTGGACGGGCGCAGACCCAGAATAATAATTCGCTCATACATCCCCCATCCTCAGCCGTGCAAGATATATCATCTTACTGAGACATATTTGGCCCTGGATTATGGATTAATAACGCATTTTGGAGGTCTAAGTGTTTCTTGGTTTGTTCCCTCAGGCATCCTGTGGCTTAGGGCTACGTCTTGCCCCGAGCTAGTGAGGTCTGGGTGGTGAATCCTATCTAGGCGAACCGTGATAAGATAATTTACATGCCTCACATATCATTCATTTTTCACTGGATCCAAGAGAAACTCTATCCTGGAGCTCTCTTCAGGTAGCTACCGGGAGATTATGAGGCAACTACATGAGTGATATTGCGAGACGTCATGATTGAGGTCAGTTTCCTGTAAGCAAGCCCTACCATGAATTTCCAAGGTCAGCTTTTCGGGCACAGACAACATTCAACTCACTCAGCCCGTCAATGATCTACTCTACGGCAAGGGGTTAGATAGTCAGCGTCTCGGGATTTTTGAGTATAAATCTAGGATGGCTTGCTGCTGGATTCCTCCCATGATTCCACATTATCATTCAAACGTCCTTTGTACCCCCATCTTCAAAAAGCCGCCAACATGACCCGAGTCATCCTAGCCTTCATTTGCTTTCTTCTCATCAGACTTGGACAAACAGCAGTGTCCCCTCTTCCTTCGAGCACCGGACCATGCGACGTCATGCTTCGCACAAGCGAACTAATCGACCTGTCTCGAACCGATCCCTTTGACCCCAAAGGAGGAAAACGTGCTCTGCTGGTCACCACCTTTACCCCCGCGAGTTGCGGAAGTGTACTGTCCACATCATACATCCCGAATGCAACAGCCAGGTATGAGGACGAGTTTCTCCAGTCTTTCGGAATACCCTCAGGAACGTTCGAGTCGTTTCGGATTCAAACCAAAACCGAGCAGCAGCCACCGCCTTCCAGCCTTGAGGGAAATCACCCGGTTGTGCTGTTTTCACCAGCTCTGGGGACCTCAAGATTGATATACACAGCGCTGCTTCAGGACCTTGCCAGTTACGGATTTGCCGTCATCTCCGTCGATCATCCGTACGATGCCGACATCGTGGAGTACCCCGACGGCCGCACGGTCGTCGGAATCCTCGGCAACATCAGTACAGATGCGCAATACGACTCAGCATTGAACGTTCGCGTTCAAGATATGAGATTCGTCCTGAATCAGACCCACAACACCACGGCGCTCGGGGACATCTTCCCGCTGGCTCGGGGAAATGCCCAGCTACTTTCTCTGGATCGAGCAACAATCTCTGGCCATTCCCTGGGCGGAGCCACCGCCGCGCAGACCCTACTGGTCGATTCTCGATTCGTCGGAGGCATCAACCTGGATGGTTCACTGTGGGGGTCAGTCGTGGACGAGGGACTGTCGCGCCCGTTCCTGATGTTCGGGAACGCGAACCACACCCAGGCAACCGACGCCAGCTGGGCAGCAGTTTGGCCGCATCTGCAAGGATGGAAACTGGAGCTTCAACTCGCACAGTCGAAGCACTATACGTTCTCCGACTTTCCAGTGATGGTAGATGCCCTGAGTATCTCGGAAGAAGCTAAGCAGATTGTCCAGGCCGGGTACATTGGGACGATAGGCGGGCTGCGGGCCAGAAACGTGATTGTTTCGTACATCACTGCCACACTAAGGTACTTTGTCTATGGGTACACGTCTGATCTACTGAGCGGGCCTTCGGCGGATTTTCCTGATGTGACTTTTGTGTCTTCTTGACTTGGGAGGCGTTTTCTTGGATGATCGACCTGGTGGGAGAGGTGCGTTGCCTGCTAGCTCTATGCTGACGCTGTGGTTGGACCTGGTTAGGCAAGGAAAATGACTTAGTCGATAACAATAACTATCCTAAGCTCTTATTGTCCACGGTATAGTGGAAGGAGATCCTAGCAGACAGACACAGATTACTAAACAATAATTCATTGTCAATAGCTCGTAAAGTAACAATCTTAATGTTCTAGCACAAACATTTGGCACAACGACACTTTCTTTGACAAGACAATCCCTCTTTCGGACTATAGTAACCATACAAAGAGCCCTGACAACCAAACTTTGCTCGTGAAGTAGAGTCTCCAAGAGTCCGTGTCCAACGTAGTCGTTCACTTGAGAGTAGTCATTATCTGTATCAATCTTTATCCATGACCGATCCTGTTTGTATCCCACCCACTATGCCGGAGTGCTTCTCATGCAACTGCATCTCGCACAGCACCGTCATTCCCTACAGCTCACCTATAAAACACCCGCAATACCTCCTACACCAACTGAGCCTCCCCACACCCACCCAAATTCTCAACCCCAGAGACCTGCGCCAACAGCTTCTGTTTCCTTCACCAAGAGGAACCATCAACCATGGCAAGGACCGGCGAACCCCCGGTGCCCAGCACCATCGACGGCGTCATTTTCACGCTCACACGGCAACAGCACCCCAACCCACACGGGGTGATGATCGACCACGTGCACCTGGAGCGCGAGGGCCTCGGCGAGGGCGGCCACTGGGTCTCCCTGGCAGGGCGTCTGCTCCAGCAGCACTGGTGCCGGTGTCCGCTGGGGCGGGGGGAGCAGCGCAGGGGGGCGGCCGTCATCTGCGGCGGCCGCGTGCGCCTGTTCACCGATGAGCCCACCTTCCGCCAGCCGGTGGCCCTCCCCTTCTACCACCTGAATGAGGCCGAGTGGCCCGCGATCGACGGCATGGCCCCGCCCCTGCCGGTGCTCCTCGCGTTCCAGGAGCATTTGATGAAGCCTGCGACTGGGTTGACTGAGGAACGACTCTAGGTTGGACTGGCCCCTTTCAAGGGGAGGTAGCTAGGAGAGGCGGAGATATACACATAAATAAGAACAAAATCTCATCAACTCGGGCTACCGGGCAATTGATGTTAATTTGAAAATTGAATATGCAAGTCTTTTGGCAACACCGCATCGGATCTGTAAATACTAATCCCTTTTCAGATAAGCTTCAATTCTAACTTTGTACCCTTCACGCTCGCGATACACGGGCCACGTAGCGGTCGGACATGAGGCCGTACAAAATCAACGCGACGGTGTTGTCGATGGCGAGACTAAGGAAGGTCAAGCCAACGGAGCCACTGGAGAAGACGGTGGGGTAGGCTGACTCCATTGTCCTGTGAGGGTGGCAATGATCAGCGCGACCAAGGCGTAAGTGGTGGCCATGTAGCTCGTCGTCAGAATGAGGATGGGGGACTGGGCCAGGATCTGCATGGGTTCGATCGCGCTTTCGAGCACGGTGGACGCATCGACGCGGGCCTGATGTTTGGCCCGATACTCCTGCCGGCCGTCTGCGCACTCTTCCTGTAAGCGCTCCGCCTTCCACCGCAGAAGGACAACAGAGTATGTCTCGCGGAGCACCCCCAGGAGGAGCAGGCTGAAGAATCCGAGAACGATCACCATCAGCCAGATCAACCATCGCCAACCTAAACCCTGGGCGATATACGCTCCGGCAACCGGGGAGATGCAATCGACCACCATCTGCGTGCCCATCACTAACGTCATAGATCGGCCGGTTTGTTCAATTGGGAACAAATCCCCTACAATAGCAGGCCCGAGGATGAGAATCGACAGGAAGCAGCCCGTTCGGAACTGGAAGGCGATCAGCATAACAATATTAACGCTCAGGGCGCTGGCGACCAAGCAACAGAGCGCGAGGAGATTACCAACATAGAAGACAGGAAGCCGGCCAAACCATTCAGAGAGCGGCGCAATGAAGTTTCCCCAAGCTTCCAAATTGTGACAAGCAAGGTCTAGTCGATCTTACTGTGCGAGTGGAACTCTTGCAAGATTTGTAGTGCCGTGGGCACAATCATCATAGTCGAGAAGACACTGTAGAAGATACCCAAGGCTGGTCTACTTGGATTGACACTGCTAACATGGCTGCACTGTACTACTCCGTAATACTCCCATAAGTACTACTCGGGAAGTCCGGAGCGGACGGCTTAAGGAGTGGGGCTGGAATATACAGATTATAGTTCATGCCAGAAGAAAGAGTGTTCTTTTCTAATCGAATGTAACAACAACGTCTCGGTCAATTTAGCTTCCTTGAAAATCAAAGGTCTTGCAAAAAGTCAAAGCAGTGGTGGAATGCCCGGCCTAGTCCTTCAGGGTTACAATCATGCGGTTCCAGCCACCTGCGCCAAATCCACCAAAGCCTGCAGTAGAACCTCCTTGTTGCGGCGCAAGAACCAATGGTCGCCGTCTACCTCCCGGAGCGTGAACTGCGTCGACTGCACACCCCAGTGGGCCAATTCCTCACGGTACGCAATATCATCCTGGCGCGCGGAAAACGCCACGATGGGCACACCCAGCTCCGGCTCCTCCTGGTATTCGTAATCCAGCAGGAGGGGTGCGTCGTGGTGGAGCATCTCCAGGATCCCGAGCACGAAGTCCGGCTCGTCCACGTAGCGGGTGACCGCCAGGAGATAGTCGGCACTGCTGTCCCCGCGCAGGCTCGCCATCAGGAGTTCGCGCCGCTTCCACACCCCGATCAGCTGCGGCGCGATAGTGCCGGTGATCATCAGCGCGGGGAGGGGAGAAGCGCCGTTGCGCCGCAGCGCCCGCAGGACCTCAAATGCAATGATGCCGCCAAAAGAATGGCCCCAGAAGACCTCGGGGGGTTGGTCCCACGACTGGATCTCGGCCACGATGCTCGCCACGACGGAGGAGAAGCTGGGCAGCTCTTCGTCGGCCCGCGTCTCTCGGCCGGGCAGCTGGACAGCCACTAGGTCCAGGCCCGGCGGTGGGTTGACGAGAAAGGGCGTGAATAGTGATGCCCCAATCCCCATCGAGTGGAAGCAGACCACCCGCTTTCCGGCGCCTGTGCCCTGGAAAATCCAAGGAGACAATGGCGTCAGTTCCTTCACCAGATCAACCACGGCGGCGTGTTGGTATTTCTGAGTCGAGTCCTTGTGGATTTCTTCCTTGCCATTCGCGAGCAGATCTTGGATCTCGTTGGCTAGTGCCTGGATAGTAGGGTTGTTGTAGAGACGCATCAGGGGCAAGGTCACCCGTAGATCTCTCGCAATCATACCTCGCACTTGCGTGAGCGTCAAGGAGTCAAAGGCGTAGGTATTGATCTCTTCTTTCGGCTCGATCCGGCTCGGCTCGACGCCGATCACCTTGGCGAGACCGGCAGTTAAGACCTCGATCACGGGTCGGTCGTCCTTGGCCGATCCAGTTGGACCATCATTGTCGGCCACTCCCTTCTCATGCTGCACCTTAGCATAGTACGCGTCTTGCCGGAGGTGGTTATGTATGTCGACGAATGCCGAGAAACTGATGCGGCCAAGGACACGATGACAGGCCTTGCGGATAATGAGGCGCTCCAGGGTGGCCTCCACCGTATCGAAATCAAGTTGCAAGAGCCCTTGTGCTTCGAGTGAATCCAGGATGCGACTCCCAAGGTCAGCCGTGGTCATGCCGGCGTAGGATCCCAAAACACCCAGGCTGAGCGAAAGCCCTGGTAGGCCACACGACTGACGGTGGGCGGCTAGGGCATCGAGGAACTGATTCGCTGAAGCATAACTCAGCTGCCCCGGCTGGGCGATAACAATCGAGATCGAAGAGGCCATCATAAAGAAGTCCAGGTTCTTGTTTTGGGTAACCCGATGTAGATTCCAGGCGCCGAGCGCCTTGGGGCGAAACACCTTCCAGAAGGCAGACATCGTCGTTTCACTGGAGGGGAGATTATTGATCACGCCAGCACAGTGCATGACCCCTGCGATCGGCGGGTAATCGGTGGTGTTTTCAAAAATCGCTGCAATCTCCTCGTAGTTAGAGACGTCCGCTTGCTTAATGATCACTCTCGCTCCTTGACGTATCAAGTCATCGATGGTGGCCCGATGCTCAGCGGATTTGGGGCCGGACCGGCTGACTAGCAGAAGGTGACGGGCCCCTCGTTTGACCAGAAAGCGAGCCAGCTGTAACCCCAATCCAGCGGTACCGCCAGTGATGAGGTATGTCTTTTCCCTGGACGATAGTCGCAATTGGTCCCGGGGCTTCGACTGAACAAATTCATGTTCCAGCATCTCCACCGCTACTTTACCAATGGCGGATGAGCGAGAGAGCGACTTGAGCGCCTTGGGGAACTCGGCAAAAGGGAACCGGGTAACGGGGAGTGGCAGTAATTTCCCCTGGTTGAGCAGATTGGAGACCTCTAGCAGTAGCTGCCGGTGGAGCTCGGGCTTTTGAACAGGCAAGGAATCAACATCTACCACAAAAAGGGTACAGTTCTTCCGCAAGGGTTGGAGGCCGACTCTCATGTTCCGGTAGACATCACTCTTACCCAACTGCAGGCAGCGGCCGAAGGGAGCCAGACAGGCGATCGACTGAGAAAAGATATTCCCATTCGATGAATTGAGGACCAGATCCACGCCTTTGCCATAGGTCACTTTCTTGACATCATCACAGAAAGTCACCGACCGTGAATCAAACACAGCCTCCACCCCCTCGATGGCTTGTATCCAGGATCGACGTTGAGGATTGCCGGCGGTTGCATAGATGCGAGCCCCAAAGAGCTTGGCGACTTGGATCGCTGCGATACCCACCCCTCCAGCACCGGAGTGGATCAGGATAGATTCACCCTCTTGCAGGCGGCCGAGATAGACCAAGGCGTAATACGCTGTCATATATGCCATCGGCAAACAAGAAGCCTCTGCCAGCGAGATCATTGGCGGCACAGGAACAACGAGCTGATGATTGACCACCACGGACCCTCCGAGACCATTCGTGACTCGGGCCATCACGCGGGCCCCGACCTCCATGCCACTCACACTGGCTCCCACTCGCGTCACGACGCCAGCGACTTCCATCCCCAGGTTGTCGCCACTCAGCGCGTCGGGCGTCGCCTGATCGGATTGCATCCCCATGGACGTTATGACGTCGTTATAGTTCAGCCCCGTCGCATGGACTTCAATAGCCACGTCCTCCGGGCCCAGCACCGTGGGTTCCAGATCATGGATGGCGATTTCCCCGAACGAACCACCGTGGACCGGCTTACTGTAGTAACTTCCTCCTCGCGCGGGCACTGGTTTAGACGACCGGTCCTCGGACGCGCTGTCGACGGTCGTGACCTGTGGATAATAGCGACCGGACGAGCGAACGGCGACCACGCAGTCATGGCGACTGATGCGGGTATTTCCCAAGGCTTCGTCTAACGAGGATAGAGATTTCCAAGAACCGCGCAGGGGAAGATCGACCACCTGTACGGATATCCGCGGTAACTCATTTCGCATCACCCGGACCGCGGCCTGGACGCTGGCCGAGGCAGGGTCGCACTGAGTGTCCGCGGAGGTCAAGCAGCCACCTCGGGTGAGAACTAGAACTGTCGAGCTTCCAGCATCATGTTTGAGCCAGTTCGCGACCTGAGTGAGCGCGCGATAGACCAACTCGATGTGTTTTTCGACATCAGGACAAGCCATATTCATCACAGCCGGTATGTAGATCAATACTCTGCGGTCCAGACGAAACCCAAATTTGTCAGCATCGAAGTTCCTCGCGGCCTCTTCGAGTGGGAGCCGGTGGATTGGGACTGTGGGAAAGACATTTTGAAAGAGACAGGCATCATCGATATCTGTGGCCAGGCCGAGATCGAGGGAGACAATGTTCGTCAAACTCCGCGGAACACGGTCATCATATTCGGTCCCGTTTGGCGCATGTTCAAACGTGATCTCATGCTCCAAGGACCGAATGGTCTTAGTGGACCCCAGCCGTTTGATGACGAGGCTCTTGACAGCAACAAGCAGTCGACCGTCATCGGCATAGACTAGAATGTCGACATTCAAGGTCTCATCGGTCTGACTCTTCACTTTAACGTTTGACCAAACCGTCGAGATACCGCGTGAATCAACGACCTCAATCGCTTCCAAAGTATAGGGTAGATAGACCGCATTGACACCGATATTGTGCTGTACGTAGGCATTGACGATATGGAAACTGGCATCCAGGAGGGCGGGGTGGAAACGGAAACGGGCTGCCTCATGTGCGATGGCGGCCGGTAATTCTACATGAGCAAAGATCTCATTTCCTCGCCGCCAGAGGCTTCGGACGCATTGAAACGCTTCCCCATAAATCAGCCCGGCGTCTCCAATGTGTTTATAGAATTGCTCCACATCCACCTCGGTTGCAGATTGAATTCGGGCTTGGACACTGCTCATCTGCTCAGGTGTAACAGTCGACGGATCGTCAAGCATGTTAATTCTCCCCCGCGAGCAGACTTTCCATGGCGATTCTGGTTTGGCGTCTGGGGCGCGGGTGGCAATCACATAATCCTTGTTCATTGAGGTGATCTCCAGGATGAACTGAGGAGCAAAGTCTTCTGCGGGACTCAAGATCAGTGGAGCCTCGAACCGGAGGTCCTGCAGCCAGAGTCTTGATCCGGGGGTGTATCGATCAGCAGCCATGTATGCCGTCTCGATATGGCCGGTCATTGGGAACACCATGGCGGTTTCCACGCTGTGGTCTTTGAGAAAAGGCGAGGTACCCGTGCTGAGTCGAAGTCGTAATGAAGCACGACCATCGTCCGTTAGCTGAGTCGAGTCGAGATAGAATGGGTGGCGTCCCTTTGAAAGTCTGGCCTGCTCGCATTCAGGATTCTCATACCAGAAGCGCTGCCGTTGAAAGGGGTAGAGTGGAAGATCGGTCACACGGCCCCTGCTACCATTGAAGGACATGATATCTGCAGGCACTCCGATCGCATGTGCGGCTCCAATAACTCGTGCTATCGGCTCCAGCTCATTATCTCGTATCATCGAGGGTAAGACGTAAGCGGCACGATCCAGGGAGTTGACAATGTCCTGAGTACCGGAGACCAGCACGGGGTGGGGCCCGATCTCGACCAGATACTCACAGCCGTCCTCTAGCATTCGGGTCACAGTTTCTAGATATCGCACAGGTTTGCGCACGTTGTCAAACCAATACTCCCCCGTAAGATGCGTACCTGACTCGATAGCGGTGGTCACAGTGGAATACAGATCCATCCCAGGATGAGTCTGTTTGCCTTGATAGGTAGACAGGGTCTCGACCAGTTCCATTTTGTGTGGATCCATGAATTGACTGTGGTAAGGCACTTCCACCTTCACAAATTTAGCAAAGGAGCCACTTTCCTGCACATCGGCGGCGACTGTCTCCAAGGCGGATCTCTCCCCGGCGAGGGTAGTCATCTTCAAACCATTCATAGCAGCGATTTCGACGGTGGAGATGGCATTATTGCGGGTAATGAACTCCTCAGCTTCACTCGCCGACAACCCTACCGCCAACATGGTTCCCTTCCCCGCAGCTTTGGCCTGGACTCTGGATCGGATATAGATGACCTTGACAGCTTCTTCAAGAGTCAACGCTCCAGAGATATACGCAGCGGCAACCTCACCAATGGAGTGGCCCACAATTGCGCTGGGGTTCACTCCATAGCCAATCAGGGTCTCAGCCAGGGCAATCTGGATAGCCGCAATCCCCGACTGAGCAATCACCGTATTCGACAGCCGCGAAGGATCATTCGCGTTATCCGTTGAAATCTCCTTGACGATCGAGAATCCAGCCAAAGGTGCATAGATTTTGTCAAACGCAGCCAGCGTCTCCCGGAAGAGTGGTTGGTCCCGGGCCAACTTGGCGCCCATCCCAAGCCATTGTCCTCCCTGACCCGAAAACAGAAACGCAACCCGAGGAGTGGAGGCTGCTGCTGCTGTTGTTGTTTTGGTTGACTTTCTATCAAGCATCAGGATGTCTTTCGAGACCTTGCCTGCGTCCACCTGATCAAGTCGGGCGCACAGCATCTCTTTATTGGTGGCAGGAATAATGGCAATCTTGTGATGGCAGCCGCGACGTTTGTTCAATGTGTAGGCCGTGTCGCTAAGACTTGGGGACTTCTGCTTACGCAGATGATCAGCCAGCTCACTGGCCACTTGCTTCAACGCAGTGTCAGACCGCGCAGACACCACAAAGACCCGCGGATGCGAGGCGCTGACCGAAACCCATTGCTCGGAATCCGAGGAGGTTGGACTGGACACAAGGGAGTTTCCGTCCGAGGGGACCTCGCCAATGATCACGTGGGCATTCGTACCCCCTGCACCAAATGAATTGATCCCCACAAATACCTCATCGTTGGTTTTGCTATCGGGGAAGTTGGTCAGTGTAACCGGCACATCGAGATGGAGGCCGTCCCAGTCAATTTCCGGGTTCCGTTCGTGGTGGTTGAGTTGCGGAGGAATCTGCCGATGGAAGAGAGTCAGGGTCGCCTTGATAAACCCGACGATGCCAGCAGCTCCCTCCAGATGACCGATATTGCCCTTGATGGACCCGATAGCCAGGGGCAGGGCTCTATCTGCATACCGCCGCTGTCCAATCTGGCTGCCAATAGCGGCTGCCTCGATCGGGTCGCCCACAGCAGTGCCCGGACCATGGGCCTCCACGTACTCAACCTTGGCCGGGTCTACCCCGGCCTGAGAGTAAACAGTTTCGAGCAAGGCTTGCTGGCCTTTCAAGCTGGGAACTGTCAGGCCCTCAGCAGTATATCCGTCCTGATTCACCAGAGAGCCACGGATCACTCCGTAAATCCGGTCCTTGTCCTGCAGAGCCCGGCTGAGAGGCTTAAGATAGACCACGGCCACGCCTTCGCTGCGGACATAACCGTTCCCTGCCGCGTCGAATGATTTGCACTGTCCATCTGGGCCAAGAAAGCCACCTTTGGACAGAAGAATTGAAGTCTCGGGGCGAAGAATTGCATTCACACCCCCGGCCAAGGCAGCATCACCGTCACCAGACCAAATACTCTGGCAAGCAAGGTGGACCGAGACAAGACTGCTCGAGCAAGCGGTGTCCAGACTGACGCTGGGGCCTTGAAGATTCAGTCGATGAGAGACACGGTTTGCAATCGCACAGCTGGTACTCCCCATCGCAATATGAGGGGTGATGTTATCGCGCTGTTGGGCCTCCGTCTGCATGGCCAGATGATCATACATGAAGGTCCCGAGAAAGACGCTGGTCCGGGATCCTGAAACCTGCTCCAAAGGCGTGCCCGAGTCCTCCAAAGCATGAAAACTGGCTTCCAGAACCATTCGCTGCTGAGGATCAAGTTTGGATGCCTCGGTTGGATAGAATCCGAAAAACTCGGCGTCAAAAGCCGAGATATCATCGACAAAGCCACCTTTCCGGTTGCGAATCGCCCCGTATGCCTGGGAATCTGGGTCATGAAACGAATTGATATCGAATCGATCGCCTGGAACGTCGGTAACGAGATCCAGTCCTTGGCGCAACGCATCCCATAACTCCTGGGTAGAACTGATTCCACCCGGAAGTCTGCAGCCTATCCCAACAACTGCAATTGGCTCGCGTTGAGAGTGGGACATTTTGGTAGTTAAATTGAGGTAGGAGAGTCTGGTTAAGAATAACTGAAGAAGCTTGGATAAGATTGTATAACAATGGTGATGACCTTGATACTGTTGTTGTTGTTGTTGTTCACTGAATCTGGGTCAACGCCGCATATTTAAGTCTCTCACACTTCGGCATGGTTGAAGATCTCTCAGATTCTATCACATTCGCTATCATCTATGCCTTCTTGCATGACGGAGTGCCGAATGCTGTTTCTTTGGAAAGTCTTGCCACAGTCTAGGAGAATGAGAGCTTTACTGTACCATGATGTACCTTACAATGCACCTCAAGCTAGATCGGGAAAGCTGCTAGTTCTGAAGAAGCTGAAGATGAGCCTATCATTTCCCAGAAAGCTCATCATTCTTTGGGGAGGGACGAAAAGAACTTTAAGATGCGGAATGTTTATACTATATTCCCATACAATGCAAGACCCGTAGCTATCGAAGCACATGCGATCTGGCTGCTCTGCTACGGTGCCTTAAAACATCAGAGGACATTTGTTGCGTTGATTTAGCATGCCCAAAGATGTAAACTGTTTGGGATTGAGATCGTTGTGTCCAGGACTACCGGTCTTACGTGCTCCGCTCGCGGTGGGCAGTGTATCTCTTTCAGCACGGTGGTTTTTACATTCCTCGAACTCCCTGGCGAGAAAGCGAGGCCAACGATCATGATGTGCCATGGATTGAAAGGCTCAGTTGCCGACAGTAACAGTAGGTGAATTCATTCTGGTGGAAATTGAGTCTCTGGGATCTCAGTAGTCATCCCGCGGGAGCGTCCCGCTACTGCGAAACAGCAAGGGGTGTCTCGAGACAGTCGTGTCACCAAGCGTGTACGTAAGATACTGATCAACACTGTTTACTGACAGCAAGAAGCTCAATTGAGGTCTTAAGGCGACCGCCTCACAGATCTGTACTCGGAACCTACCAGCTTATCCGAGCTGTAGTCTGCAGATCAGTGGTTTGCTAGGAGGAGGTTGCATATTGAAGTTCTGCGAGTGGGGGGGGGGGAGCATTCTGGCAAAGGAGTAATCGATGTGGCTAGCTTCGAGGCCTAACCAAGCATACCGATCTGTCAAGATAGCAACTAAAGACTCAGTGGATGGGCATGTCTCTACATCCTGTTACGGAGCTTGAGGGGAATTTCTGTTTGATCTCGTCTATATGTCACTCTAGGCACAATCTTGAAGTATTGGACCAATTATAAGTTACTTTCAGAGAACTTCACCACAACCCGTGACGTTTCGGTTGCATTCATTGAAAAAAAACGCGATATCACTTGCGAGTGTTCTTCTTCCAACAGGATCTGCACTTGCAAAAGAAACCAGCAGTCCCAGAATAGACAAAGCTCTGATAATGTGCATTGGGCTTGGTATCAATTGCAAATGACGTTACGTGTGACAGAACTGGGAGGGAGGGAAGGAGTATTAGCATTGTCTTTATGGTTGGAAATAATCAACAGTAAGCATTTTGTTGAATGAATTACAGTGCTTTGATTGTGTTCTGTTATGCTTGAAGATACCTGAAGCGCATCTGAACCACTAGGACTCTGTATAAATCATATAGTATGCTAAATGACGTAGATGCCTTATATATTCATTATAGCCAAACCTCGCAATTGGCATAGTGCAGTTATGCAATCTTTGACGCTTTGGTAACAGAGGAATGTGATCAAAACACTAAGCAAATAGGAACACTAAACACTAATATTGTTCTGTAGTGCTGTGATTACCACTTCTGAAAGCACTTACAATGTGTTCCACAGAGGTGATGATGATGTTTCATTCGCTGGCCCCTCGCTTTAGGCAATATGTAGGGATCCACTATCGCTACTCTTTATCTACATCTTTGAATATGAACACGTAAATAATCACTTTCCTGGCAAATGTGTCCGACTATACAAAAAAAGCCTCGCTAACATCTCGTCAATATGCTTGTGTCCGAACTTTGGTGTTTACATCAGGCGGCGAGAGCAATGGCCATATTTTTAAAAAAGCAAAGCAAGTGAAAAAGCATACCATGTAACTTCTGACTATTAAGCGATGTCCGTGTTCTCGGACGCTTCATAGGGTTCCCCCACCAGCAGCCGCTGCTGCAAATCCATGGCGGTGGCCGCCGCGGCCGTCACGTCGAAGAAAGGGGTGTCAAAAGTGGCGACATTTTCATTCACGAAGCGGCCTTCGCGACGTCATGTTGAAGAATGGGGTGTGAAGAATAGAGACATTGTCGTTCAGCAAGTGGCCCCCGCAAGCGTTGGCTGTGCCGCAAGATAATTGGACGATTCGGGAGCTCGGAGTAATTATCAAATGCCGTGAAGATTCGGCTGTTACACTGCCAGATAGAATTAGGTTACGGCCCATAGCCGACCGTTTCCTGGAACCATTGAACCTATATTGAGCTACAGGAGCTTTTACCGTCCCTGGTAGTGATTTACATTCTTCCTCAGTGGGCTGCCTGCACCTGAGTTTTCTCGGCGACGGCAATTCTCGGCGATGGCAATTCCGGGGATTCCCCTAAGTAAGGGAGTCCAATTGGTCTCACGTCGCTGATTCGTTGCTTATGGATTTCCGAGATATGGAAACCCCGTACAGACGATGTATGAATAGCCCTATTAAGGTGATCTACGCTTCTAAATATCACTGTAGAATAAAAATATGTATAGAGAGATAGCTATAGTGGATCCCTGCATATCGCCTAAAGAAAGCGAGGGGCCAGCGTATGAAACATCATCATCATCGTTATTACAGTAGAATCACTTCGTTGATAAGATGTCTTGATACATCTTAATTTCAACATAAATACATCTGCATCAATATCGACTGCAATTCAAAGCTAGTATTTGAAGTAATTCTTTTGATTTTCTTCTACATAGTATTATGACTCGAGAATTATCAGGTATTCAGTAATAGTATATTTATATATCAACATTGATTCGTAAACTCTGTTTCATTCTCCATTCAACCTAGTAGTAACAAGAGTATCCGAGGTATTCAAGTTACCTTGCGGGCGCGAAGTAACTAACCTACAAATACTTTTAGTCAGAAACAAGGGCACACCCTGCATGGGACTGCCTTGGTGTGTCTCCGGACAGATAATTGTGATTAAATACCTGAGGTTTGATTAAAGCTACTTTCTTGAGCCTAGGTGCCCTTTCAGCTTTAAAGGTCGAATACTAGGTTGTCGTCTCCGGCCGCAAGAGCTTGGATGCTGAAAGTAAGGAGCACGTAGTAGTTAGAATCCAACCCCTTCTATGAATGCAAGTTGACTCAGATTCTTAAGCCTTTTCTGTGATTGGACTCAGAAAGAACTTCCCACTACATCTCAGGCATTCCGATCGAGAAGATCGGCTAATGTGAAGTTCTGCAAATGATCGGACCTTTAAAAAGAGCTGCCGTCATATTGCTGGAACGGGTATGGTAGGCGTATCGACAAGAACGACTGGGAGCGCGACCAAGGCGGCCCATAACAGAATCTTATTCATGGCTTATGTCTTCAACTGCTCTCGGCTCGATGACGGGGACGGAGTCGAGTCAAGTTACTCGGCGCAACCAATTCAGAGTACCACGCTGTGAATGCCTCTCCGTCCGAATTGAGTGAAACGCTTGTTCAACAATGCAGCACAGTTAAGAATAATATTAAGTTATGAATCAGATTTTAAGAACAATTCATTTGTTGCTAGTGCGAGTCAGTTATACCATACACTCTAATAAAATACTAATATATCCTAAATAGCAGAAAAAAATCACTATAATACAACACTCTTTATAAGGGCTGGTGGTGAAATAGTGCAGTAAACGAATGCCTCTCGCGATAGCCAAGGTGGTAGAATTATACCTAAAGGTGTTGTTGCTGATTTCCTAACTTCGCGGGACTGCCGCTGCCTTAGGTGGTGGTTCCGCGACCACCTCACTTAGCCGACATTCCTTCGCGATATCATTGTGAAGGTTGGAAGGGCGCGCAAAGGGCCCTTACAATTATAAAGGTTAAAAGGGCGTGTAATGGCTTTTAAAACTTTTTTTTTTTATATAAGTTCTGCTGTTGCAGCTTGGCTTTCTTTTTTTAAATATTGGCAAGGCCTGGCCTGGTTGGCTGAGCAGCTCACCGCCTACGGCGGCCCTTAGTTCCATAGAGATAGCCTGGAATCCATCCACCTTTCACGCTTCCTAAAATATATTTAATCAGCTGACTTTAACCGCTGTGACGCCTCGGCGAAGTCCAAGACAGCTTGAACCGTCTTGGCTCTCGAGACGATGTCTGGTTTACCTTGCTCACCTTTGTTTGAGCCTCCCAGCAGGCTCGACACGCTGCTCAGCGTATCCCCAGTTTTACGTCTCAATTCTACCCTCAGCTCTCGGAGCCTTGGGCATTCCATCAGCACGTGGGCGACAGTCTCCTGCACAGCCCAGTGCGTTGGAATCCATGAGGATTTCCCCGTTTCCTCAGAGTACAGTATGTTGCCGACTATACTATGGCGGCCACACCCCCTCAAAATTCGACTCGGATACTGTAGCACGAGACAGAGCAGAGGTATACTGTGATCATAGGTTGCTGTCGATAGCAAGGCGATATAAAGCTGTTGTGCTGTTTGCCGAGCGGGAACTAAGCCCTGACCGATGGCGGACTCGCCCGCGGGAGGGCCCGAGACCCCTCCCACAAATACGCAAGAAACCATCGCCAGCCTCACGGAGGACGACCTCGAAGCCAGAACTGCTGTCGAAAGACGGAAGCAGAACCAGCATGGAGACATCTTCGCTCCGTCGGGTCCAGCCGGTCGAATCACCAACCTTATCATTATTTCCGGCGACTTCAATCGACACCATCCGATGTGGGGCGGCAACCACATCGCACCTGGATTTATCGAAGATGCCAGCGACCTAATCGACTTTTTCCAGACTCACAATCTCCATAGCTGCCTCCCCCGAGGCACAGCAACTTACTGGGCCCTGAATAGCCCAGGACAAAACTCAACGATCAATCAGACAGTAACAGACAGCCCGGATCTGCTTGTCAAATGCCATCTGTACCATCAAAACTACGGATCTGACCACCGCGCGACCTACTCAGAATGGAATTTGTAGCCTCAGACTAGACCAAGAACCAAAGCGAGGAAAGCGTACGAGCGGGCGAACTGGTCCAAAATCGGCAAAGAAGTAGCCCAAAAGATGAGCCCATGGAAGCAGATCAAGACCCGGCCAACACTCGACCGAGTGGTGGAGGAGCTCACATCAGCAACGGCCCGGGCGGTGGACCGATTCACGCCTGATATGCGTCGAACGCCATACTCCAAGAGATGGTTTTCCCCGGACCTCAAGGTACAACAAGTAGAAGTCAATCAACTACGCAGAAGGTGGCAGGCGAGCTGCGCGAAGCTCGGATGAGACCATGCTAGCACCACAGCCGCCTGTGAGGCCATGCAACAAAAGCGGCGAGCTTAGACACGGACAATCGAGAAAGCCAAAGCATCGCACTGGAGACAGTTCCTGGACAAGGCGGGTAAAAGAAAACTCTGGAAAGCAGCAACCTATATAAAGCCTTGAGAAACATGGGGTTGCACCCCAATATTGCGAGCTGGCCCTAAGGAGATTATCCAGAACAAAGACAAAGCAAAGGTGTTTCTTAATGTATTTCTTTTTATAATAGACACACCCGAGCCCAGCCCACCAGCTTCACTACTCCCGGAGCTTCTATAGCACCTAATTACGGAACTTAAAGTAGACAGTGAAAGGAATAACAATACTAAAGGAGGATAGTTTATCGATATCAGTTAAAAAAAAGTCTCCGTATATCTGAAGGCCTTTATTATCCGCATTTTATAGTATATGTAGATCTAGAATACTATCTAAAATACTAGTATAGTATAAGGATTATTGTATTACAGAAGCCATGTAAGCTAGACTACTCGCTTTCTGGAGTCTAGTTACTAATTTTACTGCTGAACATACTTAGAACGCCTCCAAAGCAGTAATAGTACAATGTCTGTTCTATCTAGTAAAAAAGCATAGTCTGCTGCCGAACAGCTAATTTTGGCAGACGCCCAGGCCGAACAACTAAGCAAGCCTTATTAGTAATGTCTAATATAATTAACTAAGCATAGTACAGATATAAGGTAGTAATATTGATTTTGTTCAACCTTAAGGGTGCCTTTAGCGGGGTGAATTGGGTGAGCCTAGACTACTCTTTACAGGCGAGAGGGATTCCGACGGTGGCATGGAAGTGGATTGCAAGCTTCATAAGTGACCGCTATGCAAACATCGGATATGACGATTTAGGCACCAAGACAGAGCCCCTCGCGCATGCAGGACTTGCGCGGGGGTCTCGGTCTCCACTCTCTCCTATCTTATTTGCATTCTTCAATGCCGACCTGGTCGACCAACCTGTCGACTCCCACGGAGGCGCGTCGGCATTTATTGACGACTACTTCCGACAGCGAGTAGGCCGCTCGGCCGAGAAAAACCTAGCTATTATGCAGTCCGAAGATATCCCTCGTATCGAGAAGGGGCACGGCGAACCGGGTCCAGCTTCGCCGCCGAGAAAACTAAGCTTATCCACCTCACCAGAAAGAGGGGTGAGCACCTGGAAGGGCAACTTACCTTTAATGGAACCGATGTGAAGCCGTCACCTACAGCACAACTGCTGGGGGTGATGTTTGATCAGGAGCTCCGCTGGAAGGAACACGTTCAACAGGCCTTCAAACGCGCTACCAAAGTCACTATCGCTTCAAGTGGGCTACGGCATCTGCGTCCAGAGCAAATGCGACAGCTCTACCAAGCGTGCGTCACGCCTATCGTGGACTACGCATCAACAGTCTGGCATGACCCGCTTCGGGACAAGAATCACCTCCGACAATCGAACACAATACAGAGAGCCTTATTGGTCCGAATTCTCTCGGCATTTAAGACAGTAGCAACAGCAATACTAGAGGTGGAAGCCTACATACTTCCTACCCACCTCCGCCTCCGCCACCGAGCGCAACGCACCATCACAGAACTACACACTCTGCCTCACGATCACCCCATCTGGAGTGCCCTATCACGAGCCCAGAGACGCAGGGACATTGAAATGGAAGTGTAGCAGTGAAACAAATGGCTAGCCAAATGACCTTCCCCACATCAATCGTAGGTCCGTGCATTTCCTCAGGAATTGCCCTTGTATTCGAGTTCTAATTTCAATACTAAAGATGGTATGCCCCCGAACTGAGTTAGATTCCTACAAAGATCTAATTATTACCTACCCTTCAAAAATCCGTTCACTAAGAGGCAATAAACAAGAGTCTTCCTTACGGATCTGAGTCTCAAGGGAAATTCTCTTCCTATCCTAAAGCTCAGTATTCATTGTTCCTTACATAGAGACCAAAGTTTGCTGGTGGAGCTGCAATCATATTCACTTAAGAACAACAAGATGATGATAGCCTCTACTCATTGTGAGCCCGATAAGACTCTGCGAGGGTATAAGAGCTCCGAAAAAAATACCGTGTATATCTCAAACAGTACGGTGAATCCCAGGACACGCCCCATGCTCAAAGACGGCGCTCAAGGCTTATGTGAACGTTCTTTCTTCTCAGATTATTTGACAGATGAAGTAAAATTGCAGTATTATCAAATACAAGTAGTTTTTTGGTTGGCCGAATTCTGTGTGGTCAGCGTATTTGGCATCGTAGACTAAAGTTCCTCGTGACCACCCGGCAATTGAGACTTCTGGTATGCTTCCATAGTTTTTTTAGCTTCATGAATTCTGAAGGCAAATCGAGCACCAGCTAGTGCTTCTAGAAAAATGTCTGCCTCCGAGCTACCTCCGATCATTCTAGCATGCTCACCAACACACTGTCTCACAACACGTGCGATAACTGATCGATCACAGGCATTACCCAGAATAATGATTTGATCGAAATTTATGTATGCTTGTTCGGTCTCAGCTGCTTCTTCTGTGGTTCAAAGACTAGATTAGTTGACTAGTCGCGGAATACACAAGAGCCAAAAAACAGATTCGGGGTTTATCTCACCTTGTATGCAGATCAGAAGGTTATCCAAACCCTCCGCTAGCTTGCTGATATATTCAGCTTCAGTAGACTTGATATCTTCCCAGTAGAGAAATGCCTCCTTCTTTTGACCAATCCACCAATCGTCCAGTTTTAGAGGCCATTTATCAGGCAATTCCTCTTCAGATGCTTCTTCGTCCCATGACTCAACATCGCTTTCCGCCTTCATCAGAAACCGTGATTGCCAGATCGCGGAATCCAGAGTATTGTATGAAGCGCCTTGATCCAGCTGTTGTTGTATGTCCATATTGGTCGAAATAACCATTTTCGTAAGTCTGTGGTTGAGGTTCATACAGCCCATTGATTCGAGTGGAAACTTCAGTGTACACTGCGTGTCAGGTGTTTGAACATCGAAATGCCAGACGCCATAATCAATGATCAGAAGCTTATGATATTTAGTAGCCAAGTTCACAGCCGTGATTTCTTCGTCCAGTATATTTGATTCAAGCATCGTCAGAAGTGTGTGAGGGCTTATTGGTGGGAAAGTGGGCATAATCCCAGCTTCCTGAGCCGCTTCAATGACAAGTTCTCGGACCTCACGGCTGAAAAACTGTGGGACCAAGATGAGCGCCGATGTGATGTTAGTGCCTTTATTCGTCGACGAGAGATGTTTCACTCGCTCAAAAGCTTCCAGAAATCCGAACTTCATCTGATCTGAAGAGAGTTCCTCATCCGCATTAGGGCATTTTGAACCAAAGAAAGCATCTCGTAGACTATACACATTGCTCAAGGGGCTAGAGTGACGTTGTGGCTTGGCATGGCGATCTTGATAATAGTTCCAGCGCAGCAGACCCATGACATGGGAATAATTTGGAAGATAGGAGATAGAACCACGGGAATAAATACCTGCCAAGGGGATCCGCTGGTCAATGGAAGGGACACAGGCAGCGGTCCTGAATTTTTATTGGGTTAGTGGATCATTACTAGAAAGATAATGTGACTGGAAGACCTCGCACACTGTATCAAGAGATAGGTTTATCGCGATTGGCTGCGGGCCTGTTGTATCGCTGCATGGTGATGTGTTGTTATTCGACGCATGGACTAGCCCGCAGCAGAGAATAAAGAGAATCGCTCGAAGCCAAGACGATGGCCCCGCCATCTCTCAGTCTTCCTTAATGGTTTCAGTCTGCGCGACCGGATCTTGGTCTCCCACGATTAATCTGCAGGGGTAAGAGACAGCCAATGATGAGATCCGAAACCTTGAAGAGAAATCTTGCATGGCGGGGATGTCTCCAAGGTGAGACAAAGGCGGCATCACGTGAACCGCGGCCGCTTATGCCGCTTAGGCCGCTTCCCTGTTTTCGCTTTTCCCGTTGCTCCTTTATCCACCCAACGTCTCCTCTGTCAACACACCAAGACAAAATGCAAGCTTATCTCGGTTGATCAGATCGGCCGAGCGCCTTGCCCTTCAGCATCTCAAAGTGTATGGTCGACCATACAGCCGACTGGTGCGGATTGGTGTTTTCCACGGTTATCTTCTACCCGATTCTCAACGTCAGCCCTGGCTTCAACATGGTTAAGCAATGGTTTTGGGCGACCCCCAGGATATGTCAGTGGGCCGATTCGGAATCTACCTCTTGGGTTATATTATCGTGTTATTCGTGTTGAGACCGATGATAGTACGGGAAGCGGTGACTTTGTCTCCAATAGTCTAATGCCACGCGGAGGTAACAGTCTCAGAGCTTATATCCGAATCAACATCTGATTGGAAGAAATCCTGTTTCTGGGTCACACCCTTAGGCACATTTCTGACTTTGTGTATGCGCCAGGACGATCTTCCAGCCAATCACCTCGTCAAATGTGTAAGCCACGAAGTGGGGGCCGTCAAATCTCAGCCGCATAACACGGAAGGAGATTTGACGAGAATGACTAGTTTGAGTGACAGGAGTATTCTCAATATAAAACGAAGCGTCAGTTCCGTGCGTTAAGATTAGCGGGGTTCCCCCAATGCACAGTGCACACACAAAACGAAGCTGACGATTTATGATTTACCTTCTTTCCACCCACCCACATCAGGCCCGGCCCGCGCAGTTTCTATCCATGACACAACGCACTCTCCTTTTGTGGGCCCTCTTGGGGCTAATATGTGGCTCTCTAGCTGCCTATATACCCAAGCGTGACACGACAATAACGATACCCGACGGCGTCACCTACCACCCCGAGTCACAAGACATCTGCACACAGGCATCATGGACGGATGTTGCGTCGTTTTTCTTGGGAAACTACCTATCTCATGTCGCAACAATAGTCAAGGCACCGGGTGAACCCCTTCATATTACCGCCGCAAATATGTTCTTCGTTTTGTTGTTTCCTTGCCTTGGAGCTGGCCGCGGCATCCACATGATATTCCGACGAGCAAGCTTGGACAAAAAACCGCTTCAGCAAGCTCTGAAATGCCAAGCTTTGGTTATGGTGGTTCGGGACGTGAAGTGGCAGCCGCGAGCAGGTGACAATCTCCGCTCACTCTTATTGTTGCCCCCGAAAGGAGTTCAAGACAGGCGTGCACCCCGCGCTTTAGGCGAGTACTGGCGGGCAGGTATGTCTATCACACCCTGAAACAGATTCGGCTGTACATCCAACTCATCAGGGAACACTTGGCTTTAGCCGTCAGCAAGAGCTGGATCAAAACCCATGGGGAAAAGATGTATGTTCACGCAGGCGCTTTCTCGACTAATTTAGCACTGACGGAGGCTCCCACAGCAAAGGATATACAGGCCCGCTCAAGTCTGAAGTTGCTCTTCCGCCATGGCTGATCATGAACTACGGGACCGCTAGCAAACACGCCAAGGTAGCCCAAGGCTACAATGTCTCTGGAATCTGCGATCTGCCAGAAGGCTATGCACTGGCTTACGTCCCACCGAATGCAATGGTTGAGTCTACCATGCCGGAAGTCGAACTAGACCGTATTTTCCAATCGTCCTATAGCCTGGCTTCCGGTGTCATCTCCATTGTCCAAATCTTATCTGCTTGTTCTGCCTTGTACCAATCCAGAGGCTATCAAATCACCGCCTTTGGATATGCAGCATTTGGATTCACCGTGACCCCGTATCTGGTCATGTCCTTCTTGAACCTGCTTGCCAATTGCTTGAACCCAACCTATCCCAATATTTATCTCGTTCAAACGGAGATCATGGATGAGGCAGTGAGCCGTGGCGGTCATTTCACTGATATTGTGGGCAAATTAGAAAGCGAGCCGCTTATTGTTGAAGATTTGACACTGTTCAATGCTAGATTCGAACAGCGCGAGGATCAAATGTTTTGCCGGATCGGAGATAGGGTGTGGGAAGATGGGGACACAGAACCCATCCCAGACGAAACTTTCACGCATGAAAAGGCCAGCGAGGGTTCTATCCGCAGGAATACACCGATCTTGTCCTCTGTAACTGCATTCCCCGAGATACCTCCACCGCAGGCTGAGGAGGCACTACAAACGCAAGAAGTGCAATTCAAACATGACGGCAACAACGAACAGCCTTCAAGCCGAACTTTCGAGCCTACTTTACTCATCCCAGCCCGCTACAAGTTCAAGCTATCCTACGCAAACACCTCGTCCACGAGCATCCTTTACAGAAGGAAGCACTATCATACCCGCGCATACCTCTCTGGTGCCCTGACCATGGCAGTGGCTTCGTTGCCCTTCGTTCCGATGGGCGTAATGTCAAAGTTCCAACCAGGAGGCAGTACTGTCTCTCAGAGAGCCTGGATCATGGCATGGTACGCTGCCGGAATAGTGTCGGTCCAGAATCCATATTTCGCGGATGAGGTCATCGAGTATAGCTATTATGGCACCCGTCGTCTGATTAAGACATGGCACGAGTATAGCAGGGTTCGTCAAGCCAGTTATGTCTTCCAGAGGTTGGCTTCGTCCTTGACCGTTCTTGTGCCACTTGCGCCGGCTATTGGTGGCTTCGTTGTGGTTGGGCAAATGTTGATTTCGTATGGATCTTGTACGGGGCTCTGAGGCTTGGAATTAATCCTTGCTGCTAAAAAGCATAAAAGCCCCAGGATACTAGGCAACCGACTCAAGGCCGAAACTTACCAAAGATATTTAGGCCACGATTTTCTCCCGAGATCCAGTTTCTCACAATAATGCCATCTACCTCTATCTCCACAGAAAAGCAAACTCTCCTATCAGATTTTTTCGTTTGCTTATCCCGCTTCCATAGAACGTGGTAAAATTGAAAAAGCAAAGATGAGTCCTGAACAGAGGCTTTGATTTACTGATGCCAAAGTGGTCTTTTCAAATCTCGATGGCCGTAAAGCAGTGGTGAACATCACTCAGTGTAACCATCGAAACACTTAACATAATGCTTCTCGGCCAAATGTCGAAGATCTATGTCTACGGGGTTACCCTCACACGCAGCAAGGTTAAGCAACATACGCAACGTATTATCGTCTTTCCCAGAGTCTCTTTCGTCTGAGTTCTTCTGGCCTTCGCCATCGCCGATCAGGGCTGCAAGGGCATCGATATTATCGAGGCAGATTAATGTAGAATATATTTCTAGGTCACGGCGTGACAAAGCAGTCCGCAATTCTTGCCCTTGCCAATCTAAACATCGACTACCTATATTTACGTTCGCAAGCAAAGGTCTCATTGAACACTAGTACCTCTTAGATGAAGGGCTCATGATAACTCGCAATAAAGGCTTCTCTCCTAAATGGTCTTGTGTATAGATGCCTTCTGGAACTGTCAGAGCAAAAAAACGGATATTATTTAGATTACAGAGCTTAGATACCAGATGTAGAACGTTCTCGCCGCGGGAATTACGGTATCAAAAATGCGCTTCGAGGTCAAATTCTCTAAGGTATCCCACAATATTGATGTAGGAGGCATTGGCCACCTGGCATCCCACAACTTTATGGTGGAATATCATACGAAGCTGAGGCGAAGAACTTGGAATCATGGGAGAAGACGTCTGAGTTGAACGGGCCACACTGGTCCTCGAGGGTCTGGAGTCAGTGGCCGCCTTTACGGTACGGGGAAGGCCTGGGATATCACGAAAATATATCCAATTTTAATGGCTTAGCGCACCGGCTTGATGGTATGGATCCCGGGAATGATTTGACTTCGCGCGACGACCTTTGGTTCAAGGCTGGACTCCGCGGTTTGTACTATGGTATAGTAGTTACTATATTCTAGTCGCACAGCCAGTTGTCATTAGAAGTGGCATGACACTTGCGGTTTGCTTCGCACGAAACACTCCTTGAGATCTCACTTGTTCAGCTTGCACTTATAGAAGCCCGAGCAACCAAACGGCGACATTGTTGGACAGTATTCCACTTTTTCGAGGGGTAGAAACCACAAAGTGATCTCAAGCACTAGGCTTGAGGTGGCTCATAGAAGCGGGCGAAACAAAATCCACCCTGCGCCATTCATGAAGTGCATCATAACCATGCGCCCTTTGTATTTAGTCAAGAGAGCTTCTCGTTGTATGTATGGAAGAAGGGGAGTTCAAGGTACATGTTATATATTCACTATGTATTTCTACATCCACACACACACACAATTCATTAACGCCCGGCGGCTAAGCCGAAAGGGCAACTAAATCTGATCCACTAATACAGGTCTGGATACTTTCAGTATATGTCCTCTCAACTACGGAAAACCATTGCGGCCACTCGGCAAATAGAAAATCTGCCGGCAAAATTAGAAGTAAAAAAAGATAAACCCCAACAACCCTAAGAATAAGGGATCATTAAAAATAGTCCCTAATAAAGAACCTTAAGAACAATACTTTTAACCCTAGAAAAACCTAAAGTTTGTTATATAAGAAGGGGCTGAGTTGGGTATATAATTTAAAAAGCTTCTTTAAGGGCTAATGGGGGGGGGGGATGGTAAAAAGACTAAAAATTAACTTAAAAAGTACTTTAATTATACAGGCCCTAGGGGCCGGAGGAGATGGCGGCGGAGGAGGGGGCGGCAGAGGGGGCTTAGTTATAGTAACTATTTTAGTAGACGGTTACTACTGCAGAAAAATTCTTTTTGCCGAGTGGCTACAATGGTCTTCCGCAGACCGGTATGTACTACCCTGGTATGTCCATGTATTGATGTTCTAATATTTCTTCATCAGACCCGCGTGGCCCTTCTAGGCTTACTGCAGGTAGCACTAGCAGGCAGCCGCTGCAACCTGACATGTAGGCTGCTCATTAGTTTAGATTGCGTGATGTTTTAATCCGACGTGCAGCTGAGCCCCAGCCACCTTCATAACTAAGTTGCTTCTTTAGCCATCCGGACCTCTCGGCCTCTTTCTTCTCAGCAACAACATCCAACACAACAAAATCGCAACCGGTTTTCGAAGTCAAGATTCCCTCCACTATGCCTGCGGCGAACCTTCCAGTGATCGTTATCGTTCCAGGCGCCTTCGGCACACCTGAAGGCTTCGAGAAATTGCGACCGTATTTGACGCAAGCCGGATACGCAACACACCCCGGATCATACCCCAGCTGCAACCCCTCTGATGCGGCCAACGTGTCCTCTTCTCAAGATATTGGTTTCCTGCGCGACAACGTCTTACTCCCCCTTCTGGACGAACAGGGTAAAGATGTCGTCATCATCGCACACTCATACGGGGGTGTAGTTGCCGGTGGCGCAGCCAAAGGACTTGCCAGGGAGACCAGACGAGCCCAAGGTCAAGCCACGGGCGTTGTAGGGCTAATATACGTGGCGGGCAATATTACACTTGAGGGAGAGCCGCTCTTGACGGCTGTCGGCGGCGCTTACCCTCCGTTTATCAAAGTCGACACGGTACGTACGGTCTACCCAGAACCGCAATCATCACCATAGGCTGGTATGTTAATATTCTTCTGTTCATATTTGTTCCCAGCCTTCTCAGGGGCTTGCTGTCATTGAACCAGCGATGGAAGTTCTGTACAATGACTGCGACCGTGCCCTGGAGCCGGAATTGGCGAAGTTCATGCAGCCGCACGCACTCCGCGCCTTTGAATCCCCGGCCACTGCCCCAGCCTGGGCGGAGAGTGCGTTTGATGGGAGGAGAGCTTATGTACGTACCCTAGACGACTGCTGTAACCCTGCATCGTTGCAGGATACGTGGCTGGAGAAGTCCAAGGTCGAATGGGATGTGGTGGACTTCAAGACCGGACACATGCCGTTTGTGAGCCAGCCTCAGGCTCTGGCGGAGCAGATCACCAAGTTCATTGACAAATTTATTGCGAAGTAGGATGGTGATGGGCTCAGTGCCCTCAGCATGTAGCAGGACTCGAAATACACACCAGTCAAGTTGTCGTGCTCGCTAAATTGTTACCAACGCCATGACACCTTTGTATCATAAGACGGCCCGGTCGAACGTGAAAAGCCTTTTGATAGTGGTTACCTCAAGAAGCCAATTCGAAAAACCTTTCTCAAAACTATTGCGAGCTAGACACAAATCCGTGAAAATGCAAAGAAGTGAGATATTCCTCGCGTTTACAATCACTGGCGACTCTGTTGAGTCCATCTTCTTCGTCACCCATACCAGTTTTGGGACTATGATCGAAACACCATTCAAACTCTCCATAACCACGCTGTACTCCAGATTCCTGGATGCCTGTGAAGTTCTCAGTGCGTTGGCGGCAACATTCTTTCCATGTGCCCATATATCCATAGGCAAGTTCGGTACTGTACTCCCATAGCCGACGAGTGTTGGGTTTCTAGTATAACTCACACGTGACTGAAGAAACCTGGTGATCGATGCTTTTGTATGTTCGTTTGGCTCTTCTAAAATCAGATTGGTCTTACCGTAATTGCGCCTTTCTTCCGGTGTCTGTTGTGCGAAGGATTACAAAAAAAGAGGGGGCGGGAACAACCTCACGTCCTTTGCGCCAACGACCATGCATGGGATTGATGAAGCCAAAAGGCTCGTAAGAATGCCTTCCGAAGCCGCCCCAACGTCAGTGCAACAACATGCCATTGGGACACCTTCATTGGTATTTGTGTGCAGGGAGTGCGACTCACCTTGCGGTTGTGTAGGTTTGATATAAACTTCCGCCTAGCCGTAACCATAGTCGCCCAACAATCTTGAATTGCTCGGGCAACGTGATGAGCCAGATTTTGCAGATCTTCGTATAACATAATTACAACGGCACCCTTTTCCGAGAAGAACACCCCTCACTTGGGGTAGTCTTGATCTACATCTGCTTCAGAGAAGTGCATCCTGCGTCAGGGGCTGAACCTTCGGCGCTTCGGATATTCGGGATCCTTGCAATGGGGGATTGAGGAGCGTTGAGTCGGAGAGGTCAATACTCGGCCATGATGTCATAAAGCATCAGGCCAGTGTCAATGATACCATATTCCAGACCAGGGATATGGCTTCGCAAGAGGAGAACAGGCACAAGTAGTTTTGAACAGACATAGACAAAGAGGTTTGTGATTAATTGCTGGCAAATGTCTCGAAGTTAAATGGTTCGGTTACGAAGAAGAGACGGAATTTCTCAGAATCAGGGACCTGGGTACTAGGTACGGTAGACCACGCATATTATCAATACTGCATCAATAAGCTACAGTAGATATAGTTGCATACAAGGATGCTCAAGTAGTGATGATAGCCAGATATATCTGCCAAGGCGAAGGGTGCGGGACTTAGCCGCCGCCGATTGCTCGGGATCGGCGTCTCGGAGCCTCGGAACACACCCCGATCGATTCCTCCGGGCTCTCGGGAGAAGACAAGTAAAGTAACCCTCTGGCATTCCTGGACGTGGAGGTTATGACAGCACGATACCCGGCTGAGTGCCGGACAGTATGCCGCTGTGGGGTTCCGAACTGTCGATTCACTGGAGATATAAAGCCCTTCGATTCCTGACAGTCATGACATACCAGCAAACCATCAACACATAGCCAAAGAGCTCAGCCACCCAAACACAGCAGCAAAGATGTTCTACCAACCTGGAGTCACCGAACATGGACTACCCCATGATCCCTTCAAGGTTCGAATCCAACTCACGACCTCAGTCACCGCACTTCACGGCCACTAACCCGAAGAACAATGCAGGCCTGCGTTGTTCCCCGCCCAATCGGATGGATCTCCACGAAGAACAAGCAAGGCCAATGCAATCTGGCGCCCTACTCCCAGTTCAACAATCTGACCTTCGACCCACCGTATGTGATGTTCTCCTCCAATCAGACGGCCCAGGGGATCCGGAAGGACACGGTCATCAACGCAGAGGAGACCGGCACCTTCGTGTGGAATCTCGCCACCTGGGACCTGCGCGAGGCCGTCAACATCACCGCCGAGCAGACCCCCTACGGCACCGATGAGTTCGAGCTCTGCAAGATCACCAAGGAGCAGGCCACGCTGGTGGATGTCCCCATGATCAAGGAGTCCCCCGTTAAGTTCGAGTGCGAGTACCACACCACCGTCCGCCTGCCGGGCAACCCGCCCATGGGCACCGTAGACATCGTGATCGGGAAGGTGATCGGCGTGCACATCGCAGACAGCGTGCTCACGGACGGGCTCCTTGACATCAAGAAGACGCAGCCCATCGCGCGCTGCGGCTACTACCAGTACACAGTTGTGAAGGACACCTTCGAGATGATCATTCCCAACATGTCGGCCGATGTGCTGTATGGGTTGGAGGGGAATGCGGCGAGGAACCGCAGCAAAAATGAGGCGAACAAGACGGCGGCAGGCCAAGTGTCGGAATTTGCTGCCAAGGAGAAGTAGTTTGTCAGACGATGGAGGGGTGTGGAGGATGGACTCGACTCCGTGAAACTCTGGGGGCGGAACTGTTCATCTGGGCGGCTTGCCCGACCACTAGACTGTGACCCGCTAGTATAGTACCTTGGTAAGTACGTGTATATAAAACTGGCTGTGAATCTCTGTTATAAGGAAGCATAGAAACATAATTCTGTGGACTTGAGAATGATGCGATTTAGCACAAGCCCTGCAGATCCCCTACCTCTGTACCTTGAAAATTCTGATGAGTCATTTGGGCGTACAGCCTCCCTCGAAATCAATCACCCAAGCATCCCGATTGCCATCAATCACAACTTTAGCAGACTTAACATCTCCCCAGCAGCAATCATTATGGTGAAGAGCTCTCACAGCGTCACGTGCCTGTTCGTACCATTTCTATTTTCGTTAAACATGGAGGCACCAACCATCAATCCTAACCCGATCGAGGTCGAGGGAATTGAGACATAGTCCACTTACTTTGTTCCAGACTCTGCGTAGGGGACCACTAACTCCTGTATCAATAGGCTGTAATAAGTAAGTCGCTCAACACTGATTTTTGGGGATCCGGAGAACTCAGCGTCAGCCGGGAGGAAAATAATAAGGGAGGCAAGAGATATTGGTGGTGAAAAGCACTAGTGCCTAGTGCTGAGTAGGTATCGAACTTAGGGTCATAGTTTTCAGCTTGTCTTATGAGTTATGCATTCTTTAACCAGGGAACTTCGCATGATTAGTGTGGAAAACAAATAACGGCAGTGCTGCGGCTGTCGAGTCATGTGGACTTCTTGCCACGGGGAAGCCCTCACGAGAGTGACCATTACAATCCCCGGAAACGGGCCAAATGAAGACAAAGCTCCCAATTTTCAAGGTTCTAGATGGTGTTTTCTGAGGACGGTAAGGTTAGTGAGGGTTTCCTGTGCATACTCAAGAAGGAAATTACGAGATGCCAGACAGACAAGCTTGGGGGTCATGCAGTCCGGCTCATCCAGGTAGTTTGTGCTCCGGAATGGATTACTAGCGCGTGCTTACGAAAGAGATATGGAAAAAAGCAAGTGGAGCCTGCATCTTTGCTGAGAAGTAAACTCAAGGAATTCAAGCTAGTGAACTTGTGCAAAACGCGTTGAAGCAAAGTGTTCGATAACTGAAGAAAATCACATCAAAAGCACAGACAGTCAAGTGCCCGGTTGCAATCAGTACTAGAGCTGGAGTCGTCTTCTGCTATCCAGGCCTGTCTTGTCGATATCAGACCCTATCCTCCAAAAGCGAGGATTTACCTCACCCAAAGGGGGACTATTGAAGTTAGGATTCATTGTTGGCAGCTTCTCCATCACGCTTCTCAGGGGCGGTGTAGGCGGTGTAGTAAAATCGCTTGTCGAGGGCCTCGTCTTCCGCCTCGCGCTTCTCGGGGGCAGTGTAGGCAGTGTAGTAGAAGCGCTTGTCGAGGGCCTCGTCTTCCGCCTCGCGCTTCTCGGGGGCAGTGTAGGCAGTGTAGTAGAAGCGCTTGTCGAGGGCGTCCTCGTCACGCTTCTCGGGGGCCACATAATGAGTGTAGTAGAAGCGCTTGTCGAGAGCGTCCTCGTCACGCTTCTCGGGAGCAGTGTAGGCAGTGTAGTAGAAGCGCTTATCGAGGGCCTCGTCTTCCGCCTCGCGCTTCTCGGGGGCAGTGTAGGCAGTGTAGTAGAAGCGCTTATCGAGGGCCTCGTCTTCCGCCTCGCGCTTCTCGGGGGCAGTGTAGGCAGTGTAGTAGAAGCGCTTGTCGAGGGCGTCCTCATCACGCTTCTCGGGGGCCACATAATGAGTGTAGTAGAAGCGCCTGTCAAGGGCCTCCTCATCACGCTTCTCGGGGGCCACATAATGAGTGTAGTAGAAGCGCTTGTCAAAGGCCTCCTCGTCACGTTTCTCGGGAGCAGTGTAGGCAGTGTAGTAGAAGCGCTTGTCAAGGGCCTCCTCGTCACGCTTCTCGGGGGCCACATAGTGAGTGTAGTAGAAGCGCTTGTCTAGGTCCTGAGAGGACGCCTCGACCTCTTCAAGGTTGGAGGTGGGGAGGGCGAAGGTGATACCTGCGGCTCCAAGGAGCGCAAGAAGGCGAGAGAGCTGCATCTTGACGACCAAGATAGTCCAATATACTGAGAAGAAGTGTGGCAGAGGTGAGATGGAGAAGGATGAGAAGAAACCTTCGATGTGGACTGATAGTCCTTTATAACATGCTAGGACGGTGTGTTCTTTTGGCCTGCTTGTCTTCTGCGGTACAGAAAGTAACCCGACTGTTACAGTACATTCCCCGCTGGCTCAGGCTTCGGTGATTTTCAGCTGCTCTGTAGCCGGCTGCTTGTCAGAATTTCCGAGCTAGGGCTTTGGCACCAATCCCGTAAACACCAAACCTTGCTGCCCTCTGATGCTACGCATGACGATACAGCTTAGCATTACGAGAGAGAGTGGTGGTATGCGGCCTGGGCTATTACTGCTTTAGGCTTGCATGCAGTCGATTTAGAAATATAAGGTAGACTCAGGTCAGTACCACTATCGATGATAACCACGAACTAAAACGAGCAATGTGGTTCATGGGCTGAGCTATTGCTTTTCTCGATGTGTGACAGCACGAGCAGAGAATGTTGTGTAACTAGTGAGGGAGGGCCCAACCCCAGTCCGAGACTGTTCTTCAACCCCAACTGTGTTCGAAGAGCGAGTTCGGCATACATCATGATGCAGTAGCGTGCGGAGATGTTGTGGTCCGCAGGTCAGTCGTCCCATTACTATTGCCAATTGGGCTGCGAAAGAGCCGTAAAACAGCGAATGACCTCCGACTTTTCCAGCCCAGGCTGTCCTTGCTCGAGTAAGACACGTTAAATAAGACCCTGTATTTTCATTATGCACTAAGTCTGTGATCGTCGGTTCAGCTCCGCCATTGATGTTGGCGATGCACGGGATCCGCTGTCGATCACTTTCGGGGTGCATGATGCCATCCATCCCTGTTGTCCTTTCTCACTCACGGTGATAGGCACTGGGTGGCATTCTCTCACATGTTGGAGTGATTTGGGTACACCCGATTTTCACCCTAAGCATCCCCCATTGAAACCGAGTCTTCAGAACATCACTCTCTCTCTCCCACACACGGACACACACACACAAGAACACACAATGCTGTTCTCTAAACTCCTTAGAATCTTTCGTCAAGACTTCAAGTTTCAAGCCTTACAAACAGAGAGCCGCGATAGCGATGAGGAGAACATCGAGTCAGAGGAGCTGCTTACAAAGAGGGGCCCGCCGCGAAGTCCCTCAAGAGCCTGGATCTACCTGACAATGGCAAACGCAGTTCTCCTGAGCATTACCATCGGCCTAGTTCTCAGCGCCCAGGGCAGCTTCTCCAGTGAAGAGAAAAATGCCATTCTTAGGCCAGTGTCATGGTGGTGTGAGTCTCCGTACTTCGTTCGCAATGCTTCCCCGGACCTCAACCCGCGGACTAACACAATGAAGCGCCTATCCTGGATGACATTGAAATTCCAAGGTACCAAACGACGCTGAATGGAACGCTCTTCGCTCTCCCAGAAATATCCATCGCCCGCGAAGAGCCCAGCGCTGCCAACGACGCCGCTTGGAAGCGATTCGAAGACGTCCTGACACATGTCGTGACTCGCGAGCAAATTATCAAGCTTGGTAAAAACCCCGACACCATCGCGCGCTTCGATAATGACTATTGGGGAATGGGCGATGATGCCTACATGGTTCAGCTGGACGTGATGCATGTAAGCATACCCGCCGGCCCCGTTTCTCTCGTTCTTCCGCCCCGTGCGAAGCAAAAGTCCTGACTGGACCCCATGGATCGATAGCAAATCCACTGTCTGAACATGCTGCGCAAAGCCGCTTTCGCCGACTACCCCGGCTACGAACCCGAGCTGGATGTCAAAGATAAAATGTGGTGGATTCATCTGGGCCACTGCACCGACATCTTGCTACAGAACCTGCAGTGCAATGCTAATACGGAGGTCCTAACTCTGGACTGGGTCGAAGATCGCCACGCGCCGTGGCCGGACTTCAGTGTGAACCGCAAATGTCGCGACTTTAATGCCCTTTTGGACTGGCAGCACGACAATGCGGTCGACACCGCCAAGTTCGATGCCATGCCCCTCCCGAAGGACGCATTTGTGTGGCCGGCCCCGTGGAAAAAACAAGACTATGAGCTTGGCGTGAAGTTGGGGGACCATCATCTGCAGGAAGGCGAGCCTCTCAGGGCCCCACATGAGCACCATGCCGATCATCCAATGTGAGTCACGAGGCAGCTAGGTTTAGAAGATGGCCATAGGGTCTTTGATTTACGTGAAGTATTCTTGTTGGGCTGCGAAAAGATCTATGGAACCAATTCTAGCAGTTTGCTTAATAACACACACACTCTCTCTTTTCTGCCACCATCTTGTGTCACAAGTAGGACATTGCCATGCGTAGGGCCAAGGATTGGCCTGAGTTATAAGACGTTATACGTGGCGCACGGGGACCCTGTGCATATATTATTTGCTCGATTCGCCTATACGGTACGTAGTACTCGTACCATTTCAGCTGAGCCTCATGACACCCACCAATCTTAATTTGCATGAAGTGATCAGGCGATCAAAACCAACTTGGAGGCTGCAGGAGGGCGGGTACAAGCGGCCGTCCTGCAAATGCGCATTCTTTGCCATTTCTAGCCACCGGCAAACCAAGGCATCTCTATCTTTAAAGCCCCTGGGGACGGATATATCCGAAGATTTGATGACTCTGATTGGTGTATCTGATACTATGCAATGGGGCTTTGTATTCCGTCTCTGATCATAGATCCAAATCAATCAGTAAGGTGGACCTAGGTGCTGCACGGAGTCCCTAGTGGTCAATGATGGTGGCTGGCTGGAATGTTGCTCATATTCCGAATCTGGAAATGATCGGTCTCGGTGACCGTGGACCCCCGTCGGTGAAGGCACTCACTGAGTCCTATTACATGTGCAGGATCACCGCTAAATTATTGATCAATACCTGATTCCCGGCCCCGCTGTCTAGTTTCAATGGATGCAGGGACTGTCATACGGTCGCAAATAGCGCTTCAATCGAGTACAGTGTGCTGTTCCGTAGCGGGTGATTCAAGCATGCCGTGGTAGAGATGTCACATTCCTCACGCAGGAAATGAGTACAGGTGCAGAAATATTCACCGCCATTCGGTCCCCTCTAGAATGCTACTAGAGAGAGAGAGAGAGAGAGAGAGAGAGAGAGAGACACTATTACCCCATCCTGCTTGTGCAGAGGACCCCCCCGCACCAGCCTTCCATTCCAACAACCGAGCCATCCTGAGGGCTTCTTCTTGTGTTCCACTTCTTCCGAAGCTCTACCTGCTCCTCACAATGACCTTTCCTAGCGTGTCTTCAGAGTCGGGTCATGGTCCCCACGGCGAAGATGAACCGTTTCTTCCAAGAAGGCAGCCCGGCAGCCCGGCAGACTGTAGCGGGGGCCCAGAGCCGAATTTGTCACCACGCACCCGTCTGCGCCTGGTCATAACAGTGGTCGCGATTCTGCTATGCTTCCAAGTTGGCGGCCAGATGATCGGGGGTCCAATGGTACGGGTGATTGAGATGATCGCTTGCGATAGCTACTGGCGGCGACACGATCCAGCTCGACTGCCCGCCTCCGGCCATCTGCCTGAGCACCTGTGCAAGATCGCAGCGGTGCAGACTGAAGTGGCCACGGTGAAAGGATACTCCGACCTGCTGGAGGGACTCTTGTGTCTGTCAAACTCCAAACTCAAAACAAACATGAGCTAGTGCTGACCTTGCATGCAGGTGCCATTTGCGCCATTCCCTACGGACTCTTGGCGGATCGATATGGCCGCCGACGAGCCATCCGCCTCACAGTTCCTGGGTTTCTACTTAATGCCATAATCACAAACTCAGTTCTGTGGTTTTCCGGTATTTTCCCTCTCCGAGCTATCTGGTTTGCCGCATTCAGCTGGATCATCGGGGGCGGACCAGCTGTGGCACTCGTCGTGATTTGGGCCATGCTCGCCGACCTAGCCACCGATGCGCAGCGCGCAGCCCTGTTCTTCCGGGTCGGGCTCGCCAGTCAAGTGGCCAGTTTCCTGGCCAGCCTTATCAGCTCTGGACTCATGGCTCTCAACCCCTGGATCCCGCTGCTGATTGGTTGTGGTACGGTGATGCTGGGCCTTGGCTGTGCGCTTTCACTTCCCGAGACCATGAATATGCCCGTGAGAAGGAAGGAAGCAGCAAGAGCAAGCCCAGACGAGCCAGACTCGACACGTGACACGTCTGCGAAGCCAGAGCTCACATCCTTTCCACTACCGAAGAAACTGGCACGTCTCATCCATCCGTACCTCTTCGTCTTCAACCAGCAAACGCTCTTGCTCCTGTTCGCCTTGGCCACCGTCGAGGTCGCGCAGCGGTCCTTCCCATTTCTGACCCAGCACATCTCCAGACGCTTCGCCTGGACCTTGGCCCAAGCGAATTTGATCATATCCTTCCATGCGGGGATCAGTATCCTTGTCTTCATGTTCCTTCTCCCGTACCTCACTCAGAAGGTTTTCCACTATTCATCCCTCCCCCACAGAGACCTGCAGGTCGCGCGTCTCAGTCTCATCGCTCTGCTCCTGGGTTCGCTCGGAATTGCCCTCTCTCCATCAGTCTTCCTTTTGGTTCCCAGTGTAGGTGTGTATGCGGCGGGAGCGGGCTTTGCCCTAACCATGCGGTCGTTGGCTACCGCGTTGGTCAAACGCGAGGAGACCGCGCGACTGTATTCCGCGATTGAGATCTTGCAGTACGCAGGCAACATCCTGGGTAGTCTGTGCTTTACGAATGCGTTCAAGCTGGGGTTGCAAATTGGTGGACTGGGGTCCGGGTGGGTGTGGGTACTGGGTAGTCTGCTATATGGGCTGGTGGGAATCGCACTGACACTGGTACGGGTATAGACCTGCATACACCTTTCAGCACCAAAGGAATAGTTCTTTAGCAGGGAAGCGATAAATGCATGTTTCATGCGCTAGAAATTGTATATTATAACGTACACAAGTCCTCCGCACCGGAGCAGGTAGTCATTAGTGATACGTCGGTGTTAGTGACAGGCGTAGAGGCAAGTGTATGTGGGGCCCCGCTTCATTCATCGAGGCTCGAATTCTCTTCGCCTTCAGCAAATGCCAGAGACCTTAGCATCTTCTCAAACTCTCCCATATTATCCTTGGGGAAGTACTGTTGACGGAATAAATCTCGGATCGCATGAGCATGAGACTTTTCTGATGCCAGTCTCTGCATTCGTTCTGTCATCAGCACGGGTAGCCCGTAGCTTATGCAGATATGTATGAAGTCGATAAGAAGACTGCCTTTGTTCTCCTGGCTAGCGATTGAGAGTTGTTCAAATAGTTCTTCGGAAATATCCACAGCCTTGGTATAATGGAGAATATTGCTGGCGGCTTTCATTCGGAAAAAAGAAGTGTCTATATCCAAAACCAGAGTGCCCCCGTAAGAGAAGTCACAGAAGTCATCATCCCACGTCCATATCGCTCTCCACACCCAATTCAAATCGGCGTTGAGAGGCCGTTCTTGGAGAAGCCATTGTACCCCAGCCAGGCCATTTGCCGCGGCGGCCACCAGCATTCTTTCTGTCAGCGGCACTGGTGTGCTGTGCTCCCGGATGAGCCACTGCAATGCCCACAGTCGTCTGTAAGTGGCGAGAATAAGCACCTCTTCGGACAGAGTAACATTGCATCCCTCAGTTTGAAGAATCATTTTCAACGCCGCCGGGCTGGACGCAGCACCCTTTAGAACTTTCTCTGTAATCGGCATTGTGCGCCCGGCATGTTCGAGGATGCGTTGCAAAATTTGCAATGGCCCACCACTTCTCATCATGGAAAGCATCAACTCCGGTGATATCGTGATGTCCTCAAGTCGTCTGTCGAGAAGAATAGAAAATGCCTTTGAATTCTGTGCTGCTTGCACAGCGGCCCGATGCGTAATGGGCACGTTGGGGTTTCTTTGAAGCAGGACTTGTAAGGCATAAGGATTCGGCGCTAGGAGTTCCATAATCTTCTTATCGACTTCCATGAAACGCTCATCTAGAAGAAAATTGAGTACCACGCTGACGTCCAACAGACCCCTAGGGAAAGTTGGCTTAACCATTTGATAGATCATCCGCTTGATAGGAGGATGGCCATGCGGCTGCTGCAACAAAAACATTAGATTAGGAGGGCTGAAACATGCACTCACAAACATCTCATCGGTCACTCGAATCTCCGGCCGATGGCGAAAGATGGTCTCCAGTGCGGTAAGCTTCAAGGACCGTACAGCATGCTGGAGTACTGCATCCGTGATAGGGAGCGCCTGGATCTGGGATTGTTCCTCCAGTTTCAGTAAATAAGTAATGACTGTTTCCCGTTCCGCAGCATTCAGTACTACATCTGTGATTGGAACGCCCAAGCCCCCGTTGTTCATTAACATCTCAAAAATCGGCAGAAGGTCATTGTCACGGATTACTTGTGCCGCTGCGCGTAACACCGCCGGGGTGACAGTGAATCCAGCTTGCTGTCTGCACAAGAACATTTCGAGAATCTGTTTTGCAGACGGTCCATTTATTGCTGATAGCATAACAGCCTCGCCCATGGGGAAGCTTGCTTTGCATATATCCAACAGACAACCCAAAATCTCCAGCACGGATGAATCGCTCGTGTTTGACTCTATCGCTTCACAGAAGATACGCTCGCTAATTCCAGCACGATATTCTAGTCGACTAAGAAGGTACTGCATGGCACTAGCGCCTTTAAAGTTGCGGGCTGCTGCTTTCAGAACTTCCTCGCCATCAAACCTTCGTTACCCACTGTCTTGAGAAGTGATTCCATTTCTTCTCCGCTTGCGCCTTCTGCAAACTTGAGGAATAAGCGCGTATCCGAGACGAACTCTTCATGCTGTGCTCCAACCAACACTGCCATACTCCGAGCACTTATCGTGCTTGACGCGGCCAAAAGCTCCTTGATGCGTGGAGAGATCTGAACATCTGCACTGCGTTTTTCCAGTAAGAGGCTCAAGATGCCACTGCCGGATTTCGTGTTCTGAAGACATCTGATCACAACATTCTCCGTGATAGGCACAGTCGCGCACCCCTTCTCTTCATGTCGATCGAAAAGGGCATTGATGAGCTCCAGACCACTTTCCTGGTTACCTACAATCGCTATTACGATGCTTTCCTTGATGTGGACTTCTTGTCCGGTTGAGTGATCGTAGATCTCTCCCGAGTCCGAAAGCGCTTTGATTACATCCGTCAGTGCCAGGTAGTCGGATCCACGAACGTGAAGTAACTGCAATGTCCGTTCAGCTGTATCAGACGGGATAGTAATATTCTTCAGCAACAGGATCAAGATATCAAGATAACCGGCCCGAGCAGCATCAACCACTGCATTGCTTGCCCCAAAGAACCCTCTTGACAGGCTATATTGTTCCAAAGGGTCGGCTCCTTGTTCGAGTAAGCTATTCACACAGCATATAAGTCCTAGCCGGGAGGCTTCACCGATAGGAGGTGGGTACACCTCGACGTTATCGGGTAGACCAACAGTAGTATTAAGCACTGTCTGCCAGTTCTAATAGGGGATCGGATTAGTGAAGAGCTCAGCAACCATGATATCTAAATCTATATCAGAGCCACCAGCGGCCGTTTTCGTGAGATGATCCGGCCAGTATTCTGCAGCATATGGGAGTACCCCTGTTGGTTTTGCCGTCCTTGACTTTACTGTCTGTTTCAAGAGAGCCTTGATGGCGAACTCGGCTAGTTGTCTGTGGCAGCTCACATTGGAGAGATGATACCAGCGGTCTGTGTCGGCAATAAGAAATTCTTTGACTGAGAAATGAGCCAGTCTGATCCCCTTATCCCCGCCAATAACATCAGTCTGATGAACAGTGACGAAGGAAGTCGTGCAAATGTCAATGACATGCTCTGGGACCGGTAAACCCACTGCAGCCGCGACCTCGTCTAGACTTAGAGGCCTGAGCGCAAAGCTGAGCCAAGCGAAGATTGACCGTGCAAACTCCCTTTCAGACGGCTTGATCCCCTCAATGACAGATACGTACAGATCCTGCAGTGTCTTGGGTATGGTCCTCAAGGCTTCCAGAATCATTGCTCCCGTGTGACAGGCCTCAAGACGCTTGATTTGAAGATCTGCCCAGCGAAAGCGTCTGTGCAATGCAAAATGTGTCATGATAATACTTCAAACCGCACGGTATATGGAGAATCATACCTCTTTTCGATTTGCAGCAACTCCTCCATTATCTGCTCTTTGAGATCCTGGTTTGCAATTCTTCCATCAAGACCCTGGACTTTGAGTCTGACGAAATTTGCCACATCATCTTCGAGCTTCTCTTCCAGGTCCAAAGTTGCATGTCTCTCAAGTCGTTTACTGATTTCTGGCTCTGGTCGGCTAGTCACCAAGATGTGAAGTTTGTCACTGTGCCTTTCCTGAAGCTCCTCAAGCAAAGAAAGCAAGACACGTCTTTCATGGCATTCAGGCGATTCAGGACATTCATCCAACGCATCAAGAATTAGGCATATTTCTCCTCGGAAGGCCACTATGAGACTGTGAAGAACTCCTGACAGTGCCTTCATGCTCGGCTGGCTTTCTTTGGCACCATGCTCTCTCCAAACACTCTTGATCTTCTCCTCTAACGGAGCCGAATGGAGTTGACGTATGAGGCACCTGAACATATTTTGAACATTTTGCGATTCGCTGACATTAAATTGGAAGTACCAGTATGCGCATTGCTTCTCCGGATCGCCATGACAGCTCTGGGTGATGTCGTCAATAACTGTGGAGCTTTACTTGGTCAACATCAGCAGGACCGCAGAGCTTCATATTATTTGCATACCACATCACTGACTTCCCGCAGCCCGCTTGTCAAGTAGTCAGCACTGTGCATGTTTTGTAGACAGGTGAGAACTTACCAACACCACACAGCCAGAATAACCTTCCTGGGCGGTGCTTTCACTGTTATACTCATCTGACTCAATGAACCAGTCTTCTGTGCCTTCTGCCCGATAGTCTTGAGCGTGGTTCTGGGCCTCCGAATAGCGTGACTGTGACAGCCATTCCAGGATCCGGTTGTCCTCGGCACCTGCTGTGGTCAGGGTTTTCTGCACGAGATACGTACGGGTAGGGGAAGGAGGGCATACTTAAAATCCTCGCATGAACTCTCTGGAGCTCTTCCACGTTCCTGTCGATGATAGTGAGGATATCCGCAGCCTGTTTCTTTTGATCTACTATCCATGATTAGACTGATGGACAAGAACATGGCGCAGGACTCCAACTCACAAGATCGATCAACAATGCTAGCCCATTTCTCAGCTAATTCTGCTTTGGATTCCACAGTCACTCGAAGCTGTTGCAGTGGTTGCTCGGCAAGGGGAATCAGCGTGGTTCCTATCCGGGCTGCAAATCTGGTGGTCAGATGCTCTTTCCATTCACTTGGATTTGGAAGGAATCATGGGAAAGATGTTTACCAACACCGCTTTCATCGAACTTTCGTCTAACCTCCGCCGAGTAATTCAACATTGCTGCATAGACACCAACAAGAGCGCCTTCCAACTGTCCGTTGCTCTCGCGGCCTTGGTATCGGCATCCTTTGTCGAGGACAGTGAAATAAGCGAGCTGCTCAGCCAGATACTCAGAGGCTCCCAGAATAGCATCTCTGCGCTCGATATCCTTTTTGATCATCTAGAAGTAATATCTGTCAGTTGCGACCGCTGCGGCATCAGTGAAGGGGTGAATCCTAGTGAGGGCTGGGTCTCCGTACCGACAACCCCAACGACACGATCCCCCATGCACTTGAAGCTGTTTATTGCTTGAGCGTCAGCCCTTCTATCCTACAGCTGTTTAACCCGCGATAGCAAACCGTCCAACTGACCATGTCCAGTGGAATCAAATGTCACCACCGTCTTCACGATTTCCTGCGCGTTCAACGCCGAGGCGAGGATGTTCTGGACAATGTCGCGGACCTTGATCGCTCTCCCGTCGCGGCCACACCTTTGCACAGTGTATCCCACTCGGTATCGTCCTCTTCAATAAACTCCTCCTCCTGCCTGAGTCCGCTCCAGGCGGCATGTTCTCTTTGAAGAGATAGCAACCGTTCGTCCGTCCACTGCAGCTGATCAGCAACCTCCAAGATATCACTAAAGGCCTGCAAGTGCCACAGGGCACGGTAGACGCGGAACTCCTCAATCCAAGAGAACGCACCCACATCTCGGAGCTTACATGGGACCAGAGACGGCATATGTCGGATGTCTTCGGAGTACTGGGGCAGCATAGCTTGCAGTCGCCCTCGCAGTGTTGTCAAGCACATGCAGGCCAGACGTTGAATTTTGGCCGCGATGCTTACCACGGCGCGGAGAGAGGCGCGGGTCGCCGTCGACATAGAGAGGCGGTGGCGCTCCCCACTCTTGAGGTCGAAAGCGGTTCGGTCAACAAAGTGGCACAAACATGTGTCCGGAATTGGCCCTCGTAGCTCGATGCATACCTTGAAATAGCGTTCGAGATCATACGACATGACCGAATTCTGCTCGAGGATATGCTTCACAAGGGCCATCGCTTCAGGGTCTGGGAGACTATAAGGTTCATCTCCCGGTTCGAACAGCGGAGTCAGCTGCATTGAGTCCACAATGAGATCCTCAAGGGTTACCCAGTCTGCTGCGGTCTTCACAATCTCGACGAGTGACTTGCGGGGGACGTGACTGAAAGTATCTATCCTAGCGAGTTCGCGTAGTCTACGGAAGACTATTGCGGCCACTCGGCAAATAGGGTTTTTCTTACTAAGGTAACTGTCTATTTAAAATAGTTACTATAACTAAGCAGTCCCCTCTTCCCCCCTCAACTGCTTTCTTTTCTGCTGCTATCTCCTCCGCTGCTATCTCCTCTGGCCCCAGGGCCTATATAATTAAAGTATTTTCTAAATTAATATTTAGTCTTTTTACCATCTCCCCCCCTTCTTTACCCTCTGAAAAAATCCTTTAAATTATATAACCAATTCAGCCCTTTTTTATATTAGGATCTTTAGGATTTTTTAGGGTCGGAAGTATTATTCTTAGGGTTCTTTATTATAAACTATCTTTAATTAACCCTTATTATTAGGGTTATTGGGGTTTTTCTTTTGCTTATAATTTTGCCGGCAGATTTTCTTTTTGCCGAGTGGCCGCAATGGTCTTCCGTAGCGTAGTCTGCGGTATGCGTTGTCTGTATGAAGTTTGATCAGGGGCTGCGTCTGTACACGCAATTGGTAAAGCAGGCTATCAAGGTTGTATGGCTTCTTGATCTTTTTATAGTTTTGGCGTCATATTATGCGCCGGCTGAGTTAAGTGCCATCAGATAATTTGTACAGACGATACAGGTATTTTTCCCTAGTGGAGTGGCGAACGTTGTTGTTCGCTTCATCGTTACTTCAACTGGTTGCATTTGGTAGATATCGAAAGAGAACAATGGACGATCCTTTCCAGATGAGGGCTGTGGTCTTTGTCTCCTGCATGATGGCAAAGGAAGCAAGCCCTCAGCAGTCACGGATTCCGCGTCAATTCTTTCAAGACATCATCCTTGGGAAGTGATCCTCCGCTTCTCTTTAAAGCGTAGATCAATCCTCATTTACAGTAACGCCTAATTAACTGACGTTTTTTGCTCGTATTTCTAGACTAAGGCACCATTGTGCATAGTGACCGTGGGATGCTGCCCTGACGTTGCTTGCGACTTCCAATTCCCAAGCAGAGCTCTGAGCCCTGTCTTCGGCGCGTCATAACTTACTTGACTTGAAGGGGTACTCTGCAACCTACCTCATATGCTCTTGCATAAACCATGAGCTCAATCGACTGCATCTGGATGAAGCTAGGTGCCGGGACTAGAGTCTGATATGCGGAAGAAGATGGACCTCGAGTTTTTCCCGGCGGAAGAGGACTATCAAGTTCAACGCACAAGCCCATTTGTCAACTCAGACAAATGAGCCCCGAAGTCCATGTCGCACTGCTCCCCTCCGTATGCACTGACTGGGTTCACTAAAGTCGGGCCCGAAGGCAGCACGCCACGATTCAGCTTGGTCGAATACCCACGTTCGAGCCTCGATATGCTTCGGAGTAGGCAGAGAAAATGGGCCAGCCTTGAAGCAGAATACTGCTTCTGGGACTGCCACCTCTGCTCGCGGCCTCGAACTTCTTGCTGAGCTCTCGAAGCATACCCGGAAGTTCATACGTAGCGCGTGCGGTGGTCAGATCCCAGGCCTGATCCTCAACACACAGGAGGCGTAAGGCTTTGATGATGGCGAGTGCGAGGTGCAGAATGGTTACAAAAGTGAGGGCGGAATATGGTTCGACTGGCACCAGGCGGAACTCGTCATGGAGTGCCTGTGTGCTCTGCAGGCAGTCCCATATCCTGTGGCATCGGAGATGCGTAGACTCAATGATCTCGGTCTATTTGTCGTATTTAAAGGGTTCGAACAAGCGAATACGGACCGTGGCACAGTGGGTTTGCAAAAGAGGTTCACTGGGGAGTCAGCTATTTCACTAGTTCAATTGTTTGGAACTGATATACGCTGTCACTTCAAGTTGGTGGGCGGCTGGTTGACAAAGGCATCCAGCTCATTTTCTTTCTGGCAGACGTCATCGTCATTGTCTCGCCAGACGCACTTGGCCTTCGCCCGAGAACAGTTGGCGCAGGCGCGAGGCTTCCCTATGCAAAGGGTCGGACATCTTTTTCTTAAGCAAACTAGGAATAGCTAGATAGATACTGTTTAGACAGGACAGATCACAGAGATAGTATCGTTCTGCGTTTTGATTGAAGACCAAATTTGTCGGATCGCCTGCGTCCTGGGATTTGAATATGTGCCTACTCCCGCTATCAAAACTCCAGAGCTCATCCGAGAATATGAATGAAATATCCGGAGAAGATCCATGGATACCTTGCATGATGCACGGTGGATTGCCCTCCAGTGGCTGAGTCTACAATGGCAAGATATTTCTGAATCGAGCTCAACATCAGGGCCTAGGTATGAAACTAAACCACTATTTGGAAACATCAAGCTGTATAAAGGTATAATGTAAAATAAAACTCAGTGTAAAAGAGTAAACGCCCAAATAGACCCCAAAATAAAGGGAGACCTACCCGGGCTCGATTTTCATAATCGTTTTCTACTCGTTCTTGCTCTTCTTCCTACAGTGTCTATCTGTGATTCCTGCTCTCAAAGCGAGGCGTTACAAACGTAAGCAAGCAGAAAAAAACTTACCTCACCTCAACCGCCTAGCGTCCAGCCACAATCCGTTGAAATGCGGCTGGAACAAACACCATTCAATAATCCAGAGCCATATAGAACCCCCGCATAACATGCGTGTACGGAATCCCCGAGTACCACTCGAGCTCGTTATCGAACACGAACTCGACCGCCTCGTGGGTGCCCCAGCAGGTCTCGCGGAAGAACCGCACGCGGTCCTCGTAGATGACCAGCGCCCCGCGGCGCCGGTGGTCCTGCGGGTCCTGGCTCCAGAACGCCTGGAGCACGCGTTTCGCGAACCCAACCCAGCGATCACGGGTAACATTCGCCTCCTGGAGGAGGAGGGTGTGGACCTGGGCGTGCGCGGGCGTCTGGGCTGGGTTGTTTTCCACGATGGCGTACGGGACGTCGTCGAGCATGCCGAAGAGGGGGGTCCCAGCTGCTTGCATTGTGACTGGCTGTTGTTGTTGGTATCTGGGTGGTTAGTTGGGAATGTTAGTTCAGACTTGGCTTTTGTGTCAGGTCTGGTGGGTTGTGGAGAAGATGGGAGTCGAGTATATAGTGTTTTTTTGGGCGCATTTATAGACATTTCTGTTGAGGATTAAGATGGATTTCGTAAACTGTCTATGGGACAAGTTCCGGTATGTTAGGAAGACTACATCGTGTTTGCTATGGTCATGATACAGTTCAAGGGTCCTTTATGGATATTTTCAGATGGCGCTCACAGAGACAAAGATTTAGGAATGGAACTGTCCATGACATTGAGGTCGAAGGACTCCAGTATCTCCAAAGCGGATGAGCCTTTTCTATAGAAGATTGTATCCTGCTGCCGACGAAGTCCAATATAGACAAAGATCTCAGCACACAGGCTCATCCCTACTGAAGGGTTTGAATCAAGATCTCGCTAGCCGCCCCAGAAAGTGGTTATGGTCGAATGAAAACATAACCATATGAGAGAGATTCCGCTACATTTCCGGCAAGTAATGAATGTGCTGGTAGAATGGTCACCAAGGACAAAGCCTCGTTTAAACAAAAGTCCTGTAATCCAAGTCTGTCAACCGGAGTCTTAACCGGAGTCTTAACCGGACCCTTTGGCTCGACAACCCCCGAACACAAGTAAAGTTTTATACCAGGAAAGGGTCATTTACAACATAGACTAAAGGTAGTACTGCAGGTAATCGTGCCTTGCCAAGGGTAATATTTCGATACTGATATATACTATAGATCACTTATAGATCGACTTCAACTCGTCCTTCGTAGCTTCCCAGGTGCTCATAGCTCTTTAACAGATCGTCACAGGAGTCAATAATGCCTTCGTAGTCGTTACTAGAGGACTGACTTCTGTGCGATAATATCATTCTACCGGAGAAGAGCATTGTGCACAAGAGCTACTGCGAATATATGCTAAGGCTACGTTGCCAGGATTTGACAACATGGCCTTGTATCGAGTATTGTGAACAGATGGGTCATCACCAGAAAAGTCAGACCTCAAGTGATGAACTGTCGATGGGGAGTGAAAAGTCCAGATCTCGCGATGAAGGACTTGCTAACAAATAAGACACAGGGTAACAGGATTGACTAGAAGGCGCCTCCTCCCAAATCGGTGGAGGATGCTTCGGCGACCGAGCAGAGTAATGCATTATTTTCTTATATTGTGTATAAGCCTAGCAAGAACAAATGGAGCACCACTATTTTCGTAATGCTCAGAAGTGGAGTACTATTCCCATTGAGGTGAATATCCAACGCACGCAAGGCAGAAGTTGGTTAATGGGTCAATGATAGAACGATTAGCAAGCTTATATGGGGCATGAATATGACTACTACCTAGCAAGGTCAGTTTGCCTATTGTCGGAGTCTCGAGGCTCGATTAGCAGACATGACAGCCATGCCAGAATTGGAATAGCACTGGGCCATAAAATTTTCGTCCTTAAAGCCCCACCCACTTAAAAAGGGGTGCGGAGGAGTGGAATGAAGAAAGAAAAAGAAAAAGAAAAAAGAGAAAGCCCAACGCGGGGGTTGAACCCGCAACCTTGAGATTAAGAGTCTCACGCTCTGCCGATTGAGCTAGCCCGGCTGGGGTGAAGGAAGAAAGAATCGGATTCTATAGCCGAACGCGGGGGTTGAACCCGCAACCTTGAGATTAAGAGTCTCACGCTCTGCCGATTGAGCTAGCCGGGCTGATTTGTTGAACAGCATTCCGACTTGTAACGTCATATTCCAAAAACGGGTAGAAAGTGAAAAACCACCACATTCACCCAAGGAATCGATGTCATTCTTGCGTTGACACTATACAGAGCCTTGGATTCGCTCATGCGGTCGCATATATGTGGAACGTGATCAGACCGAACTTGCCTCTCATCCATCATCCTCACGCATTTTTTGGAGACGAACCTGATTACATGTGATGCCATTCTCCTGCGGTCTTGGGCAAGACCCCTCTTGTTGGCGCTGGAAATATAATCCTATTCCCCTTCCTTGCTTTTCGCACCTACAAGTCCCAACCAGGGTTGCACTACGGATTTACCACCCTTGTAGCCTGATTCGACTATGGTTGTTTTGCATGTGCACCTTTCAGCCCCTAGCCACTGCATGAGAATACTAGGTACCTCAACATCGCCTCCGTGCTAGCTGCGGATCAGCACCACACCACTGGAATACTTCTTTTGACTGTCATTGTGGCCGAAAGACATGACCAGAAACCGGATTGAGGATTGCGCGATTTGAATTGAACCACCAGGGCACGATAAGCGATTACGGCTATTGCAGCGGTGCCAGGAAGGAATGCGAGCTGCGATGACGGCAGCGTAAGTCAAAAACACAAAATAAAAGTTAATTCGACGAACAAGGGAAAAGAAAGACTGACTGATCAGCAGGTTAATTGTATGTATGAGTAGCTGGGTCTGAGTCAGAGATGCATGCATCATGACCGACAAAGTACGGACCTGGATGAGACCTGAATTGCCGATCAAAAATCACTTATCCGAGCCCCTCCGTTCACAAGGAATGAATGCAACTGCTGGGACTTTTTCAAGCGCGCAATACCGAAGGATGAGTTTGCGAACTTCGACCGCACCGATTCAATGCCGGCCAAGAGCATAGTATGGTGATATCACAGATAACCTTATTTGACACCAGGGCATTAACCACCACCACCACCACCACCACCCAACATGACAACCGATTCAACCATCTTTTGACTTCTGGAAGCGCTCTTTCCAATGTTATCGAAGATCCCAGGGATCTAGTTGGGTTTGACTTTTCTTTTTGATTTTTCTTTCTTTCTCCTTGCCCCTTTAACGATTCCCGTGGGTATGAGATAAAATCCACAGCTGCTGACCCAGCGTCAGATCATATTGTCTCACCGGCAGCCATTGTCCAGTGTCCATTGTCCATAATAGGCAAGGATGCAGAAGGCCAGGGGCAGGCTGAATGGAATAGCTAAGGTAGCTCGAGGCCTTAGGCTCCCTATCGTGCATCGGTCACGGTGGCTTCTCAGCCTATCAATCGAAGCCGGAAAATGCATCCGCTGAGTCCAGACCTTTGCAGCGGCGCCAACGTGTCATAGTTAGCGCATGAGTTTTCAACTCCGGTTTCTCCTAACCAAAAACACTCGCCGCTTATCAATGTTATTGATGGCACTGCAACAACAACAACAACAATTCCAACAATACCAACCACCACCACAGCATAGCACCCTTCTGTTCCCCCCTCCGTCCGACCCTGAATGACCCACCTTTCTTTCCTATCTCGTCAGTGAGATCGAACATCCTTGCCCCTGAAGTCATGGCCCAACAAGGGTCCGCCTCCACGACAGCCTACCGCCCTCTCGCCCCGAAGCCGACCCTCTTGCCTTCAAAACGGGAGGCATCCGATCCTCCAGAGCCCCCAGGGCCTTCCAAACCGGGGAACACCAAGAAGGCAATCAAGAGATCCCCATCGTCCTGCGTGGAGTGTAGAAGGAAACGCACCAAAGTAATTGCCCCATTTTATCCCCCCGGCCCTCCAATGTTGTCTCTTGGTGCAAGATGATAGAGAGGAGAGCATCCATCTCCCCGAGGAGTTCCTCACTGCATATGAAAGCAATCCCCCTGATCCCATGTCCCTGCCCTTACCCTCTTCTTATTCGGTAATCCTATCTATCTATCTACACTTCTAACAACACGCCTCCCCCCCCGACCCAACCGGGGAACGGCACCCCCCCAACAGTGTACCGCCTATGAAACCGGGGTGCCATGTACCGTGTGCCAAATCCACCAGGTGGAATGCGTGCTGCTCCCACACAGCGACAGGCGCCGGAAGACCACCATGGAGTACATGCGGCGGCAGGCCGCCTACTACCGGGAGTTCCTCGAGCAGTTCATCCGGCTGGCGCGCTCCGACGACCCGGCGATCATCTTGGCGGCGATCGCGATCATCCAGGCCAATCACTCCGAGGAGGAGACTCGGGCCCTCCTGGATTCACTGGTCCCGCACGACGGAACGCCCATCCTGCCCGAGGAGGAGGAATTAATCAAGGCCATTCGAGAGAGGGAGGCGCAGGCCGCCGCCGCCAGCCAAAGTAAAGATAGCGCGGGACCTGCAGGTGGCCTGGATCCGGTGCCTGAACAGGATTAAGGGGAGAATTTTGGAGGGGGGGGGGGGGGGGAGCTACGCTTTTCGTTCTAGCCCTCCCTCTTTCTATCTCGCTCCCTCCCGGGTGAGAGACTACCTACGATAATCTCTTATATCTATGGGATATCGCTGGGGAATGGATGGAGGGTAGATCAATGGAGCAAGGAACGCGGACGGGAAAAAATGAAGCAAGATAGAATCGCGGCGGAAACAGCTGACAGGAAGAATGCAAGGGACAGTCAAAGGAGCAGCGAGCTAATGATTTACTGATGAGTTACTGAACTGTTAAAGAGACACGAGCGGGAAGTGGTGGAAGGTTTGTTCCTTTGTGCTAGCTTTGACCAAACATTTGCCTGCGCAGGCACAAACTGAACGTGAACACTTATGTCAAGTGTATTGTTCAACATAGAATATATTTTGCCAAGGCTGTGCGGTACATCAGTCTACCAGGAACATCAGAAGCGGTCGAAGAATAAGCAAGACAAGGAATGGCGAGAGAACCAACGCTGGGAAATCAGAAAGGTTGCGGCAGGATGTAGCATTTTCCTTTCCTTTTCTTTTTTTTTTGCTTGGTTGTTTGGTTGTTGGGCTTTTTTTCTTCGTTCTGGTCTTCCTTTCGCTGTTTTCAGACAGCAGCCCCGACCCAGTCATTCATTTTCTCATGGAGCAGGACAGTGCCCGGGATATACCCGACCAGAGATGGCTCGTTCGAGAAACTGCCCACCTCCCTCAAGTACTTGTACGTGGTGCCGTCGCCAAAGGCAATATATCGCAGCTCCTTTCCGTACCCCTCGCGTAGGGGCGCTTCAACGACGGCCAGGAATTCCGCGGGAGGCGTCGAGAAGTCGTCTTGGATGTCGATGTAGAGGACTTGCAATTGGGGGAGGGAGAGGGCGGACTTGATGGCTTCCTGTGGTTTAGAGAGAGATGCAATCTTGTCAGTCTGCGCTTTCATGACAGCTAGAGCTGGCTATTATCGTGGGTGGTGGAGGGGAGAAATGGAGGGAGGAGGAGTCAAAGGGCAAAGGGCAAAGGGCAAAGGACAAAAAAGAAAAGTCTCTGACCATGTCGATTTTGTTTTGTCGGATGCGAAGCTCTTCCAGCTGGGGGAGCCTGGTTGCGATCAGCGCCAGCAACTCTACACAGGAGCAGGGTCGATCCTCATGGCACGGTAGGCTCAGACCCAGCACCTTCAGGGTGGCACCATGCTGCTGCTCGAGCACCTCCAAGAGCGACTCGGAGGCCACCATTTGACTAGACGTTTGCCCGCGAATCGGGATGCCATGGAAGACCTCCAGCCCACTGAAGGCACGAAGGAAGTCGTCAATCGAGTTGTCGACGAGGTCGGTGGTGAGCCGCACGGGGCGGAGATCCGCCTCGAGGCCGGCGTCCCAGAAGTCCCGGACGGTGGTGGCGAGCGAGTCCGGGTTGAGGAAGTCCAGTGTGACAGTGGTGAGTTGGGACGGTCGCAGCATGGCCCAGAAGTCGGCGGGCGTGACCCCTAGGGCAGCGAAGCCGCGCAGGTCCAGCAGGTGGAGTTGCGAGGCCAGATGTGTGGGCCAGCTCTCGAATAGGGTGCTGACGCTGATGCCGGAATTATTATCCGCCCAGATCGTGAGTTCCCGTAGGTTCGTCGCGCTTTTGACGGCCGTACCCACTGATCTCATCACTTCCACGTCGTCCACTTGCACGAGCGAAAGCACCGTCAGGCTCATCGAGAGCTTCATGTTCAACGGGGGTCGGAAGAAGGGCTTGGGGGTGCAGTCGGTGCCCATGCGTAGCTGTAGATTCCGAAGCATTGGCCGCAGGACGACGTTCGAGACCAGATACTGGGTTAGGGAGACCTGCATGTCCCAACTTTGGGTGTGTGTCACCCGAATCAATTATCGAAGAGTCCCCAAGCGTGGTTGCGGAGCGTGCTGGCTTACACGAATTCCTCCAAGTTGGGCATACGGACTACGCAGCTGCAGAGAAGACTGCTCAGCAACCTGGCTGCCGGGGAGAGGATTCTCCTCGGCGCAAGCCAGGAGTCGATCGAGGCATACGTCGAATACCAAGTCCCCGACACGATCACTCGCTTGATGAACCCCATCTTGTTGAACTCGGGGTGGCCAAGCGTGTCCAGCTTCATCAGAAGTTTGTCGTGAGCATCGATGTGTCCGGGGCTATGGAAGCGGACCGTGTGGTAGAGGTAGGGGTTGACGAGACCATTGAGCTCGTGCGAGACACGAGCCAGGGCAGCCATGTCGCCATAACTCAACTACCACTCATCAGTATTCATCAGTTGTGCCGGGTGGGAGGCAGCACTTAGGGCGAATTGGCTCACGTCTGACCATAACTCGTCCATAAACAGCCGAAATATGACCGCCATCGCAATGAAGATACTATGGAGTTGGAATTTACGGAGGGCACAAAGTCTAGGACAAGATCTTGCACCGTGAATACTGTCTAACAAGATTTTTACAGTGTTTAACTACTCAGACTTTGGTTGTGATGTCATGAACCATCATCCGAACTGCATGCGACTAACGTTTCCTGACCCATGAGTAATTGTTGGTTCACATGTTACACCATCTATCTGCTCGACGTTTTCCTTGACCGGGAAATTCCCTGAATTCCGGGTCCGAATTCTAAAACCGGCACGAAGAATAAGAGTACCTTATTCAAGGTTGAAATCAAACCAGGAGACACCCCTTTGACCACTGTTCCTCAAAATGAGGGGAATCGCAAAGCCCAAGATGAGGTCATGTCGTAACGGAACAGCCGAACCCACACAAATAAGGGCCGTCCCGGAATCTATATCAGTGTGGGCTCGGATTGGTTCACCCAGACTGCCAGCGTGTTTAACACCTACAATACCGTTGGACCAGCTGCTGTCGCTACCACCGAATACCATTGGACCTGGTGCGCAGCTGATGTAATCATGTAGTTCTGAAGGGAATATGTACTGTCCACAATTGCTAGTTGTTGTGTGCACCCCTGAATCCCGGGCCTCTCAATTCACGGGCAGCCCTAAATAAATCCCTACGGAACCCCTCCCAATCCTTCCCAAAACCCCGCCTCAACCCGATCGTTCAAGTCCACACATATTGATTCCCCTCCTCGAAGAGCCCGTACGTCGCCAGCATTTGATACCCGCGTATTGAGCTGATCCTGCACGCCGCCCGCGGATTCCCGATCCCAGAGCTCCCTCGCCAAACCCACCCAACCATCCAACGCGACCGGACTCGCCGCGCACGCTTGACATCATCCTCGCCCCCCTCCTTGTGCTGCTGCTGCTCTCGCCCCTGCAAAATCCCCAACAGCTCCTTCGAGCTGACCGTAAATTCCGCGAAGTTCGCCGGTCGATCGCGAAAACGCACCGGGTCGCGCAGCACGGCCGCCGTGGCGTGGCCCACGACTTTTGAGAGCCGAAATGCTGACGCGCTGCTCGCCGGATCCGGAGACGGCCACCTGGTGCGTCGTGCGGTTCACCCAAAAGATGCCCTGGGCGATGGTTCAATCGAACAACGGGCCCGTGATCAGCGCCATCCAGTGCAAGCCGGTTCCCGTCGGGGCGCGGGGGCTGCCGCTGCACGAGACGCTCGAGGGCTTGCTGCGCGTGAAGCTTGTAGACGAAGATCTGCAGCTCGTGGGCGTGCGAGTGGAAGGTGTCGCTGCTGACTCAAGTCCGGAGTAATGAGATGCTGGACTGAGGCTGTGGCGAGGGCGGCGCGCACGATGCGCTCATGGTGGACGGCGGCGCGGGGGTTGATGGCTTCGGCGGTGGCGTGCTGGTGAGTGAAGGCGTGCCTGAGTGAGATACTGGATGGGTAGTCCACGGTCTATCTCCCTGAGGCGGGGGTTGGGGTGTGAAGTGTGATGGTGCGGTGGGGGGCAAGGCATTAGATCGTGGTCGTCGAGCGGCGGTCACGGTGAATTCCGGGTTTCTTGCGTCGAGCAGGGCTTTGATGATCTCTTGGCCGATCGTGTCTGTCGCCTGAGATAAGTTCTCGAGGGTCAGCGATTGCTTCGTACAGGGCTGAGGCACGGATATAATGTAGGTAAGGACTATCGCTCACGCCGAGCACAATGACGCTGTTAATGCTGGACATGTTTGCTACTGACTGTGGCGTCTCTATCATGTCAAGGTCAGCCCCCAATGCCTCTGATTTATACTAGCCATGGTGCAGGAATCTTGTGCTGTAGGCCTGTAAAGTGTCTGCTCGACAGAACAATTCTTTTCAATCCATAGCATCTTCCATCCCAGCCCAAGCCCGCATCCGCATCCGCATCTGCACTTGCAGTGCGCGAATACGGCTCTCTACAGTTCAGGTCTACCAGCAGTGAAATGAAGAATACCCCAATCATCATTGATCACCACACTCACTAGCCACCATCAATGATCCTCCTCAATGCAAATGACAACCTGCACGAAAACAACCAGCCCATGTCCCCGTGACACAAGGCTAACGAACTTAACCCTACCCCCCCAAGAACCCAAACACCATCACCACCAAACCCACCAAACCTACAATACCTCCAACCACAATCCCATCCAACCTTCAACCCAACCCCCAATCCTTCAAAGTCAACCTCCCCAAAATCCTAGAATGGAAACCCACAAAGCCCTAACCCTTCACGCCCACACCCGACCCTCACCCTCTCCACCCCCGCCAGCCGCGCGCAACCATTGGCCCCGCCACGCGACGTATGCAGAGTACGCGCGGTTGCCGCTGGAGAATCTGTTCGTGTTGGATGAGCGGGTTCTGCTGCAGGAGCGCCAGTTCTCCATTGCGGATCTGTGTTCGTTGCCTGTGTGGCCGGGGTGTCATAATGGGGGGTTCGATGGGGAACATCAATGTGCCCGGATTTGGGGTCGTGTTCAAGTCGCTGCGCTTGCAGGGCCGGCTCATGTATGATCGCCAGCGTGTCTTGCGGTTAGTTCAGTGGTCCTTGAGTCCGGCTTGCTGCGGCTGAGGGAGACGATTGGAGTCGAGCATGTCGAGGAGTCTGGCCTAGAGGAGGCGACGGAGGCCCTGGAGGCTGGTGCGCGATTGTCCGCATGGGGGAGTCATAATGTGCTGAGGCTTTGTAGGGGTTGAGGACGAGACTTTTTGAGGATACGTAAGCTGACTGAACTAGTATATGCTACCAGTGAACGTTTTTGGAGTCATGGGATAATGAAGGGTTGGCTTTGAGATGAGGATGGGAAGTTGGGAGATTGATAGCCTCGATCTTGCTCAGAGTGAATATGTGAATAGTCTCATGTGACAATTAGTGATCTAGTAGGTTTGGCTCCAAGAAAATGTCGAAGGACTCAGAGGTGCTGTTCGCATGTCCACTGTATCACGGTGGAATCGAAGCCGGAGAAGCTACAGAAAGGATATCTGGTTTTGCGACCAATAATTTTGTATACTGTTCTTTACCTAAACCCGAAGACAAAAAGCACTATATGACATCGTAACTAGTGCATACAGAAGGCCATTTTTATCGTCATCATAATCGAAAATATCAAACAAGGTCCAAGGCATAGTCGTGATGTTTCCTCTCCTTATCGCCACCCGAGAATCAACCAAGCAGAGAAAAAGAGTGATACAGGTTCGCGGTGCAATTTGTTCGTGATGTATCGACAAGCGAAACCAGTCACAGTCACCACCAGAGGAAAGATAATTCTAGCGGAAGTCCGAGTCCACCCCGTTCTCCGCATACACCTGCAAGCTATACTTGGCGAAGTTGCTCTTCTTGCGCATCCGCTCCCCGTAGCGCGACAAGAGAGGCGGCACAATGCAGAATAGCGTCGCGATAGCAGCCAGAATCGACATCCCGACGTTCGCGCCCAGCCCATCGAACATGGCACTACCGAACAATGGGAACGTGGCAGAAAGCAGAGACCGGACGATGGAGAGGGCGGCGAACCCGCTAGCGGCGTAGCCGAGGTAGGAGTCGGCCATGTACTGCGAGACGACGACCTCCATCTCGTTCAGGCCGTAGCCGGTGAAGAAGAGGGCGACCACGGGGACAAACCAGTGAATGCCCGCGCCGACAGGGGGAATGGTCCAGGCGAACCACCACAGCGACAGGGCGAGGACTGGGGCGCCGATGTAGATGCCCGTCAGCTTGTGCTCGGGCTTCACCTTGAGGCCCTCCTTCAGGCGTCGCTGTGTGATGCGGTAGTCGAGGATGCGTGTTGCGATGTTAGGGATGAACCCCACGCCGAGGGCGAGGAAGGGCAGGCTCGAGTCTTCCGTGCTGAAGCCGAAGGCCTCAAAGATGGGTGGGAGAGCCTCGGCGAACAGATAGATAAGGGCTACGCAGACAGAAAACACCATGGTCACGACGAAGACTATCGGCTCGGTGAAAAACAATCGTAACGGTCGGAAGAGCCCTACGTGCGCAAAGGTGCGAAGGTCCGGCATGAAGTCGGGGTTGAGGGCAAGCAGCGACTCGTTACCAGTCAACTTCCGCAACGCTTGGACTTCCCGGGCCAGGATCAATGATGGCCGCGACTCTTTGATGCACATAAGCATGGCTGCGAGAACACAGGTCACGATTGCTCCGATGTTGAAGACCCATCTCCTGTGGGTTCTTGCGTCAGCGATCGGCGCCACATAGAACTGGAATTTGAGCTAACATACCATCCGTATCGATAAGTGACATAGGAGCTCATGATGGGACCCGCACTGACCCCAAGACATGCCATGGCAACATAATACAGCATCACCCATATGCGATCCTGTGAGTTGAACAGGTCTTCAATGCTCCCGGTAATGACTATCGTTGGAATGGCAGACAAGAAACCAGTAACCAAGCGTCCTATCACCAGAGCGCTGGCTGAGGGAACGGCGCCGATCAGAAGGCAGAAGACACTGTACAAGAGAGCACTCAAGACATAGAGCCGTTTCCGACCAAACGTTTCCGAGTATGGTGGAAAAACCACGCCGCCTAGACCTTGTCCCAGAAGATATCTAAGACATATCAATACCACTCCAAATGTGGAGAGCATAAGAACCCACGTGGAAACGTATAAAAACAAAGTGAAGGTTTTTCCGGTGCCTAGCTCAAGTTGTGCGGCTTTTGCAGTTGTGGCCTAGTGACATGTTAGCTGATGCCCCGCACACAATCCCGATCATTGCAATGTGTGGACTCACCCCTGAAGTACTCATCGCAGTCCTACAATACTCCATTAGCAGATGCCACGGAGTCGACTAGGTATGCTCACGTGAAGAACTCCAGAAGACCGATCACGGTTATGTCATAGGTCTTGCGTGCTGGGTGCCAGTTGCGTGGATGCTTCCTGTTGGTCTTGCCCCATCGCAGGTGAGCTCCATCTGGAGTCAGCTCCAGCCCATGCTCCGCTGCAAGACGATCTAGGTCAGTATAATCTGCAAGTTTCAATTCACCCATCGTGAAATCATTGATAAACCTTGGTCATCAACCTGGTTTGCCAGGTTGATTTTAAACGCCCAGTACAAGAGACCTAAACAAGGGATACATACCTCTTACACTGGGCCAAAGGGGTGGTCACTGCTGCCAGGCAGATCAACATTCACATCTAATCGATAATCGCTAGGAGCCAGCTGCCTAGAGAGAACTGGAAAAGACAGCAGAGGATGGGTCCATAGCCGATGGACGTACGGTGACCTTACACCAGCTGTCCTGTGCTACCTGAAGCCTTGAAGTTGGGAAGCCGAGGTGCCGGCTATCATTGGCTTAGGTACTAGGAGTCAGCTCCTTTGCATATGCTTCAAGACGATACTGAGTCGTATGCACGCCACGCGACTCACGACCCTGTGCTTGTACACATCAGCATCGTCGCGTCCGCGAATACAAGTGGGTCGCCTGATGATGGTTCATGGTCACGAAGACCTGGCGCCGGTCGAAAGGTCAAAGCTTCAGCTTTATTAAGATGGCGCTGGGATTCGGGTACATTGGGCCTGGAATGTGAAAAAGCGAGGATGAAGTACCCGGCGTTTATAGTTTGCGACGAAAAAAGCAAGCTTTCAACGCGTTCGATGTCGGGGTGATGTCGGAAAATAATTGGGCGTCAGGAAGAAATGATATCATGCTGCCCCTTGGGCGCTTCCCTTTCAGGTATGGGATCATAGCTGAGGATGTAACATGCGACCAGCCAGCGCGTATAACGTGATGGATCAGCCCTTTGGCACGCTTTAGCGGCCCCAGCCGGGATTTGTAATGCTGTTCGCAATCTCTGGATCGTTTGATCACCCTGAGACGAAGGGAGGATGATCCCCATTCTGACTCGTCATCACTTTGAGACGGCAATCCTATAGGACAAGGTATTAGCTAAAGGTTTCATAACGCGTGGATAACGTGATAGAGGACAGGTTATCTGGGGAGCACAGCACATCCCAGAGAAGGGGAGTTGGACTGAGGACGTACTGTTGGTACAGTACAGCACACTTAATGTCGGTGGTTGGGAGGGAGAATGCAAGCCTGAGGCATAAATCTTCCATGTCCAAGTAGGCGGTCATCAAGGCGGCATCGGATTTATCCGTCCATGCACTGCCATCGCTGCTTTAGTCGCTCCTGCCGCTTTTGCATCGGCCATGCATTTAATTCTTGAGCTCGATGGATGATTTCTGTCATCAATGCATCTCGTTCTTCAGGCTCCGTAAAGTACTCCCCGTATAAACTCACAGCAACCACACCGTTGACCAGAGCCGGTTTGCATTCAATGTGATTCAGAGCTATGCCACAGATTTTCAAGACTATGGAGCGTACTTGGGATTCCGTCCTGCGATGTGCCGCCCGGTTTGCGTTTCTTGTATTGCCCACAATTTAGCAAGCGACTTTGCTATTGGTGATAAGGGGTAGGCTCACTCAAGGTGTGGACTCTCGGCAACCAAAATCATTCTCGATAGCTCAAGGTGCTGGCTTGCTGTTACTTGATCCTCAGAGCTATACCAGATGGTCGGAAACACCTGGCCCTGCAGCTTCTCCGCTCGCTTTTCGAGGATAGGCACTAGTTCGCTTCGACACGCGTCCACCAGTTCCTGTTCACGTCGCACAAGCCGCTCTACCCAAATCAGCTATACTCGTTCCTCTGAGTTTATCTGGTGACAGTAAGACGAACCCCATTCATCGGTCGATCGGTCTTCCCAGAACCACTTCGTGACCTCGCTAGCGAGCATGATGAACTTATTTGCGACCGATGCTCTCCTCCAGTCCTGGGGCTGAAACTGCATGATCGGTGCACGTTCTCTCGTGAGCGCGTAGTATACCTCCTGTCTGACTGCGATCCAGTATGCTGCTGTTGCCAGCGACTGCTCAAGGCGATGTGAAATCCTCGACTGGATGATTGTCTGAGTGATGGCTAGAAAGTTGACTCGGCTCTGGGCGGCAGTCTCCGCAGGCCCTTCGTCATTCATATCTTCCTCCATCTCCTCATACTGGCGAAGGATGACTGCGGCGACCATGATATTCTCTTGATCGGCCGGGTCCGATACGTCGGGAAATTTGATAAGGTCGGGTATACACCTAAGTGTGTATTCCACCGCGGTGGCATCTTCCATATCCGTGAGTAACTGTCCATGGTACACAATCCCGTGCGGGGTTTTGTACTGGGGAAGACGAGCCAGATGCCGTGCTGACACAGCAAAAATAGCGTTTCGCACGGTCGAGCAGTGCCGTGCGCGTCGGGGGGCTTCCAGTCGGAAGTGCTTGAGATGATCGCAATGATCGAACTGCGACGTTTCAGGAGCTGAGTCTCGATGCAAATGGGGCTTCACATACCCAGGGAGAAATCTCCTCGATAAAGTATCGAAGTAGACAAGCCTCTTGCAAGGATGTCTGGTGTGCCAAATAGCTTGGCGACTCATCGCTATGCCTGTGCTTGAGTGCGCTCGAATAGCTTAGATCAGATGGTGAATCATTGGCTTGTTGGCCATTCTGGCCAGCCGTGGCCGAACGTACGACGGATGCTCCCGTGCTTTCTCGCGAATGCCCTGAGCTTAAGCGCTGCAGCACGGGGTCTCCTTGCATCGCGAACAAATGCCCCTTGTCCCCTTCGAGTTGCCCATCTTGAGTAGTTTTTGGTGTATCAGGAGATCCCGACGATGACGAGCCGGTTTGTACCCATGCTCCTCCACTAGTCTCCGACGAGGACGACAGGAACCCGCAATCCTCTACGTAAGCATTCTGAACCACGTGGCGTGTCGGCACCTCCAGCCCATCGGAGGCCTGCTGCTGTCCAATGAGTGGCTTCCACCGCTTGGGCTCACTGCTCACCCACACCTGGTTTCCCGGAAAGCTGGCGTCGAGGCCCGCCGTAGATCCCTGTCGGAACGGTGGCTTGCGTTGGACCGGCTGGCAGGTCGAGCCCTTCTCTTTGCATCGCGTACAAACTGGACGTAGCCTATCACCTGGGGTCTCGCACAGGGTTAGCGTTAGCGTAAGGGGTCCCGGAACGATTGTTGGTTTGTCAATCACTCACAGCGCACGTGCTTTTCTGGAAGGATGGTTGGTTGGTTGATTAGCAAGAGCGCCTGGCTGAATCAATGTTGAGGCCAAGGCATACCTCGACAGTTGGAGCATGGGGTTTGAGAATTCGATGCTTTGGCTGTGGCTGACATGGACATGGTGTTGGTAGGTGGATGTGATGAAGTTTTTGGTTTGTTATGGAACCCCGAGTCGACGGCGGCGGTTGCTCTTTGCAGTCAATGCGAAAGCGGGGAGCTCAACGAGCTCAACCCCGCACTCCATTTCCCCACATCCACTCTGAGGAAATCACGCCGATCATTGCTTTGGAGGTCACACTGGAGAGTATTTTCATAAGATTTCTGGACGATGGAATTGGAGTGCTGTCTTATGTGGCATCACTCAGTGTTCGCTGCTTACCCGAGAACAAGGCACTACAGGATAAATTCACCTCCCTCTGGTTTGACTACGACAGAACTGCAATTGTTCCTCGATAGTATCATGGTGTGTGCTACGCCTGCCAGCAAAACCTTTCTGAGATGATTGCCTAGATAATCAATCACAGTGAATCAAAAAGTAGCTTCTGAACACCGAGCCCTGCATGTTGATACTCGTCTAAAGTAGTGTGCTCGTGCGCCGACACCGCACTGCAACAAGAACATGTTGCCCATTTGGGCAAGTATCGGCGGAGTCCCGGGGGCCACGGCGGGCTCAGAATTACCCAATACGGCAGGTGCCGGCGTGCTTGGTGCTTGGTTATCTGCACAATATTCAACTCATGCTTCGAGGGTACCTGATCAAAGGTATAAATAGGGCGAAGTCTTCTCATCAGACTCGTATCATGCTTCTCTTCTGTCATCAGCACTCTCTCGAACAACCCTATCCTACAAAATCTTCCAAACATGACCCGAACAACAAACCCTCTCAAGATTGCCGTTGTCGGCCTTGGTCGCATGGTGTGGAATGATTTTTACTTCCTGGATAACACCAGCACTCACACATGTTTAGGGCAAACGCCACGTCCAGACACTCCTGTATCGCGTCCCTCACGCCCAGGTGGTAGGAGTATGCAGCTCCGACGCGAGCGAGGTCAAGTGGGCCCGGAGCAACCAAGAATACAGCGACTTTGGCATCACCGTCTACGACAGCTACGACCAGATGCTGAACCACCCGGGTCTGCAGGCTGTCTGGATCTCCAGCAGCACGGACGTGCACGCCAGTCAATCGCTAGCGGCGATCGCGAAGGACCTGCATGTGCTCTGCGAGAAGCCGCTCAGCACCGACGTTGCAGAAGTACAAGACTCCTCTCATCCTTCACACTGCACAACCCTCTACTAATAAGGCCACCCCAACCAGGCGCAATCCGTCGTCGACGCCGCCCGAGCCAAGCCCTCGCTCAAGGTAATGGCAGGCTTCTCGCGACGCTTTGACGCCTCCTACCGCGACGCCAGCGCCAAGATCTACGACCAGGGCGCCATCGGGACCCCGTTCCTGGTCCGCTCGAACACCTGCGACCTGCGCGACGAGACGGGGTTTTTCGTGCGGTACGCCGCCCGCAACGGCGGCATCTTCGTCGACTGCGCCATCCACGACATCGACCTCTCCCTTTGGTTCCTGGGAAACCCGGCCCCCAAGGCGTGCTGGGCGGCCGGTACCCTGCAGCATCACCCGGAGCTGCGCGCGCTGTCCGACGTGGACAACGCGGTCGGGGTGGTGGAGTTCTGGGGCGGCAAGATCGCCTACTTCTACTGCTCGCGGACGCAGGCCCACGGCCACGACGTCTGCACGGAGATCACGGGCACGGAGGGCAAACTGATGGTCAACGTGATGCCTCGGCAGAATAATGTGGTACTGGCGGACAGGCTGGGGATGCGCCACGAGGTGCAGCCGGAGTACTGGGAGCTGTTCGAGCATGCGTTCGCGCTGGAGGCTAACGAGTTCATTGCGGCCGTGCGGGAGGACCGGGAGGTGCCGCTGCCGCTGGAGGCGGGCATGAAGGTCATGCAGATCGGGCAGGCGCTGCAGCATGCTTTGTTGTCGGGGGAGGTGGTGCGATTTGATGAGACTGGGACGCGGTTGAACTAGATTTAGGGTCTTGCTACGCAGATGATGTCGGATGTGATTCTGCAATATTAATCTTGCCTTGTTGCTCAAATGCCTGACTTGTCCTGTAGGCCCCGTTCCAGTCTAAATTTTGGAAATACTTGATCCTTTTCTTGATGATCGGCAGCATTATGAGATCGCATTGTTAGACACCGAGCATTTACACAAACCACTATAGAAGATGTCACCAGAGTGAGTTACTGCCTGAGGCATGAAAGCGGTGTTTGCTCGGTTGGGACCGCGGCATCTCGGGGAATGCTTTCCAGCCATAAAGTATGGTGCCAAATTTATGGCCCGTATTTCCGGGAACCCAGTCACCGTCACACAGCGAGTTGGCTATAACGATCAACCATAAGCATAAGCACAAACGTCAGCATAAGGATACCCCCGCCGACCACAAAACCAACTTCACCCTCACATCATCTTTACAGTACCTACCACGACCACACCACCACTACCAAAAATGTCCACCGCCCAACTATCCCAAGCCTTCCCATGGCTCCAATCCCCAATCATCATCAACGCCCCGATGAGCGGCTTCGCCACCAGCTCACTCGCGATCGCCGTGACCCGCGCCGGAGGCCTAGGATACATCGGCTTCCTGTCCTCCGTCCCAGAACTCGACACCCAGTTACAGATCGCGCGACAGAATCTCCCTTCCCCACCCAACACCGACATCCTGCCCATCGGCCTGGGGATTATCGTGGCGGTCACCGCCCCCTCGGCCGTCACCGCGCTGGTCGCAGAGTATAAGCCCGCGGTCGTGTGGCTGTCCTTTGGTGCGCCCGCCGATTTCGCCGCGTGGACCGAGATGATCCGCACCGCGTCGCCGCACACCCACGTCTGGATCCAGATCGGCAGCGTGAAGGCGGCGGTGGACGCGGCGCGGGCGTGCCGCCCGGACGCGCTGGTCCTCCAGGGGTCCGACGCGGGCGGTCACGGCCACGCGCGCGGCGCAAGTCTGATCGCGCTGCTGCCGGAGGTGGCGGATGCGCTAAGCGACGAAGTCCAGGCGGTGGGCGGGAGCGGGATCCCGCTGATTGCCGCGGGCGGGATCGTGGACGGACGTGGCGCCGCGGCAGCGATGGTGCTGGGCGCCGCGGGGGTGGTCATGGGCACGCGGTTCCTGGCCGCGGAGGAGGCGGTCGTCCCCGCGCAGTACCGCGAGGAGCTGTTTCGGGCGTCGGACGGTGGGGAGGCCACCGCGCGGTCGCGGGTGTTTGATGAGATGTGGGGCCCCACTTTCTGGCCGGAGATGTACGATGGTCGGAGTTTGGTGAATCGGTGGTATGAGAAGGAGCAGCAGGGGGTCGGGATTGAGGAGATCCGGGCGGAGCTGCAGCGGGATCTCGGGCGGCTGCGGGAGACGGAGGGGGCCTTTGCCGATACGAAGAGCCTTTGGGCTGGATCGGGGGTGGGGCTGGTGAAGAAAGTGGAAAAGGCGGCGGAGATCGTGGAGGAGGTGAGGGAGGATGCAAAGAAGAGATTACAGGCAGGTGGTGCTTTGTTCTAAGCATTGAGGGTTTGCTTGTTTCTCAATTGGCCGGTAATTCGCCTTGCTGGTTTCCAAGCAATCTGTTCATCTGTTCTATATACATTCAACCAAAATTAATATATACCACTTCGAGTGTTCTTTAAACCCTTAATCAAGTTTACCTGCAAGATATCACCAGCTATTCCCTGTCTAACAACAAGGAAAAAATGCAAGGGGACACAAAATGACATATAAACAATAAAAGTTGACATGGTCGCGTAGCTTGCAACATAGGTTCTCTCCGCGAATTCAAGATAAGCTTCAAACTTAAGACGTGTGCCTTGATGGCCGAGCATAATGTGCATTCGCATGGATTTTCACACGGGATATATATAGCACATCCCCAAGTCACCCTAACAGCAACATTTGAAGGATTAAATAGACCCTCGGTCGACTGCAGATGTTTCGGTCTATATATAAAAGGTGACCTGTATTGCATGACCCAGGTGACAAGCTCGACAGATGTCTTGGCAGGCAATGTCGCCGACCGCAGCAACACATGTATTCGAATTCAACAAACGAGCACGTCGATACTAAACACCTCCAAACAACTCCGTGGCGATGACCAATCCAGTATCAGGTCAATCCAACCTCATACTAAACACTGCCTAATTTCTATTCAATCTGATCCCATTTCCCTCCATCTTGTCCCGATAATAAGCCCATAATCTAGCGTTTCCGTGAATTCCGTGAATTCCGGGATCATGCAGGACAAAACTAAGCAAAACATGGCAAGGATCGACTTTCTTCACGCAAATAACCTACGATCATCCGGGTAAATCGGGATAGTTGCGCAAAGCTCCACCGAAGCTACCAGGTAGTCTCAGGTCAACTACAACACATAAAAACCAGACCCCAACACCCACCATCACACCCATCGCCATCACCACGAAACCACCTCCCCAAGCCAACATTAATCCAACATGAGCCTGCAACCCCCCGGAGTCGCCTTCGTGACCGGCGCCAATGGCATCAGCGGCTACGCCATCGTCGAGCATCTGATCCGACAACCCAAAGAAGAATGGTGCACTTCCCCTATGCCCCCTCCCACCCCAGAGGTCTACAGCAAAACCAAAGCTAAAGCCACCCAACCAGGTCCCGAATCATCGTCTCATCCCGCCGCCCGCTTCCGGTCCCGTGGATCGATCCCCGCGTGGAATTTGTGGCCGCCGACTTCCTGCAACCAGTCGAGAAACTCATCGCCGAGCTGAAAGATATCTGCGCCCCTGTCACGCACGCATACTTCACCTCGTACGTCCACGACGATGATTTCCGCGTCCTCAAGGACAAGAATATCCCGCTGTTCCGCAACTTCCTGGATGCCGTGGATGCAGTCTGTCCGGCGTTGCAGCGCGTGAGTCTGCAGACTGGCGGGAAGGTGAGCATCGCCATTTCTTTCTTGTTGACAGTCTTCGGGAAGCCAACGCGACACAGTACTACGGCGTTCACTTGGGGCCCGTCAAAGTGCCGCTCGAGGAGACCTTCCGGCGGTACGAGGACCAGGGGTATAACTTCTACTACAACCAGGAGGATTACCTGCGGGAGGTGCAGGGCCGGCGCGGGACCTGGTCATATAACATCATCCGGCCGAATGCGATTAATGGTTATGCACCGCATGGTGAGGGTCTCCCACATACAAATTACTCGGGCAAGGAGAAGGAGGCGGCGGGCTAATGACGCATACAGCGAACGGCATGTCCGAGGCACTTACCGTCGCGATCTACATGCTGGTCTGCCGCGAGCTCGGCCAACCGGCGACCTTTCCGGGCAACGAGTACTTCTGGAACTCGATCGACGATAACTCCTACGCCCCGAGTCTGGCCGACCTCACCGTGTGGGCGTCGACGCACGAGCACTGCAAGGATGAGGTGTTCAACCATGTCAACGGCGATGTGTTCGTCTGGAAGCACATGTGGCAGGATGTGGCCGAGTATTTCGGGGTGGGGGTTCGTTGCTTTCCATTGAGAAAAACAAATCCGGTGCGGAAATATTGACCACTCTGTAGGCACCGGAGCCGAACTTCGAAAAGGCGTCGGGGCAGGCCAACTCCCTCAGTAACGAGATTGACATGGTGGAATGGGCGAAAGACAAACATGAGGTTTGGGAGAGGGTCGTGCAGAAGTATGGAGGTAAGGTGGAGACTTTTGGCTGGGGTACCTGGGGTTTCTTCAACTGGGCGACCGGGAAATCCTGGTTGACCATCTCTTCCATCAACAAGGCGAGGAAGATGGGTTGGACGCGACACGATAAGACGTTGGATACCTGGATTGAGACGTTCCGGTCATTTGAGAATGCCGGAGCTCTACCTTCCCACAGGGCTCTGACCGGGGGAAGGAATCGGGAATAGTGGTTTGCTGAGCCCAGCGATCACTGGACAAACTACTGAAGACTGAGCTCCATCCTAGAAGATGCTATTTTTGTTGGCTGTTGAATGTTGCATGCCATGTGCTGGCGCTTGCAGCTTTGAGTCTAGTAACATTCCTTATGGTGGTGCGGGAACTCGCGTAGAAGAACGAAGCGGCCGGCTCCCTGAATATCGATAGGCGAATTGAGGCCGTTGACTTCGCCTTAAGGGCAAAAAAGATCAATCGAACGTTATTAGGGAAGTGAATAATGTGCCTACAAAGACTCCAAAGTTCTCCCGCATACCCCCAGCCTCCTCCAAAAAGTCACGCCAAGTATATTCAGCCAGCGGCAAGAATGACACCAACATCTTCAGAGAGATAGCCCTAATCCGCCTTCACATTCCACAACCCACGCCTTCCCCGGGCCATCAAACCTCTTTATCCTGGTCCATACAGGGCGAAGGAGGATAAATACTACACACCAATCCCACCGCGTCGTGGCCCTTCAGCCAACAGACAGCCATCTCTGTCTTCCAGAGTACCGCGTCACACCAACCACCAAAATGTTCCTCCCACTCAAACACATTCTCCCCCTCCTCCTGACCACCCTAACAAGCCTAACCACCGGCTCCCCCGACCAAAAGCCAGCCTACCGAATCACCTCCCCCGCGGACTCCGCGATCCTGACCCCCAACACCCCCAGCGTGATCTCCTGGTCCACCACGCAACGCACCTCAGCCAAACTCTCCATCTACCTCGAAACCACCACCAACCACACCGCCCTCTACACCATCGCCACCAACATCACCAACTCGGGGTCCATCTCCTGGGCCCCTCCCGCCCGCATCCCGCCAGGCGAGGAGTACATCATCGTCCTCGACCCAACCACTTCCCCCGACAACACCACCACCTCTCCATCTACTTCAAACGATCCCCAGGGAGAAAAAGCAACCTACCAATCCCTCCCCTTCACCATAACGGGCCCCAAAGCCCCACCCAACAACTCCACCTCCACAGCAACAACAAACGCCACCACCGCAGAGGAACCAACCTACTACCCAACCGAAAACCAAGCCATCGCGCGCGGCACAACCACCATCGTGACGTGGCCCGTGACGCCGGACCAGAAATCCGGGCACGTCAGCGTCTATCTCACGGAGGGGCAGTCGGAGTCCACCGCCAAGAATGTGTCGACGGTGGCCACGCACGTCGCCAACTCGGGGAGTCTGGCGTGCGTGCTGCCGCGGAATCTGACGCTGGCGGAGGATTATCGGTTTGCGATGGTTGGGGTGCAGGGTGGGGAGGATGTGCGGTATTCGGCGGTGTTTCGGGTGGTGGATGGGGATGAGGAAGAGAATAGTGATGGGAGGGAGGACGGTGAGGAGAATGACGGTGGGGATGAGGTTGAGGGTGAGGGTGAGGATGTGCAGGAGAAGAATGAGGGAGGTGAGGCTCATGCTGCGGAGACGAGTGCTACGTCTACGGAGAGTGGGCTCGCCAGTGGCTCGACGGGGGCGTTGAAGTCGGATTCGACGCGGATTGCGACTGCGGAGGGGTCCAGGGTGGTGAGGAGTTGGGGCGGGTGGGTTGCGCTTGGGATGGCGGGGGTCTTGCTGCTTGTGTAGGGTTGGAGGGTGTGGTTCTACTGAGCGACGCGGCATTGCATTTAGCGTGGATTAATTTGCCATTGGATTATGATAGTAATGTGTTATGAAATGTTGAATCTGGTGGAAAATGCCTCATATTCAATGTTTTCACTTGTCGTTCTCACCCTGCTCAGCTATGTTGTAGTCGTGTGGTACCATTGGCTGCTATCTTTATTGCATCTTGCCAACAGTGACCGTGCGATATCGAGCAGCGATCGGATTCGTGGAATTTGGCACCGAGAGCCGTCACAGTCACTGGGTTTCTAGATCGTAACCTTGCGAAACGTGCGGCACGATGGCTAGGGCTCAATCAAGACTCTGTTAAGTAGGTTATGGTGTCCTAGGTTAGACCTCTGTCGTACCCTAATACAAGAAATCCGGGTAAATCCGCTGCAACAGGTGATTCGAATACCCCACCACCTCAGCCTGGAATCGTCCCACGAGAGAACCTCTGCATGCCAAGAACCAAGAGAACAAAGAGAAGAGGCGAGATAGTCACCTTAGCCTTGGTATGACAGCATGGCAGGGACGCTGAACACGACCCATAACTCCATTCGCCAGCAAGCAAAGGTCCAGCCAAGTCTCACAGAGTGATACTCAGACCGGTCTGATAAAGTGAAAGGCAGAATGCTCCACCGTCGCTTCCCTCTGCTAAAAGCAGGCATCACAGAAGCTGGCCCCACCTTCAGAGTGCTTCCTTGTAGATGGGATGCGGGGTTCGTATTGGTCGCGATCATCGACCCTGGGGTTACCAGAAACTGCTTCAAACCTAATCGTTAGAGCCTTATCGAAATTTAGCTCAGGAGAATTCTGGGAGTTAGATTCGAGAGACCCATCGCGCCGGGAATCGAAACAAACGCCTGCCCAGATGGATCCATGTGGCAATCCCGGTAGGTCTGGTACCTAATCTTACGAGGCGGCCAGCCCAACACGCCGGGAAGATGAGCGGCTGTAGTACCCGCTATCACGGCCATACTTTACGAGAACTCGATCTTCATCCTCAGAAGCATTCTTTGCAGCTCGTGAATCTCATCAAGATCTTTTTCGAGCATGGAGTCGTGAGATCAGAGATTGCATCTCTGAAAGACGAACGACCCGGTCTAGACCTGGACAGGTTGTTTATAAAATGCTCGAAGCATCCTAGACAATGCTATCATTTTTTCCTTATCATCATCGACAACAGATAATCACAGAGCAACACAAAGAGCCTCACCCATATTCCTTCGGACCAACCATTCTCAATAAACATGCAGTTGAAGAACGTTCTCGCCGTCTTCGCCGCTCTCAACCTCGTCACCGCCGCCCCGACCCCCGACGAGGACAGCCTCGAATTCGTCGACGGTCCCGAGGGAGGTGCTGATGAGTTTGAGATCGTGAAGCGAGGAGAGGCCTCTTTCTGGTGCAAGGGAGCTGTCGTCAATGACAAGTACAAAGGTGGCGTGGCCGGTACCAAATGCGGGTGGTCCTGTAAGTTCAAAAAAAACCCAGTGCCCGTTTTTGGGCGGATGCATGTAAGTTCTCTGACCGAACGGGCTCAAAAAAGATGAGAATGGCTGCGGCAACCTCATCTGCAAGAGTGGCAAGTACATCGCCTGGCCAGCTCCAGTAAGTCATATCCCACCTCTCCAGTCTTCAGCAAGGCAAGGAAGCCGCTAACACACCGGGGCCTTCAGAAATGGGGCAAGTGGGATTCCTACATCGTCTGCAGCTAGATGCCTGAGCGTGGCTGCAAGAACCGTGCGGGGGCACTTCGGCTGTGGTAGCTCCATGTTGTGCGATGCATTGGAGATGATCTACCCCAAGGCTTCGAATATTGATGGCTATGATTTTTAGTTACGTTAGGAAGAGCGAAGGTTTGTGTATTGGTGCAGCGACGAGTAAAAGCCAAGAGGAAATGTTACTATTGATACTTTGCTTGAATATAATTTGAATTTCGGTTTTTGAATTGCAAATTGAACAAGAGTGTACACGGAAGATCCGGAGCAGATTATATGACAAGATGATCGAATCTTAGGGCTAGACAACCAGTGGTCGACTTGTATGTCCCTTCCATGGGAATCTCGGATTCACCCCGCCATCCCGCCGTTTGCGGCCGGGTCGCGTGTCGCGCCCCCAGCCAGGCCCTTACCCAACCCACAGCCAAAATGCCTGGCGAATTCAATTTGCGGACTATGCGCACCCAGTAACGCTAATGGCCAGACAAAAAGAAAGCCTCGCCTCTATCGTGCGAGCGAACACCGGTTCCTCTTTTTGTCCATCATGTATAGCTCAAGTAGAGGGGCCCTTTCAATGCCCCATGATACACGCAGAAAACCGGGATCGGCGGTCCAGATCTGGCAGCCGGGTAGTTTGATAAGAATGAAATAGCCACGAACAGCCGAAGGTATCCGGTGCAGAACGGCCGTGAAACGTTTTCTGCAAACGGACCCGTCAAAGGTTCGCTTCACAAAAGAAACACGGTGTACTACACGGTGTACTGTACTTCCGCGGTAACGGAAAGCACCGCTCGAATTCTCAAAAATTTCTTCCTTGTCAACTAGGGCATGATTCCACGGGTCAGTAGAGGAATGGAATTGCATACACATATATTACCCAGTCTGACAACTGTACAAATTGATTGATGGGTCCTGACCTGGATACCAATGGTACTGCACCTCAGTTATGAACTTCTTAACAGTCGACTTGCTCCTGTATACCGATGCCGGAAATCCCGCTCCTCGAATGTGACACGGAGTCTCAAGCAAGCGTGACTGAGGGGGACCCTAGAAGTGATAACCAGCTGCTGCGGATGGAAAATAGCAGTTCTGTAAAGACTTGGTAAGATTTATTTCTCTGTCACCCTACTGGAGTAGATCATGGTCCTAATCTTCACCTACAGATATCTAACTCTTTTGCTCTCTTCTCACGAGAGATTTCTCGCAAATGAAGCGGAATACCCCCGTATCTCCGGCTTTGCGTCGGCTATGGCCATGTATCTGGAGGCAGATCGATCGTGTTTTCTGTGTGTCTAGTCTCAGCCAAGACTGGAGAGATCCACTTTTTCTCAGAGGAAAAATGCGGGGTAAGTGGACGAAAGGAGCGGCAAGGAAAAGTAATAGTCGTCTTCTGGAATTGCACTTTAAATATCAATCTCTCCCGTAGCAAGAACAACTGAGATATTTGAAGCCATTGTGCGCCTATTGTGTCCTCTTCAGCGATTATCAAGCCTCTGCTAGAATTGCGAAAGTCCGATCTAGTGAGGGTTCTCATTTAAAAAAGCTAGGCTCCGCAAATGTCTCACCGTGATGAGTCGGTCAGATCCGACCTGCAACTGGAGAGTGCGCGACACAGCATGGAGGAAGATGTGTCAAAAAAGCCTCCCCCACAGAATGACAGCCCAGGGGATCCGTTTGGGGAGGAGGTCGAAGGGCAAATGCAGTACAAGACATTAAGTTGGTGGTATGTGAATCACACCTGACGCCTTGAAACCACCACTAACAGAATCTTTAGGCAATGTGGGATGCGTACGTCGTCCACCTCCATGACCATCAATGACACAGCCATTTACAAATAGTAGTCATGATCGCCGAAACCGTGTCCCTGGGGATCCTATCGCTCCCCGCAGCCGTTGCAGCTCTGGGGATTGTTCCGTACGTTGCCCCTTCTCCTGCAAAAGTAGCAACTCGCTCATTGTGGCCCAGATCAATCATCGCCCTGCTCGGGCTAGGAGGCATGGCAACATACACAGGCTATGTGATCGGACAGTTCAGATGGCGATATCCGCATGTGCACAGCATGGCCGACGCAGGGGAGGTGCTGTGGGGCTCGTTTGGCCGTGAGCTGCTAGGAGGGGGCCTCATCCTCCTCCTCATCTTCGTGATGGGCAGCCATCTACTGACCTTCTCCGTGGCGATGAGCACAATGACGGAGCATGCGACCTGCTCCATTGCCTTCAGCATCGTGGGCTTTGCCATCTCGCTACTCTGTACTCTACCGCGCACCATGCGAGGAATGACCCTCATGGCTATCATCTGTGCGTGGTCACCCACTCCAACCCTTGCCCAACCACACCACATCTAACCCTAAACCCAGGTTTCATAAGCATCCTCTCCGCCATCTTCGTCGTAACCATCGACCTCGGCATCATCAACAAGGACCACTACCACGCCACCGCAGTCCACCGCACCGACCTCAACGAAGGCTTCCTAGCCATCACCAACATGGTCTTTGCATTCGGTAAGCCCCTTACTCCCCTCCCCCCTCATCACAAACCACAAAGCCCCAACTAAAACAAGCATACAGCCGCCCACGCCGCCTTCTTCAGCTTCATCTCCGAACTCAAAAACCCAAAAGACTACCCAAAAGCCCTCTACCTCCTCCAAACCATCGACACAACCCTCTACATCCTCGTCGCCGTGCTCATCTACTACTTCGCCGGGCCGACCGTCGTCTCCCCGGCATTGGGATCTGCCTCGCCAGTGGTCCGCAAAGTCGCATACGGAGTCGCCTTACCGACTGTACGTTCCCCTCTCCCTTACAATCTATCAATTCCCTTCACTCCCCCCCGAAAACAACATCACTAACCTCTCCCCTACCCGGGGCCGAAGATTATCATCTCCGGCGTCGTCAACGGCCACATCGCCTGCAAATACATCTACATCCGGCTCTTTCGCGGCACGGACCGGGTGCACGCGACCGACTGGACGAGCTACGCGCTGTGGGCGGGGATCGCGCTGGGCGTGTGGGCGCTGGCCTGGGTCATCGCCGAGGCGATTCCGAGCTTTAGCAATATCTTGAGTTTGGTGGTGCGTTTCCCTCCCCTTTCCCCTGCTCTTTCATTCCCGCGGATGCGAACAGATAAGGAGACGTGATGGGAGGTTGAGATGTTAACTTGACAGTGCATGGGGTTTAGGCTTCGTTGTTTGCGACGTGGTTTACTTGTCCGTTGTCCTTCCCCTTTCCTTGTTTGATCTGTGCATGGAGTGGGAATAGTCAAGCTAACTGAGAGTGGGACATGGTTTAGACGGACTTCCGGGGATTTTTTGGCTGTATCTGAATCGGGGGCTGTGGTTCAGCAGCCTCAGGAAGTTTGCCTTGACGGTGGTGAATGGGTTTATGTTTTGCGCCGGGGCGATTATTGTAAGTTCCTCGGTGTGGGATGTCTATGCTGAGAGGTGAAACTAATGATGGATGTAGTGTGGACTGGGGCTCTACGTTTCTGGGAAAGCAATCCATGAGACGTCTGCGCAGGCCTCGTTCTCTTGTGCTAGTTCTTGAGGGTCACAAATAGAGGGTTCCTTAGTTTGTTGGTGTAGAGGTACGGGATTGGATAGAGGGCAAGCACATGCAGAAGTCAATAAGGTTTTGGGATAAAGGGAAGACTAGCGTTGAAGGACCTGGACATTAAATCAAATATACTACACCCCAACCATAAACAACCAACGCCCGCCAACACGGCATAATCAAACACGCACACAACAAAGACTACCACTTGAACTTCTTCGGCACAAACCGACTTGCCTGACTCTGTAGAAATCCCTTCTTCTCTTGCTCTGCCTGCGGCTCAGCAACAGCCTCGAACTCCGGAATCTCCTTCGTCTCGACGCCTGGCTCCTTCTCTTCACTCGTCTGCCGCCTCTCGATGATTTCCACCGCCCAGCCCATCGAAGCCATCTTCGCGAACATGAGCGGCGTCACCTTGTTCTTCCCCTCCGTCGACGGATCTGCCCCGGCGTCGAGCAGCAGCGCCACCGTCCGCTCCCAGGAGGCTTGCCCATCTAGATCGGCAAGGAGCTCCGCTTGGCCCTGGGCGCGCAGCTCATGGGCGATCGCCCCGGCGGTCTGCAAAAACAGGAGCAGGGGCGTGCGGTGCTCCTCGTCCTTGGCGTTGACGTCCGCCCCGTGATCAATGAGCCGCTTCGCCATGACCTCACTATCCATGCCGACAACGGCGACATGGAGCGGCGTCTGGCCGACGCTGTCGCGGGTATTCACGTCGGCGCTGTGGGCGAGCAGTGCATCGACGGTCCGCTCCGCGTCCTTGACCTTTACAGCAATGTGGAGGGCGGTCTGCGCCGTGTTGATGGCGTGGTAGGTGTCGATGAGGGTCTTGGACGCCTTCCACGCCGCGAGACCCTTAGCGGCCAGGCCCATGCCGACAGTGGTCTTGCGGTTGGGGTCTGCGCCGCCCTTGAGGAGGGCTTCGACGAGGGCTTCTAGCCCAGGAAACCCTGCCGCTTTGTGGAGAGGGGTGATGCCGCTGCTGTTGGTGACGTTGGGGTCGGCGGAGTGGGCCAGAAGCGTGGTCACCGTGTCGACGGAGCGGCCGTCGATGGCGTAATGCAGCGCGGTGTTGCCGCCGCTTCGTGTGAAGATGTTAGGTCGGGCGCCGGCTTTGAGCAGTTCCTTCACCATCTTGGGGCCAGCATCGGAGCGTTCGGCGGCGGCGAAGTGCAGGGCTGTGCGACCGGGGTGAAGGAGCCCGATGGTCGTCGCATCGACGATGGCTCCATTCTGCAGCAGCCAAGTGACCATCTCGACCGCCTCGGAGTCCGCCGCAATGTGGATCGCACTCCAGCCTGAGGTGTCGGGCGCCGCGACGGCCGATGGCAGCGAGAAGATGGACATATTCCAGGATGTGGCACGATCGGCCAGCCACGGAAGATTGAGTCGAGCAGACACGAAGAGCAAGCTGGTGCTAGTGGAGAAGCCGGAGTCTGATTGTAAAGCAGGACATGTTAATGCTACGAACGATTCGAAGCGCTTGAACCATACGACTTACACTTTCCATGCGTCCATCGCTTCAAAAGATCATAGGCCTTCAACCAATTTTGCAAGGACACTGATTCTGCCTCGAAGAATCGCTTCATGCCAACTATGTCGCTTTCCTCCCGAATCTGGCTTTCGCGGAGATGATCTCCAAGAAACTCGATGGAATACTGCAGGAAGGGATATCCCGCGAGGTATTCCTGTCTAGTCTTGGTAAGCTCGACTTCATCGATCCTCCACTCTTTGTTCACCGGTGGCTTGGGCACTTCGCGGCGCTGAATCTCCTCGAACTGCAGATATGCCAAACAGGCCGAGGCCATCTGCCGATGGGCATCGGACTTGCTCATCCCGAATCGGGGATAGTCCTTGGCCCCTTCCTCGCTGAAAACATGGGCCAAAAAGTCCTTGACAGACTGATGACTCAGATAGACAGCGCCACTCCGGACTGCGAAAAGGGTGCCCCAGCTGTTCTCGATATTCTGCCGCAACGCCTGCAGATCCTCCTCGCTTGCGCTTGCGCCCGTATACTCCTTCCCTTCCTGGAGCGTGAGAATCACATCCAACTCCTGCAGAGTCAATGGACGACAGGCAAAGTAAATCCACATGAGCAGTGTGCGCAACCGACCGACCACATCCCGCGACTGTCGTTCCAGGATTGCGCTGTAGAAGGCCTCGACATCGGACGGGATGTTGTGCAGCCTTTCCTTGACCCTGGCCTCGGTCCAGACACCCTCCCAGGTAGACAGGTCATCAAGAACCAGCGACAGCCACATGAACATGCCTTTGGAGCTTTCCTTGAGCTGGCCCGTGATGTCTTCGCGAAGTGTGTCCGGGAACTTGCGATATTCCTGAATGCGACGAACCCTTCGCTCGGCGACTTGCCTGATGTCCTCCTGGTTCCCCTCGGGCATGTCCACCGTGAACTCGGGAAGCATCTTGTCGGAGACAATGGCACTGCCTCGGTCCGAGATGATGCATCGGAAGGTGAACTTCCGGCCCAGGCCGTTTGCCTTCTGGCTGATTCTGGTGGACAAATCATTCACAATCCGGAGGATGGGAGCGATGAAATGCCCGCATTGATCTAATCCGTCGATGACAAAATACAAAACTTCCAGACTAGGATCAGCCACGATATCCTCGATGATTCGAAGCAGAACATCGCGTGAGTGGAACTCGTCTACATCAATCGTGCTGCCGTTGGATGACCCCTGCAAGTCTTCAAGATTTTGCACGTGCTGCAGTGCGTATTTGATAAGGCCGCGGTTCTGCTGTAGCAGCTTGTAAAGCAAGGTTCTAACAACCCAGATGGGTGCCTTGCGGTGCTCGTTTTTATCATCGCAAAAACAAGCCACCGCGATCGTCTTCCCAGGTGTTCCAACCTCTGGGCTCAGGATCACATCCTCAGTCAAGGAAGGCGATTGGGGGCTGGTGCTCGAGCGCAGGCTGGATTGGATAGCTCTTGTGAGATATTTCAGTAGTACAGTCTTCCCACTGCCGGGGATCCCTCGAATGTACAGCGGTGTGGTTGTTGGGGGATCGGTTTGGATCCAGCTCCGAAACGCTGCACATTCAAAAATCCATTCACAGGTTCCAGGGAACGCGCGAGCGATGTCGTGTCGATCTCCGGAGTCACCTGCGACTAGGGCGTCGAGTAATTTCTCTTCGACCGTCTTCTTCTCGCCTGCGGACCAAAGAAAGTATGTTAGCTCTGTGCATGCGCCCAAGGTAAGATATGTTCCATCATCAAGCCTATCTTACCCAAGTAGACAGAAGCTCCGGCAGCGATGGTGACCTGTTGAATGGCATCGCTGTAAAACGAGGCTTCCATCGAGCCATAATTCTGGCCCATCTGAAGGCCAGAGTTGGTCGAATTGTTGAATGCGGCTGACGCCGGTGGCGGTGCCTGTAGCTCTAGTGTCAGCATTGGGGCCAGAACGTCGACCTATCTACCTCTTCTCAGCCGAAGCACAGTACTTACTGTATCAACCATCGTGCTAGATTCTCTCCCCCAAGATTACCAGTCTTGAATCTTTCTGACTGTAGCGCGAATAGAAAGACGCGCGGTCGTACAGACGTCTACGTTAAATAAGACCGATCTCATGGGATGCAGCCGGTGCAGCAAGCAAGTTCTGCTTGACAGTAAGCAGGGGCTGCATCTCCGCATCTGCTGAAAAGGTCAACACTGCCTCGATTGGGTGCCACCGGGATGGACGGCGTTCTCCTAGTCGGATTCGACTGTCAGAAGACTTTCAGCCCTCCACGGCGCGGGTGTGATTATAGGTGCAGATTCCAGCTGCATCCAATGAGGGGGCAAATATGCACCTCGCTTGCAGTCGCCCAAACAAACCACTCCCCGTCAGCATCGATCAGCGCTCCCACCTCATCCCGATGACCCCGCCTCCTTCTCCCTCCTCCGTACAGTTCATCTAGCTTCCTGCAGAAGATAGTCCACGGCCGAGCCCCTCTCCCATCACCACACGCACGCACGGCACCGGTTCGGAACAGTGTGGAAAGCAAGCAGTCTATATTGACTTTTGACGCCAGCCATTCAGTTTGTGGATACTGGAAACTGCGAAATCATTGGACCCAGGTATGACCGTCGCGATTGGGCCTCGTTCGGCATTGTTGCATTTGCTGGATCTGCGATTGTCTCTCCTGAGGGACGATGCCCGATTCCTCGGGATGCTCCTTGTCATCAGTTGTAACATAAATTCGGTCGGCCCCAGCACGAAAGGATAGTCCCGGTCACTATTCACCACTGGTCCGACCGTTATTTTGACATATATTTGTGATTGAAGGCTTCGAAGTGCCAATGGAACTGAAAGTGATCCGGGACCCCGGCGACGCTCGCGTGGAGTAAGTTACACCACATCTCTTACGTGTACGACGTTGCAACGTTATTTTCCTGGAACTTTCATGGTTGGGGCATACTGATCATGGAACTCTGAAGCATTGTTTTCGTCCACGGCTGGCATGGCGAGCAGCCTGGCTGGACCTCTGCCGCCAAATCCGTGTTCTGGCCCGAGAAGCTTTTTGCGAGCAAGGTTTCCGAGGCGCGCGTATTCTCGTTTGAGTACGATGTGACTCTCGAAACGTTCTGGAACGAGGAAGACCTTATTACCGAACTTTCGAACGAGCTGATGGACCAGCTTATGGATCAGCGCACCGAGCCGGAGAAGGTTGCCCCGCCCCCTGCCCTCTAACCTTCCCAGCCGCTGACAAGACGACCAGGAGAAACGAGCTGTGATTCTTGTAGCACATTGCCTTGGAGGGTTAATCTGCGAAAATGTAGGCTTCCTGGCGTGCAGTCCAGTCGCCCCCTTCCCGGATTCCCCACTGAATCAAATGTTGACAAACAAGCATAGGCGCTCGTCCAAGGAGCGGAGCACAACGACCGGAAAGCCCTTGTCAGCTGCGTCAAGGGGCTCCTTCTACTTGGGACCCCACATTACCACCCTGGTGTGCTGAGTGAAGCAAACAAGTATTTCGAGCTAGCGGGAGAAGAGGCCCCTAGCGAGTTTGGCCTGGAGGAAAAGTCAGACTGGGTGCTGGGGATCCCGCGCGAGTTTGCTAAGCTCCGTGCCGCCGGGCTGGAGATGGACATCCAATGTTTCTACGAGGGATCCCCTACCGATCTCAACGGGAAGGGAGTCAAGATCGTGGAGATGGCCTTGGCGCGGTGCCCCGACGGGCCTCCCGCAGAGCGGCTGGCAGCCAACCATGTGAAGATGAGTCAGTTCGAGGATGAGAATGATCGCGACTTTGTCAAAGTGCTGCGAGTCCTGAAGAAATGGGTGGCTAAGGTTCCCGCCCCGGAGAAAGATGGAGGCACTACCGTCAACAATGTCTCTCACGCCTCCTTTGCGGGATCGACAAACTCGGGGTACCAGTTGGGTCAGAATGTCGGTAACCAAAGTGGGTTCGTTTTTGGAAGAGCATAGTGGTGGAAATGGTATCGTGTGATTGATCAGGATGATGAATTCTCGCTCTGAAGCTTTCTGGAATGATGATATCGTGCATCGAGTGCTGTTGTGTGACCTTGAAACTGTGTAAACTGTGGGCCAGTAAGCAAGACAGATGCAGTCGGCGGAGCAAATCACCCCCATTGGCGTAAGGCATATGGTGTCGCAGCGTACTTGACGCCCGGGACAGAGTTTCGCCTGTATAATGATAACAAATCAACCAAACATCAAGGTGCTAGTGCCGTGATCAACCCGATTAGTCGTCAGACGGGCCACTTGGAAGGCCGGGATCGAACATGGCCCTATGGCCAACACACGGTCCAAGTGAGGGGCGATTGGAGGGGTTCCACCAAAGTTTGACAAGTGTATCACAGACCCACGGGAGTTAAAACCATGACAAACATCCATAAGCCATTGTAATCGGATATACCCGGAGGAGTGCCATGCAGATAGTCCGTACGTGGGTATCTGCTATTGGTGTTGCTGCCTGCCGCGGGCGCTACGGTGGCTAGCTGATGAGACGGGAAAGCCCTGTAAGAAAGTGCCACCCTCAGCTCGCCGGAGTGTCCGAGATGGCACCGTTGGCTGTGCTGGAGATAGATTGCAGAGCACGGCAGCACCGAGCATTGCACCGTAGGCGAGGCCTATCACAAGACGTGGGGTTGGAAACCGTGTTTGGCTGAGAAGAACCACTGTCCGCGCGATCGGTCCATCTTATCTGGTGTGAACTTCCCACCACAGAGCATCGTGGCCTCGAACTCGTTTTTCAGGGCTTGATCAGTTCTCTTGTTGAGCTCTACTCCACATAGGCTTGACGAAGATGGCAATCGAACCCGCAAGCAATGCATCAGCCGAGGCGTCCGACCTTGCCCAGTTGTGGCAAGGCGCCGTGGAGGACTATGAGAAGAGAACTGGGAAGAATCTGAGACTGGGCCAATTCAGGAGTATGGACGATGTGATGACAGGAACGGAAGGCCTTGCAACCAGATTCAAAGACTTTCGCGATGATAAATCGAAGATGGCAAAAGTCCGCACCGCGCTGAAGAACAACATGTGGATCATCCAGAAAGTCGTCAACACGATCCAGACGGTCGGAACTGCGGTTTCGGTGAGTTGGAGGCATTTCACACTAGACGGCATCACTTTTGACACATGACTCACAGGCATTTCCTCCTGCCATGCCGGCCAGTTTGATCTTTACGGCCTTTGGCCAAGTCATGCAGGTATGCGATCATTGCAAAGGAGGTCTCTTGCATCGGCACGTTTGGCTAAATCGGGCGTAGTCCTTCGCCGATACATCTGCAGACTATGACAAGATTATGGGCTTCTTCGAGTTCACACATCGCTTCTTCGATCGACTATCGATCATCGAGGAAAGAACACCGGCTCTACCTCCATTCCAACGATGCGTCACACGCGTCTTCTCCAGCATCCTCAAGATCTGCGCCGTCGCGCAGAAGTATGCCGCGGAGAAAAGATTCAGTATGTGCTTCCGCCTTGCTATTTGGGTAATGTTCAATTTGTGGAACCGTGGCTAATGCTGATATCACCCGTCAGAGAAATGGTTCGAGAATCTGGTAAAGGGAGCCGATGGAGATCTTACCGCAGCAAACAGCGAGATGGAAGAAGCCATCAATGAGCTAAGTCAAGCCGTGGGTCTAGCGACCCTGAGAACAGTCGAGATCATCGACGAGGTTGTCAAGAGCATGAACGGACAGGTAGAATTCCTCGTCGCGAACGCCACCCTCCTCGATGAGCGAACCGAAGCGATCCAGTCGAACACCAATACCATCATGGAACAGAATCAGGATCTCGGGTCCAAGCAGGATGCAATGACGCAGTTGCAGAAAGAAACATTGGAGATGGTGAGCGAGCAATCCCGGCTGTTCAGCAACGTGGTTGGCTACTTCGGGTCGGTTCAGATGGGCGAGAATTTTGGAGACAGCTTCAAGACCAGCGTGTTGAAGCTCGGGGTGGTGAGGCTGCGGTTGGCGCGCTGGGGGCAGTCGGTCGGCCTAGCCAACATCAAGGACGTGCACTCCCTGGAAGAGTCGAAGCTCTCACCTGATGATATACCCCGTGTATCTGAGCTCCTAGAAGGCATTCTCGATCAGTTTGCTGATGCCGAGAGAATCTCGAAGCGGTTCCAGTTGCGTCACCGCAATGCGACCGCAGTCCTTGATCCTAACAAGGACCTGGACAAGGTCGCTGCATCGCTACATCAAAAGATGAATGATCTCTCTCTTCGACGACAGGGGAACCCGGATGCAGAGCCCAATAAAGAGCTGACATTGTACGAAGAGAAGAATTTCACGAGACTGATCGAGGACATTAACGAGTTGGTAAATGACCTGGTCGAGTTGTTCCCAGGGATCGAGGATGCGCAACGGAAGCTTGCAGAGGAAGAGGTGTCGGAGATGAAGAGCATCAAGGGCGCGCTACCTATCCTGAAAGAAGTGGCTGCCGATCAAGACAATCTGTTGACTGAGACCGTTGTAAAGGTGATCCAACAAAGCTCGACGACGACATACACCAACTCGGTGGTATTCTCAGGAAACAACTCGGGATTTCAGGTGGGAAACAACGCGGGGAGAATCAGCAACGTGCGCTGGAACTGAGGGAGTGAAGACAAAGAGTAGAAGCATCGTTGAATGAACTTTGAAAAGGCCAGGTCGATGTCATACTGATGGTAAAGTAGCAGTGGCTGCGTGTTCTGCGATCCGTGACATGGTGTGATAAGACGGAATGTAGATAGAATCTTGCTCCGTGCCGGTCGCGTACTTCGGCGTTATCTCGTGAATGTTGGGTTATATTTATCGAATGGGGAGGACTCGGTAACCAGCAGGACTGGGAACACACTGGCCGATCGTAGAGGCAAACGCCCTCGGTCCTGCGTTTGAATCCCGGCTGGCACTTCCAGACGCTGGCTCGACCATTTCGGGATTCAACGGTATGAAAACACCCGGGGATAAGAGGGGATTTCGTAGCACTGTTCGAGGATAAATCCTCCAACAGTGTGAGCTTTTTGCATTTCTATTCTATTTCCCTTTTCTGCTTTTGGTTTTATTTTAGACTGCAGGTACGCGAAAAGTGTAGCTCGAAACCATGGTCATTACTCAACACCCATCACGATTGCGAATTCTGCTCGAGCAAGACCCTGTCCTTCTGAATCTCAATACAAGTTGCCATATCTTCAAGAGAATAGTGATCTTCCTTCCAAATACCCTGCGCAAGCCATATAATACCCTCTCTGACCTGTTTGTACGCAGGATCGATACTTGAGTCATATTTGACCATCTCGTCGTGCGTCGTGTTGAGGTAAATATGTTGAGCATACCGGGTCCCCTACCGAACGATGCCTTGTCAACCAGCGCTTTTGTTAGCACCCACGGGTCAGTAATCACCTCAATATGCGTTGGTCCATGATCTGGCCCTCGCTCGTGACCATAGACTGTCCGAAGATCACGGCTGATTCCTTCGTACTGTCGCAAAGTATGGAGTAGCCAAGCCGCTTCCTTGAAGTAAGCATCATCCGCCGCATGCGCCCCTCCGCTATTGGCCAAGTAGCTCTCCAAGCCCTCAAGTCTGGCGTCCATTTCCGGGGTACCCATGTAGAGGATCCCGCATGTGGATCTCTTTACTTCGCGCAATTTTCCATCAGGGTGGGAGGCGGAATAGAGCAGTGCCTGTCGCGAATGTGGTTGGAAACCCGCCTCGCCATCTTAGGGGTGCAGGGGCAGACATACACTCTTGACAATCGACCCTCCTGCGCTATGGGCAACGAATATAAGTGGACGTTGATGGGTCTATGCTCAGCTTGGTATCAGCCTTCATCCCGATAGCCACACGTTGCCAAGCGCTTGCGTACCTTTGAGCCCTCTCTGTGTTGCCACAAATCACTAACTAGTTTCTGTGATATTACCTGCATCAGAGGTTCTTTGCCGGCACAGCTTGTGTCCGTGGAACTATATCCCCATGAGTAGATATTGATATTGGGGGTGTCTTGAGGGAGCACGTCCCGCAGCCAATTGACCCCCGACGCACTTGACCAGGAGTCTTGCAGGTGGCCCTTCCAACCATGCACGGCGATCAGGCTAACATCAGTTACTCAGAGATATAGGAATGAAGGTCGCTCAAGAGGGCCCGTACTCAATTTCTGGATCCGGAGAGGTATGCACAATAGTAAGACGTGTCTTGATATCATCTTCTTGTGGTGACCCGGGCGTGTCCTACTATCAATCAGAGAGGATAAAAATGGGCCGGTCGGGGCACCTAACATTTCGGGGGGCTTCGGATTTTGCGAAGAACCGAACGCACCTGAACGGCATGATGGTTTGATTTTATCTCATGTCAAGAGCAAGTGGGGACCGCATCGCTGGCCCGATGTTTTTGATTCAGCATGAGGCGGGGTGGGGTAACCGCGGTTTGTGCCATCCTTATTCACCGAGTTATGCACATAATACCCACCTACCGTACATATAGTTCGCTCTGCTAGTATGCCTCTTGTTATGCTCATCACCCGCATGATTACGACCTATCCTTGTGTATATGACTGAGACCCCAAAGTCTATAAATATGTAGTTGGGCCAATGATATCCCAGAATACCACTGGCCAAAGGTCCTTATAACGGTCCAAACCCTCTTGTAAGGGTCAAATACGCGCGTCGGACGCACTGCTAGAGAGGTGCCGTTGAAATATGCCTCGACCAGTCAAGCATGTTGAGGCCTCATGAAGGAGAAGAGGAGAACCTTTCAGGAGACTAACACAGTAGTTGAGGATGGTCCAGGGGTATAGGTGACCGTTGCTAGTGCAGCCAGCTGGTCGATGAAGCGGGTTCGTCTTAATGGTGCTATCATCAAGTGCAGGGCAACCAGGACCTCTCCCGGCAACATTTTGTCGTCGGTCTCCGCTCATTTTGCGTTAGACAAATGCTTTGATATTTGGCTGTGAGCCCTCAGTGAACATAGGGGATATATGTCAGACGTACATCTCATGTGGTCTACGCGAACCGTCCTTGACGACAAATTGACCAATGATGCCTCAGAAGAGGCATTCGGTCTCTTCGCCCTGAATCCAACCAAGAAGGCAAACTTGTACAACCGAAGAGGTAATCGAATAGAATGTGCAACAGACAATTGATGCAGGTGAAAGTGCCATTCGATAGCCATGAGCATCACGCCCGCCTCGAAAAATCACAATACTCCCTTTGATGAGTTTCCGCCTCCGTCGACACCCGCGTGGTAACATACGTCTGTATAATTGTCTTCATCAGAATCCCATTCTGGTTCAGATGATTGGGGTGGCTGTCAGTAACGATGGCATCCTGGCTCCCCAGCGTCGTGTCGGCCAGACCCCGACGCGAATTGGCCTTCCGAGCGCTTCGTTGCTGCAAATCACTCCCCCCGGGCAACTGCGCGCCGCATGAATTCTTGGCCGGGCTGGAGCCGAAGATTGAGGGAGCGTACGCTTTGATCAGAACGGAGAGGGAAGGGGCGCAGCCGCAGAAAATGGCTGAAACCGATGGATATAGTCTAGTTAGATCGCAAATATTTCTCGACTGAAATCAGGAGGAGATAGATCAGGATGTCCGTCACGATGTTCAACACGCCATTAACCTCGTAGAATAGCTGCTGTGCGTCTAGGGACATGCAGCGGCTATCCCCTATTGGGTTCGTCCAGAACAAGGATGGAGGACTGCAGCTGGCGAGTGAGCCGATAAAGCTCGCGAGGGATAGTCCGATGTTAAGGAACATAACGAAGAAGACAGCCCGGCGCATGGATCTCCGGGGATCCAGGCGCAGGTAGAACCACAGTAAGGACATTTTGACCAGCCCCATAGAAAGCGTGTAGAAGATACGCGTCACCCAGATGCACTTGCCGATGGCTAAAGTTAGCGAATAGTGTACGTTGTGAATGAACCTTTAGCATAGGCACAGTGTCGCTTTCCGCTATGGCAAGCGCATGTTTTCCGATCCCGTACTGGGAGCCGATCATGATCGTTATCGATAATCCGAAGTTGAGTATCTGATGGACTGAGTGTGAGTGGAGATTGTTGGTGGGAGGGTTTCATGTCGCTCACCGCGCCGATTATCATCAGAACTAGAGGTGTTTCTTAGTTTCGTCCCAAAAGTTGAGCGTTCAATTGACCTACTATCGTCCGTCCCCAGAGCGCGCAGCATGAAAGCGCGGGCATAAATGCGCAGCGTGACAACGATGTAGTCAAACGCAATGAAGCCGATGCCCACGCCAAAGATTGCCGCATGTCGTGTCTCGGAGATATCGTTTGGGAGCGCTGACCTTTGAGCGATAGCCATCTTCGACGTCTGGAAGATGTGCCATGAAGCAAAGCACGGCCAGGGGTATTAGCAGGCTAAGTATGAGTCGCCATGCTGTCTGAATTGTTGTGGTCTGGTCCGGAATGTCTGGCTCACACAAGGAACAATTTACATCCTTGTCAATTCATCAGTCAAGAGATTCGATCAGCGGCAGCTTCGATGCAGGCTGGGTGCTCTCAAATTGTGAGTGGAGTTGACGGCTTGCTTTTTTGACCGCTGCACACTAGAACCCTAGGGCTTACTAGGGCTTCCTCTGTAGACAGGGTACAAGGTCCCGAGCGAATGATATCCACCAGTTGGATTATCATGAGCTCTTCTGAGATTACGAATATCTCATAGGGGCTCCACTTGTAATAGGCTAGGGTAGTAGTCTGCTATGGTGAGGGACGGCCCATCGATTGACCGGTCGGTTCCCACAGGGGGCACACTCACCCAACAGCATTTAGAGTAAGAGAGCTCCCTATAGCGAAGCCTTTGTGTAGAGACGGGAACGATCGGACCGTGGTTGTTGCGCGTGGCATTTATTAAGAAAGAGGGAGAGATTGGTTGAAACAAGCCTTCAGGGTCTACAATCAAATCCACAGGGCAGGACGGGGAACTTCGGTGCCTGCCGCTGTCAGTGGGCGGTAGGCAGGCTCCTTACTTTGCGCCTAGTAGGGTTCATTCAAAGCACTTAATTTGGTGAAATGGCATGATATTGCTACCTATCCACATGCTCCACAATGCCCAAGGCCCAGGCGAACAAAATGTAGTGATTGGGGCCAAGATCGATCGGCTAGCGCCTAGTCGATTGACATTTCCGCGGACCTCGGCTCTGTCTGGGTTCCACAAATAGGGACCAAAGCATTCGGAGTCCGGCCGGTCGTGGGCCATAATTTTGTGAGACACAGACCAGGGTATGATTCAGTAGTCGCTTGGCGGGCTGAACGGGGAACTGGCCAAATGAATCATTAACATTGACAGCGTCCATAGTTCGGCGGCCGAGGGTGCTGGTCTTTTCTTGATAAATACTGCCCCTCTCGTCAAGGGAGTCTAGGAAGGAGCCTGTGGCCGCAGACGCATCATTATCCCCTCAAGAAGAGAGATAAAGCAGTCACAATGGCTGACTCGAAGGATGTTGCATTGGTCTTTGGAGCCAGTGGTATCTCTGGCTGGGCCGTCACAAATTGCGCTCTCTCTTACCCCACACCCACCACCTTTAGCAGAGTGATCGGCTTGACAAACAAACCATTACCGCTGGAGAAAAGTGGTTTGCCGCATGACCCTCGACTGGAGTTACACTGCGGCGTGAATCTGCGAGGAACTCTGGCCGAGGTGGTTGCCCGATTGCAAGACAAGGTTCCCAACCTAGAAGAGGTCACCCACGTGTATTATCTTGGTGCGTAAGACGCCTGGAAAAAAGCTATGTCATAATCTAACCATACCAGCCTACTCCAATGTAACTGCATGGTCGATGGATGTGATGGCGATCCGAGATGTCAACGTGGAAATGACCTATAACGCGGTGCACGCCGTCGACAACCTGTGCAAGAACCTAAAGTTCTTCGTGCTTCAAACTGGAACAAACGTATATACTTGTTCAGATCAAACTCGAAACTCCCGGCTGACCTTGCACAGAATTACGGAGTCTCTGTCTTTCGCTTCCAGGAACACATCGAGATCAAACCTCCCTTGCGCGAGGATAACCCGCGCATTCCTTCGCCCTGGGGCGACGAGATCTTCTACTATGCGCAGGTCGACCTGGTCAAGGAGGCTAACAAGGGAAAATCCTGGAAATGGTGCGAAGTTCGACCAGATCAGATCGTGGGTGCGTCATCCCTACTCCCTGAGATTTGACGTACGCTGACACTGCCGATGTGCAGGTCACGTCCCAATTCCCACCAGCATGACCTACGTCGAGCCCCTCGCGCTCTACCTAATGCTATACCGTTATGTGAACGGCCACGGAGCCACTCCTGTCTACCCCGGTTCCTACGCGAACTACATCCACTCGCATACACCCTCGTCGCAGGATATCATCGCCCGGTCGGAGCTCTACCTTTCGCTTGAGAAGCCGGATCAGGCGCATGGAGAGTCCTTCAACACAGCCGACAACGCCACACCCGCACCATTTTCCATCATCTGGCCCATGATGTGCGAGTACTTCGGCCTGACTGCCCAAGCTCCTACTCCCGATGTCAAGGGGTGGGCGGACGTCGATAAGTGGTGGATCGCGCACCAGGACGACTACAAAAAGATGTGTGACGAGTACAACCTACGTCCGCGCGAGATCCCCGCGGCGACATGGATCTTCCTGGCGGCAGGAATGAGCTTCCTGGCCCGCGACCGCGATCTGAGCTTGGATAAGATCCGGAGCGTGGGGTTCACGGAGGAGTACCCGGTGGCGTATGGGTATCTTCGGGTGTTTGCTCGACTGGCGCAGGAGAGGATTATTCTTAGCACGGAGGCTTGGTCGAAGTAGGTCGGTGGCAAGATGTGAGAACGAGCATGACCGCAGCTTATACATGTACACTGGTGTTAGTGATCCCGCTAATGGGCACACGCTTACGGCTTTTGTATGGTTTGGATTTGCATTGCGCTTTATTGTGTGCTTTGCATTCTGAGCCTGTGAAGACAATTGTCCAGTCGAGGCCTTTTCCTTTCGCAGGCCTTCTATACCTGTGCTTCCAGGGTTTCAATCATGATAACCGGTCGAGGGCCTGTTGGTTCGCTATGCCGATCTGTATAATTGGCTTTCGATGACTCTTGCAGGCTTCCTTGCTATCAACCTTTAAAGGCCAGAAACGTAGACAAAGGGCACTAATATATAGCGAGATGTATAGTGAATCTAATAAACTAGAAAGGCTGTACTATTCACTGTTTTTTATATCTAAACCCAACAATTAGTTTCTCTATAAAGTAGTTATAATCCAGATATAATGGGACACCCTGGCTACGCACCCCTATGCATAATATGGGGCCTGCGAGATGTGGCACATTGCTTCACCTACGACGGGTGGGACATACAATTTACAGATAAGGTACAAGTAATTCACATGGATGGCTGGCTTCACTAGTTAAACTAGTTACATGCTAGTGCTTATACACAGCCAGGACTTGACTTGAATAGTGGGTATTCGGTGTGGACCTTCGGACCAATCCTTATGATTTATGTACTGGGTGGGAGGTGTCTTGATACCATGGGAGTGGACTTAAGACTGCTAGCTATGGCTCTTTAGCAACCCCTTTTGAGCACATATGGGAAGTATCAAGGGCCTCTCGATTCCAAAAGATCTTCCGTCGATGGCACAATGACCGTCCAGGGAGATTCGGAGGTTCTTTTTCTGCTGTATTGCTTACTTAGTCTACAAATAACACGCGCGGCAGGGACAGCCACCTCAACTGCTCGAAGCCTTCTCTGCCTCCAACCTCTCCAAGTAAAAGTCGACCACATCCTTGACCGCATCCTCAAACGGCCGGAACGTCATCCCCAAAGTCTTCTCCGTCTCACTGGAATCGTACGCGATCGGCAGCGTCGGCAGTGTGGCCCGCGTGAGGACGCCAGCCGCCACGGCGGCCGAGTACTCTTTCTCCACGACGCGCCACACGTCCGCGTAATCGACCAAGGCGCAGGCCCCGAAACTGGATGGAGTCTGCGCGTCGGGCTCCCGCTGCAACACCCGCATATACAACTCCGCCAGATCATCGATGTGAACGTAGCCCCCATGGATGGGGACGGGGCAGTCGATCCCCTTCACGCTGCGCAACAGGATCCCAGGTGAGCTGTCCTTGGTGACCGCTGCATCGGCGCTGAGGACCCGCTCGTCGCGCCCGTAGACGTAGCCGGGGGCCACTGTGGCCACGGAGAAAGGCGGTTTCTCGCGCTCGACGAACGAGTCCGTGTCGTTGAGCTCGGTGATCTTGGCGAGAACGTAGGCCTCAAAGACGTTGGAGAAAGTCTCGGGGGTCCCGGGCAGGGTGATGCGGGAGGCTGCGCTGACGGTGACGAAGGGATCGGGCATGGGAGCCATGTTGGCCACGATCGACGAGGTGATCACGACCCGCGTGAGGGTGCGCACGCTCAGGGCAGACTTCAGCAGGTTGGCAATTCCTTCCACCGTGGGCTTCCAGACTTGTGTGAGAGGGTCGAATCCAGGCACGGGCAGCGGAGCGCCGGTGTGGATCACGAATGACACATCTTGCAGTGCGGTCGTGAATGCATGCTCCGCAAGGATATCCGGGACAAGGATGGAGGTCAGTCGGTCGCCGGGATTGAGCTTTTGGATCACTGGGTTGGCGAAGATGGTTTGCGCTTTTGCCTCGGAGCGCACGGTGATTCTGATGTTGTAGTCGCTCTTGAGAAGGAGCTCTTGAAGGACGCGGAAGCCAATTAGGCCGGTGGCACCCGTGAGAAGGACAAGGGGGGGCATAATGTGGTGGGGAAAGAGAAAAGTGAGTGAGAAAAAAGATTGAATTGGTCAAGTGTGAGATAATGAATCCAACAGAAACTGAGATTCGGCGCAAGAAACCATTTATCCTCGATCCACGGCAGCATTAGGTGGGCAGGTGCCTTGTAGCTAGAGCGTCAGCCTCAGCCTCTTTGTTTCTCAGGAGGGGTAGTACCACTAATACAATTAGCGTCGTCTTGTTCTGGCTCGATTGTGTGTTTTATGGAGATCATTGTCCGATCAAACATTGGCAGTTCCCCCGCCATGTGGAGCTTCATTTGGCGCTAATTCGGAGACCGTTTATGATGAACATGGGTCTGCTGCACGACCATGTTGGCCTTTTTCATCAGCCACAATGCCAAGTTATGGGTCGTGCTGAGTGCAACACCCCTCGAATGATATTGTATAGCGAGGTAGACAGCGTACATAATGGGGCCACAAGGATTCTTCGGCTCAGACTCCGAAAACACCACAACACCGTCTCTGCAGGTAGGGTGTGCGACTCGGCTACGTCTAAATCTATCAAGACAAGGATCGACCGCGAATCATTGGCAGGCAGTGTCTAATTACAGGGAAGAGATATGAAGAGAAAGAAGAAGTAGAAAGTTTAGGAATAGTGTGAGCTTGGGGCGAAGGATGCGTCTAATGTATATCAATATACGGGTGCTCCACCAGAGAATTTATCTTTGACCTTAACATTTGCGGATGGACCTTTCTAATTGAAAAGCTATGTGAACATGATCCCGCCAGTTTTGTCTTCCAGTCGTGGAAGAAAGCAACAACTGCTACGTCTGCTTTATGAAGGCGCAGATGCTTCCAATGCCCTTGTTGGGGGCCGTGGGTTCCCAACTCCGAGATGCGAAACAACAGCCCTTCTGGAAATCGATTTCCCTGATTGAAGTTTGATCGCCGTAAATTGGATTGCATAAATGTGTCTCGTCTCAAAACCCCCATCTCTACTTCTGTCAGCCTCTGTAACCCAAGATCGTAAATGCGGGGTGCCAGTACATGGCTACCTAGTCGTGCGGTCGAGTCAACGAAATAGGGCAGCCGTACCCTTCACCTCTCATTACGTTTGGACCCAACAATTACTAGTACTCCTCCATGAAGTATGAGATGGATGTGATGGGACACCTTGGCTACGCACCCCTATGCACCAGGCTTAATGTGGTAATCCCAAGGGAATCGATTTCCGGGCGGGCATGCATGCATGCATGCATCTACCCTCCCTCGCTTGACCCCCCCCGGCCAGCGATGGGGACGAATCGGATCTCTCAGTTCTGAAGTTCCGAGGACTAGGATGGCTCTCCTGCATATCTCACAGAAAAGAAAAACGAAATGAAGGCCACACCCTCGCCCACTGGCATTTCCGACTACGAGTAACTACCGAATGACTATCTTCGCGACAGAATAAATCCATATTGATAGGCGTCAGGACTGTAACCCAGCCCACCTCCTTACATCCCACGCCTCCACACGCTCACCCAATCCGTGCCATTGCCCATCGCATGCGACCGTTCCGCCTTCCAATGAGCGATTCTGGAGAACCCGACTGACCGAGCATTTTCTTCGCCAATTCCAAGCGAGGGGCTTCCGTCGACGTCATAGGTGATCTCCTGCCCAGGATGGCCTAGGTGTGCCAGATACACCGATGATGGAGAGGCATAGGGCGGGCCCCCCGCGGATAACTTCTTGGTGGTGGGGAACTCGACGCAGACGATCAGGCTTTCAGGGTGCGTGGAAAGCAGTTCCCAGTATCGCTTGGCCCAGGCAGAGCGAAGATCTGGACTGAGGGCGCAGAAGAACTGTTTTTTTCCTGTCAGTAATAAGATACAATGTGTGAAGAATATCATAAGATCCGATGCAAGTAGCACGCTATGGAGCTTGCTGGTTGCGACATCACATTGACCTGCAGCAACCCGGAGGAAAGAAAACCCAAATCTAACGTCAAAGGAACTGGGGTTGTGGGGAAGGAACACGGGTATAACCTTACGGTATAGTCGTAGATGAAGTCAAATTTGTCATGGCCATCCGCTTGGGTTATCCAGTCATCTGAGAAAAAGTCTCCTAGGACAAATCTGGCCTTGCCACGGCCACTACTCTCATCATGGACGGGATAATCAGCCAAGTGTTCGTCCGCCCAGGCCCTTGCCGCGTCCACGGCCTTGCTTGACACTTCGAGGCCATAGGCGTCATAGCCTAGGCTGGACAGGAGAAGGACATCGTAGCCACGCCCGCAGCCGGGGACCAAGGCACGCTTCCGACGCCGTTCCCCTGTCTCGTCTTCGATGAAGGCAGAGACACCCAAGAGATCCTGACGGGTGCCAAACAGGTCCACGAGCGCTGGGTTAGGAATTCCCTGGTCCCAGGGCAGGAAGTCACCCGCATCCCACAAGGCCGCCCAACGGTCGTTGGCGGGGGGTCCCTCACCACTGAAATGCTTGAATAGTCGAGAGGTGTTTTCTTGAGTAAGAGGGGTACCAGCTTGCGTCATTTTGATATGAGAAGGAAGAAGGAAAAGGTGGTTGTATGTCTGGATTATCACTCTGTTGCTTCGTGGTTCGGTGTCGGTTCTTGATGCCGACGAAGATAGGTGACGGGTCAAAAAGAGCCAACTTATATGTCTAAAAGACACCCTGGCTATCAACGGACCTCGGATATTCACATCATTCGTAGTCTCTAGAAGTGGGATATCCTTGGACGGCGACTTCGCGCTTCTGGTCCCCGATGATGTCTTCCAATTGACTTTGGGGGCACACCCCAGGGTATCCCAGTCTTGTCGAAGTGCATCTATCTGTTGCAGATCAATGGGAGATCTGATGTAAACCGATCGCCCTATGCCTCCTGAGCCTCTAACGCATGATGTAGAGACACGATCGTCTGACCTCTTTGCCACAGAACAGAGTCAATATTTCTGCAAGTGCCCATATCAAGTGAGAATCGCCACCGTTGATTCAGCAAAGGTAGCCGGAAGTGAGAGACCGTAAACTCTTTTCAGACTACCCCGCGGTGTGGTGGCCACCTACCAGTGGTTGCTGACATCACTGGGCGAGTTGTTGGCTATATAGAGCGAGAGATGGAGCCAGGCCTGATGTCAAGCTCAAAGATCCTAGTCGTTTCCACTCAGCCTCCCTTGTCTGTGCACCAGATTCTGCATCTTTGTGCATGTCTCTAAATCTCCACTTTCGATCTGCTGAAGAGAGAGATTCTAAGAATGGAAGAACCAATCGACATCATTCCCTATGATGCTGACGCATTGAGGGAGAAGGAATATCCAATGCTCCAAGGTACACACACACAATTGTCATGGCTCCCTATGCCCCACTCGTGGACTAATGTACCTGTATAGACGAGACATACCTGGATCATACCGGTACCACTCTCTATGCGCAGTCTGCTTTGACGTGCTTCATGGACGAAATGTCGAGCAATCTATTTGGAAACCCCCACTCCGATTCACGATCCTCCCGGCTATCAACCGAAAGGGTCGATGAGATCAGGAGGCAAACATTGGAATTCTTCCATGCCGATCCGGAGCATTTTGATCTGGTCTTTGTTATGAACGCCACCGCGGCTATCAAATTGGTTCTCGAGGGTCTCACTCATCTGCCCGTCTCCGATGGCCCTGAGAAAACGCTCAAGGGGCCCGGACTCTGGGTGGGGTACCATGTCGAGTCTCACACAAGCGTTGTGGGACTGCGTGAGCTGGCTGATGCCGGGCAGCACTGCTTCATGTCGGATAGCGAAGTCGAGGCCTGGATCCGGCCAAGTCCCGTCCGGGACAAGACCGATCGATGTCCAGGACAAACCTCGAAAACATTCCAGGTTCGTATCTTGGCGTATCCAGGACAATCGAATATGACCGGACGACGGCTCCCTCTTCATTGGCCTGGCCGTCTCCGACAATCGGAATACGCCTCTCACCAGAGGGTCTTCACCCTGCTGGATGCTGCTGCACTCGCTCCCACTGCGTCTCTGGACTGCTTCCGGGACCCTGATGGAGCCCCCGATTTTACCGCCGTCAGCTTCTATAAGATCTTCGGATTTCCCGACCTGGGAGGGCTGATTGTGCGTAAGGGATCTGCCCAGGCTCTCGTGCAGAGACCCTACTTTGGCGGAGGCACGGTTGAGATGGTGACTTGCTCTGACCATCCCTGGCATTCCAGGAACCCATCCTACATCCACGAGATACTTGAGGATGGCATAGTCCCCTTTCATAGCATCCTGGCTTTGGGGTGCGCTCTGACAACCCACAAGCAGCTGTATACTTCTCAGGAGCACGTCTCACACCATACCACCCGGCTTACAGCACACCTCTACCAGCTGCTCTCCTCCCTTCGCCACCCTAACGGTGTCAAAGTGTGCGAGATCTACCGAGACCCAGCGGCGGAGTACGGCAACAGTACGACCCAGGGGTCCATCGTCGCCTTCAACATCTGCTCCGACGAAGGGCGATGGCTCCGGCTCTCGCACATTGAAGAGGCGGCCAACGAGCACCGCATCCACCTCCGCACAGGCTCAGTCTGCAACCCCGGCGGACTCGCAAAGCTCCTCCAGCTGGATGAATGGGAGTTGTTCCAAAACTACACAGCGGGGGTACGTTGCGGCTGTCGCAGCGTGCTTGTGGGGCACAAGCCTTCGGGCATCATCCGCGTGAGCCTGGGGGCGATGAGCACCGTGAACGACGTCGAGCATTTTGTAGGGTTCGTGCACCATCTGTTCGGAGCAGGCGCCTTTCCTCTGCTGGTGCCAACGTCCCCGTCCAATCCTCCTACTTCCCAGCACCTTCATGTGCATACCCTGATGATTTATCCGATCCACGGCGCTGCCGCATACACAATCCCCGCGCATCAGTCGTGGCATCTCACCTCGACAGGGCTGCAGTGGGACCGACAATGGTGCCTGGTCAACCTGCAGACAGGCTCCGCCCTCGACCAACGCCATGCGCCGCGTCTCCTACTCCTCCAACCGATGATAGACGCCGTGCACGGCATCCTGCGCATTACCGTGCACCACTCGCTGCGCCGGCGCAACCCCAAACTACGGCAGTCGATGACTGTGCCTTTACATGACCCGGGGCGAGATGTCCAGGTACCCAAAGGCAATCTCTATCAGTGCCAGGCAACCAGCCTCGGCAAGCTCCATGGCCCTGAGGACGGCACCGGCCTGCTCCGGCTGTTCCACTCACCAGATCTGGTCGCTTTCTTCACCGCGGCGCTCGGCGTCCCGTGCACGATGGCCCGATTCCTCGACCCAGCGGACTGTATTTCTCCCGCATGGAGAACGCTCCCCGAACAGCAGCCGATGGCGGAGGTCCATGTCTCGCCATCCGATCAACCGCTTCTGTCGCTGCCGCCCGAACAGACCCAGACTATTCCGCATGAGGAGTCGCAAGATGGGCAGCCATCACGTCGTTCCCTCCCAGTGGCCCTGACCGAGACACTGCGTGCCAATGCCCTGCTGGCTTCGGATACTGCTACTGCTGCTACTCCTGACAACCGTCAGTGGTGTCTGTTACAGTTCGGGCCCCGAGAGCAGCAGGCGCAAGCGAGCATCGTCCAGTTTGGACGGATGAAAGCGGTGGCTATCACGGCGGAGCGACAGAGCCCGGAGATCTTTGAGCGGACGAGTCCAGTGGTGAAGATAGTGTGGAGAGAGGGGAACGAAGGAACGCTTTCAGTGCGTGCAGGACAACCGTTGGTACTACGGGAGTGAACCGTTCGGTTGCTTCTAAGCCCTAATGATTTGAGCACTCTGAAGTAGTGCTGCGGAGAGCTGGGATAGTTGTCAAAGCCAGGATAAGCCCTTCACAGATCAAACAGTTGACAGTGGTTGTGGTCTCGCTCTCTAGGCACCATTCACTCACTTTGAGTTGTAGAAGCTGGACTCATTTTCTTGCATGTGTATTTTTGAAGGCATTGTGCCAGTGTTAGGTTTTGCAGTTTTCGTTCTCGATTCCATGAAGATCATCTGCTGTTGGCTTTCCATATATGCTTCTCTCTGATTCCGGTTGCCGATAGGAGAAAGAGTTGGGCAAAAAATCTGATAGATGGGCTAAGAAACGTGTAAAAAAGACATAATACACAGTTCCGCTTCTGATATTGTATTAGCACGAAGTACAACACCAACAGATGTACAGATGTACCAGATGTACAAGCAAGCTGGGAGAGTGGTAAGAAACCTCGCCACTCGAACTTTCCAGACTCGCTGCTTAGCGATAAGAGCAGAGTTTCTGCCTGAGTCATCAAGGGCCCACAAACCGTGCTAGCGCGAACCCCCAGATATCGCTATCATCACGTGCTGCGCCACCGGCTGAATCTCCCATCGCCGGATAAGAAACTCGTCTCCCCGTCACCACTGCACCTTCGCTTCATCGTCACCTACACATCCAGCACCAACACCCCAAAATGACAGACACGCAAGACCCCAGCGCCGCAGCCGCAGCCCCGCCAGCACCTCTCTTCAAAAAGCGCGGCGCCAAAGCCCAAACGAACCTGCGCAAGAAACGCGCCGCCACGCCGCCCTCCGCCTCCTCCGGCGCCTCCTCCGACTCCGACTTCTCCTCCGACGAAACCACGCACATCAAGCGCCGCAAGAAGAACGCCGGCGTCGTGAGCGCCTCCTCGGCCGCGCGCAGCGCCATTCCCCTCAACGAATTGCCTTCTGCATCCACAAGCACAAGCACCGCGCCTCCGCTCCTCCCCGACACGAACGACGCAACCAAACAATCCAACTGGTACGACGAGACCGACTCCACCAGCACCACCAGCGCCGCAAACCTCCTCGGCAAGACCCGCCACCCCCCGTCCTCCCTCATCACCACCTCCGATCAGCCCGATGGAACCTACAAGGGCCTCGCGCACCAGACGCAACAGACCTTCATCAAACGCAACCCGGACGCGCCCACCAAAAAGGCCGTGGGGCCCGTGCGCGCGCCCACCAACGTGCGCATGACCACCTTCACGGACTACGCGCCGGACGTGTGCAAGGACTACAAGCTGACGGGGTGGTGTGGGTTCGGCGACAACTGCAAGTTCCTGCACGACCGGTCGGACTACAAGGCCGGGTGGGAGTTGGACAAGGAGTGGGAGACCGTCACGAAGGGGAAGAAGGTGGTCGGTACGGTGGTGTCGGATCGGGCGCGCGGAGATGCTGGGGCGGGCGGGAAAGATTTGGACGATGAGGATGCCGAGTTGGAGGAGATTCCGTTTGCGTGTATCATCTGTCAGCGACCGTATACGGAGCCGATTGTGACGAAGTGCGGGCATTATTTCTGTGAGGCGTGCGCGTTGAAGCGGTATCGGAAGGATCCGAGTTGCGCGGCGTGCGGGGCGGCGACGAATGGGGTGTTTAATTCGTCGAAGAAGTTGAGGAGGTTGTTGGAGAGGAAGGCGGAGAAGCAGGCGCAACGGAGGAGGGAGGCGGAGGAGAATGGGGAGGTGTTGAGTGAGGATGAGGAGGAAGAGGAGGAGGATGAGTAGAGGATGGGTTATATGATATCCATATATGTATAGAGATTAGGATATTGTCTTAATATAGTCGAAGTCCACCAACGTTCATAGTAACGTTGGGCATGCCACTTAAGCAGCCTACCTCATAAACATCAAACAGTATACTACCAGGTCTAGTGTAGATAACTTCCCCCCGTCTCCTCATGGATCACATCGAACAGCGGCTTCGCACTGAAATACCCCGACCCGGGCCTCCCCACGGTCTTGTATGTGAATGCTGCATCGGCATCATCGATCTTGATCGTCGCCCCGCCGCGCCCCGCCGCCGCCGCATCGGCCAACAGCTGCGCATGGCAGCACTTCTCCAGACTGACGAACCAGAAGACCGTCGCCTCGATGCTCGTGCCCACGGTCAACAGCCCGTGATTCTGCAGCAGCGCCGCCTTCTTGTTCCCCAGCGCCTTCGCAATGTTGTGTCCTTCGTCCTCCGACAGCACGACCCCGTTGAATTGTTTGTAGACGACGTGATCCTGTGATCAGACATTGCATTAGCCTGAGTCCCGGAGACACATAGCGAATTAAGGCAAGCTCATACGTTGTAGAATGCGCACGCGTCCTGCGTGATGATATCCAACGGCCGACCGAGGGCGCAGAACGAGCGCCCGTAGATGCTGTGGCTGTGCGCAGCGCACAGGACATCGGGCCGGGCAGCATGAATTGCGGAATGGATCATGAATGCGGCAGCGTTGAGGAGGCGAACGGGCCCCCCGTCGAGGATCCTGCCTTCGTGGCTGACCTGGATCAGGTCGGAGGCTTTGATCTGCGAGAAGGCGACGCCGAACGGGTTCACCCAGAAAGTGGTGGGGTCGACAGGGTCGCGGAGGGTGATGTGGCCGGCCACGCCTGCAAGGAGATCAGTCTTGATGGCGGGAGAAGAAAGACGCAGAGGGTAGGGAAGTTAATAGGTAAAGAAACATTACCCTCATCGTATCCATTCTTTCCAAAGATGCGGAACGCAGCTGCTAGTCGGCCTTTGAGATACTCTCGTTCCTTGTATTTATCTTCGAACACAGGGGGCTTAGGAAATTGGGAGGTCTCATTCTTCACTGCTGCCGCTTCCATACCGTCCTCTTGAGAGGATTGGCGGGTTTGGAGGGTGACTTGGGACGTTTGGGTGGTGGATGTCTCGGTTGAGCTGGGAGGTGCCATGGTGAGTGTGTACTTAGGGATGGTAGAGAAAAAAAAAGATTTGGTTGTTTGCGCGGATGTAATGCAATGAAGTGGTAATTCGAAGTTAAGGAGGCAGGCCTAGATTATATGCTTATGCAATGACACCTCACGCGCGCCCTTGGATTGACTACCGGAGTATGGTGTGCTGCTGCCGCCATAGGCGGGGTAGTATAACCGATAATGGGCTGCGACCGAGGCTACTCCGCGTCGGATTCCTGGATCGAGTGCGGAGAATTGTCTCCACTGGACGCTTGGGGCGAGGCCATGGTTGATCAATGCTTATCATTCAGTTCGAGGTCTAACGTGGCGAAGGTTGGCAAATTTTCCCAGGGCAAGGCAGTATTTCTGAAGCCCAAGATTGTAAACTGGTTCTATGTAAAGCTCTTCATGGTAGGCGTTATAGTCGGACGAGATCGAGGGCACAGCAATGAGAGATGTGCAATCGCTGTTATCTTCGATATATACAACCCGATGAAAGAAAGCGCGAGATAGGAAGGTGGAGGTCAAATCCATGATCCATGATCCATGATAAGGGAGCACAAGGCCCACACCGGCGGCTCCCAATCACATCCGCTAGAATGGTAATCGCGCCCAGGGTAAACTGCGCGACTTTACCTCGAGCCTCTCGTACGGTTTCCGATCGCTCTGGCTTCTGCTTCTGATCCCCTGTTTGACTGTAGGGATGCCGATCAGCGGCTTCAGGTCGGCCTCGCAGACCGTATCAGACAGTGGCAGCTCCCCCGTTTGGAAATACTTCCGGATCGCCTGGTCGACACAACGCGAGGGGGCAGCTAAAGTAGAATGCTGTGCTTTTCAGTCTCTATCCACCCTCTGAGTTGTGGATTTGCGACTTGCACTTACTCCTTCCGAGTCCTGCTGAAGTACGACAGAGCCAGGAAACCTCTGCGACATTTTCTGAGCACTATGCAACTTCAGTAAGAGTCGTAACGAGGCAAGGGGCACTCTCACCTGCGCATAGGTGTCACGGGGTCTAGCATGTTGTTTACAAGAAGTAGTGGGTGGGACGTATTGCCTCCTACGGGTCCTATGCGACATTAGACCAGTGGAGAAGATGCATGCAACAGTAGGACGTACCTTTGAGTTGCCATTTGGGTGAAATATTCCACCCCACGCATCCCATGCGGAGACTAGCCCAGTAATCTGCAATCATGGAACTATCCTCTTTCAGTGCCTTCCAATATCGATGGAAGTCCTCTTCATCCGTATTCTGCAGGTAGACTGCGTCCGTACATAGCACCGCTGAGCTGGCATATGCCTCATTCTGACCCGGCACCTGGCAAACTGCTGACCATGGCCCGGCTTGAACACACTGATCAGAAGGACACGAGGGAGCGCGAGCGCTGCTCTTCATATCCGCCACTCCCGATCCATCTCCTCGAGTCAAATCACTTGCAAACTGGGCAAGAGGTGGGAAGCCCTCTATGGGCTGGTACATGGCCAGGCGCAAGATGTTTTTCAGGTCGCTCCAAGTGACAAGTTCCGGACCTCGAGTGGGAGATGCTATGACGGGCAGTGACGCATTATACAATGTATCCTCCAGATCAAGATACGCTTGCTTGATAGCTAGTGCTCCACCGGAGGTATAGAATGGACATTGTTCTGGTCCAGCCGTGTCGCAGTACTGCGCAAACCGATCGAAGATAGCATCGGCATCTTCGATGGCACTGAGGCCATCATCAAAATAGTATTTGTCCGCGTCGACCACCGCATCCAGCACAGCACGTTCTACGCGATCGGGGAATAGTGTGGCGAATGTCGCGCCTAAGACAGTCCCGTAGGATCGGCCCCAATATAGCAATTTTTCTCGGCCTCGATTCCACTTCGTCCGAGCCACAAGCTTCTGGTGCTGGTCGTAGCCATCGATTCGATCCTGCTGTCGCTGTGCTTCTGCGCCTTCTTTCTCACGCCACTCCCCATGCCGCTCAATAACTTCCAACATGTCGCGAGCGACCGGAAGCGTGTTCATGTGTTCTCCCAAGGCCTCATCTCCATTTTCAAACGGAGTAGACAGGTTAATCGAGCATCCCATGTTAAGAGCGACCGAGCGCTCCCAGTTGCGGCGAAATGCGCCGTCGGCGCTTCCCAGCATGCCGTCGGCCGCCACCTGTAACTCCCAATTCCTTTGCGCGAATATGTTCGGAAAGCAACTGAAGCCCGGTGTCGTATTGTTCACCCCGCGAGGATCAAATCCGATCACATCGTAGTACTTGTCGCGAACGCTGTCTCCGAGCGATTCAACATTGGGATCTGCCTCTGCATCCATAGTGGCTTGCAAATTTCTCCCATCTATGAGCACTTCAGCGACTCCCGAACCACCAGGGCCTCCTGCATTCGCCATAATCAGCCTATGTGTCAAGGGTTGTAGAGGAAAGAGCATACCTGGGTTGACCAGTACCGCACCGCCGTAGCGTGGGTCTGCTACTGACACCTTGGCCGGAAGACGAGTGATGGCAATCGCAAAGCGCTGGCCGAGACCATCCGAGCGGTGGTAATCCATGGGCACCTCCAAACGGGCGCACTGGAGCCCATCGAAGCAATCATGATACTGCAGCGATGCGGATGGTGTGATCTAAATCTTTCGTTAGCGTCTGATTCATACCAGCTTGTGCGGATCTATGTACCTTACTCCACGTAAATTCTGATTGTGAATGCTCCATGGTTGTGTTGCTGCGCGTCGACACAGGTAGAACCCACCATGCATACCCAGCGACGCACACTAGTAACACCCATAGAGAGCTGGCGATGCGCAACCGTGCAGTTACATTGGCCCTCGTTGACAGAAGCCACTGGTTCGGAGGGGTTGCGATGCCGGCAGTTTTGAGACGTTCCATCGGTCGCACTAGCCTGTAAGACCTGGAGACAACCACGACCTCATTATCGAGCACAACCGGCGGGACAGGAGGGTCCCGCTAGATAAAGGCGCAGTCGACATGGCCGTTGGCTGAGAGACTGCTGGCTAGGGTGCAAACTTCATCCGGTTCCCTGTTGAGGGTTGAAGCAAGCCACTATCTAACTTGTCATCTGCAGTTTTCAAAGCGGGCCCACAAATGGAGAGCGAGAGATTTCCAATCATGGCCAGAAATGGGAGAGATCAGCTGTTAGGATTGGGTTGAAATGTGCATCCAACATAAGCCGCTATCGTCGATTGCAGCTCAGGTGGATTCCAGTTTCTTTCAGTCATTCGCTAGTTGCTCCCTCGCATTCAGTTTGTGCTGGTGCATAGCATGGCCAGGCTACCACTCCGAGCCGTCTATTTGCGCTTCCCCCCAATAACGGGTCGACCAGCTTTATCTGTCCGATAACCATCCGGGGAGTGAGTCACATTAGGGGAATCGTCCGAAGTACGAATGTGCGCTGTCAAAGTTTGTCCATGAAGGACGCTCATAGACGTTCTTGGCTCGGTTTGCTACACTCTGCGGATTATTGTCCCTTGCGGCGATGTGTTATACAAGTTCTGAGTTCACTACAGGTAGCATCGACTTTGATCGGCCTCTTGGCGAAGGCCAAGGGATTCAATACCCTAAATTGAGTCCCATGGTCGCTGACAAAATCGTCAGCTTTTGAGAGCCAGCTCCTTCACCACAGGAATACCGTGTTCCACTGTTTGCTGAGACGAATGAGATTTTCAGGTATAGCCCCAAGCTGATACTATATCTGTGGCAAATGTCTTGGAAAATTTCGCGCAAATTGGTGCTTTATCTGCAACGCGCCACAATGTCTCTCATTTGTGTTTCGAGCGATCCATCTACTGGTGATATTTCATAGCGAGAACGTGCGAAAGCAAAGCTACGCCAGCTTCCGCGGGTCAAGTCGAGGTGAGTCTCCTACCTGTTGGAGACGTTTGTCAAGGTAGATCTTGTGGCATTGTGTAGGTTTCGGGTTTCAAGGCAGTGATAGTCGCTCCATCGTTCGTGATTTGAAGGCGAAGAATTCCGTGCGGTCTGCGCCGTGGCACGTTTGCCAAGGTATCTCGAATGATAAAAGGGTCTCGAAGGCGAGGGGGCACGTCCATCGACTAAATACCTAGACTGTTAGATAGCGATCTACTGATACCCCGGGTGGAAGCGTCTCAATCGTTCCTAGGCCATCACGTGTTGCATAATGATACTTGCGAAAGGGGGGCTGGCTCTGCAGACAATTTGGGCTGGTGTCCGAGGTTAAAGGGCGACCATACTAAGGAGTGCGAGCCAACAGCTATTGCGTTCGTGCCGTCTCAAAGCCGTAGAGATTTCAACTCCATCGCCTCGTCGGTCTCAGATGTGTGACTCGGGCCGGTGGCCATGGTGAGCAGCGTGTCAGGAAGAAAAGTGGCTCTGAAGAGACGAAATCGATGCTTAGCAGACGTCATTGTCGCCGAGTAGCCTAGCACTGCGCAGAGAGGAGAGGGAGGAAGACTTCAATGTGATCCAAAAGTTGCCATTGTCTGCAAACGCGTCGCGACCCCGCGCCAGATCACGTGCTGTCATTCATCTACCTCTTTCTCCATTGGGTAATAGATTCAGACTCGTCGCCATTGACTGCACACCCTGCAGATATCACGAATAGCAACTCAAACATGGTAGGAATCTCGATGGGGGTTAAAACCAACCGCTCAATCACCTCTACATGACCAAACTAGTGTATGCAGATGCACTTGACAAATTGTCTACATTGTCTACGGATACTCCGCAATGACTCCAAGGCTTGCCCCGCACGCACTGCCCGAAACGGCTACCTTATCAGCAATCATGGACCATGGATTCAGTCATCATGGACAGTTACTCCGAGCTATCCGTCTCCAATTGGCAATGATCTGATAACGTGCTGATGTTCGCAGCACAATCCCATAGTCGTCGATCTTCACCAGGATCCGCACGGTCGGAGAGACGCCGCTCCAACTCCCTTGCTGGCAATGACTCCCCCACCGGGCTTCTGTCACATTAGCTGATGCCTTCGGCTCATCCGGTGAATCATCTTTTGTTTCTCTTCGCTCCTCTTCTACAGGTAGCAGGCACAGCACTTTCCACTGCTATTATTGAGCAGATTCCAGTTCACGTAAATTTCTTCTTGATCTAGCTAAGGTGCGGTTAACAGCCAGGAATAAAGGCAATTGGACCATAGCACTTGCCGGGCAGCATTCCGGTACCATCGACATTCTTCGGACCCCGAGTGAACGTTTATTACGGAGAGTATCATTTGACCCTGGATCTCGCGAATAACGTCTGTCATCACGATGGCCCGTTGGCGCCGATATTTCCGATCCCCTGAAAACCACGGGGGGATCCAGGCTTCCCCATCATACCTGGATTGGAAGACGGATGATATCGATATAATGGTGGTGGAGTCCACGCCAGCCACGCAGGATAGCACCGGGGCTGCCAAGATCCAGGCCGCGGAAGCTGTGGGTGGAAGAAAGGGCAGGTATCTGCTCTATGTGGGGTATGTGATAACTTCTCTGGAATGAATAGATTAGGCTTGTGCTGACGGCAACAGGTTGGCAATGATGATGGTCATTTAGTAAGTCTGGTGTACCACCATTGGCGATTATTTGCTAATGCTCTTGCTCCAACTCCGCAGTGAACTGGACAACGCGACCGTCGGAACTTATCGCAACTTTGCAACATCGGACTTTGATGCGCTGTCAAAGCTCGCGACACTAAATACAGCCGCGAGCATCATCTCCGCCGTCACGAAACCGCCAATCGCGAAGATATCCGATGTCCTTGGTCGTGGCGAGGCATATGTCTTCGCTGTCTCCTGTTACCTTTTGTCTTACATCCTTTGTGCTTCTTCTCAATCCTTCGATACCTACGCTGGCGGCTATGTCCTCTACTCTATTGGCCAAGCTGGCACTTCTTTCCTCAACGCCACCATTGTGTCGGATCTCTCTTCAATGCGATGGAGAGGCTTCGCTTACAACATTCTTTATGTTCCCTTTCTGATCACCCCGTGGGTTTCCGCATTCATTGTAGACAGCGTCGTCAATGGCATCGGCTGGAGATGGGGAATCGGCATGTTTGCCATACTGATGCCATTTGGTGCTATTTTCATCATTACCACCCTTCTTATCTTCCAGTGGCGGGCTAAGAAGGCCGGACTGGTTTTGACTGAGCAGCTGAGTATCTATGAGTTTTGCTCCCGCATTGACCTGGGCGGCCTGATGTTGCTCAGTGGGGGCTTTTCTCTGATCTTGATCCCAATAACATTGGCTGCCACCGTTGCAGACAGGTGGAAGGCGCCTTGGGTGGATGCTCTCATTGCCGTGGGCACGATTATCCTGGCGTGCCTCTACCCATATGAGAAACATGTCGCTCGGCATCCTGTTGTCCCAGTCCACTACATCTGGAACCTATCTGTTCTCATCCCCGTGATTTTGGTTGCAGTCGACAACATCAGCTTCGGTGCTACACACACTTACTTGTACGTCTGGTCAATGGTCTCCCACAATTTCAATGCGCGGGATGCGCAATTCCTGTACTATGTCAATGGGGTCATGCAAGCTTTGGTAGGTATGGCGACAGGGCTGGTTATGTATCGCCTGCGCTCTTACAAGTGGATCGGCGTGGCAGGTGCAGTGATTCGCATGGTCGGATATGGGGTTATGGTCCGCCTACGCACGAACAAAAGCTCGGTCGCAGAGCTTGTTATTGTGCAGCTCGTCCAGGGCATCGGCAGTGGCATCATCGAGACAGTGGCTGTCGTGGCCGCTCAGATCGCCGTTTCCCATGCCGAGATGGCCCAGGTCACGTCGCTGGTCATGCTGGCTGCCTACCTTGGCAACGGCATCGGATCTTCCATCGCAGGTGGGATTTACTCGGGCGAACTACGCCACCAGCTCCGGTTGCACCTTGGGCCTGATGTGAACCAGGCCGAGGTGGAAAAGCTGTATAATTCGATCACGGGTACATTGCCGGCCTGGGGGTCCCTTGAGCGGATGGCAATCAATCGAGCTGTGAGTGTTGCGTATCCCTACTACCAGAACCCGACCACGTCTTGCTAACCTTGGGTAGTATTCTGATGTCATGGGGTTTGTCTTCTCACTGAACTCATGCATGATTTACACTAACCATGGCAGGCTTATAACGATCGCGGCTCTGGCATTCTCTGCCCCAGTCGTAATCTTATCGCTGGTGCTGCCAAACAAGAAGCTTGGGTACGTCCACCTACTCAGATCCGTAATTCGCGGCTAATGATGTTTCAGGGACGGACACAATTTGATGCAGGGGAAAGGAAGCTCTACCTCTTCCGACTCGTCAACCCTGAATGAGGAAAAGACGCGGCATGCTTGAACCGAAATAATATACTAGGATTGTGCTTGAATTATACATTATATACACTGCCACATTTTCCCGCTAGACTGTACAAATCTGACCTTTTTGTCAATCCATACACATCTCATGCTCTATTTCCCAGGGGACCCCAACAGACACACGAACTTCCGATCCGGCGTGTCATCCAGCGCGTTCTTCACCAGATTCCACACATTCAAATCATAAGCCTCGCCGATGTGCCCCACCGGATCCAGCGGACAGGTATCCTGCACCCACTCGTTCCGCACGCCGTCCTCGTGCACAAACGAGGTACTCGTCGGCGTGACCATCTCATCGAGCCGGGACACAATCACGGTCAAGCTATTGCCACTCTGCACGATAGGCGCCCCGTCATTCAATTGCTCGACCGCCGCCCCGTCGGGACCCAGCTCATCGCACGCGGGACACCCCAGCGTATCCAGCACCTCACCGACGGCCTCGCGGGAGACATTCCCAAACAGATACGCCAGGTTATATAGGCCGATGAAGGTGGTGCCGCGCGTCGGCGGCGCGATCGCCACCACCTTGTCCAGCAGGTCCGCGACCCCGGCCTCGAACTTGGGCACGTACAGCGATTGGAAGGCACCCTCAGAGTGGCCGACCAGGTCGATCTTGTCGGCGCCCGTCTGCGCGTGGACCTCGCGGATGTAGGCGGCGATCTCGACGGCGGACTCGTTGATGCTCCGCAGCCCGCCCAGGAAGGGGAACCCCGCGTACGCGCCGTAGGTCTGCGCGAAGGTGCAGTAGCCCTGCGCCTGCAGCCAGCCCTGCAGGTAGTTCAGGTCCTCGTAGAAGGTGGCGCCCAGCCCGTGCAGCAGGACAACCGGGTTGGGGTGCGCCGTGCTGCGGCAGCTGAAGTCGTTGATGCCGGTGCTGCCTAGGGCGGTGGTTGCGAAGGCGGCGGTGACCGTGGCTAGGAGGGTTGGGAGATGCATTGTCTTTTCCCTTGTGTTTGCGTTTCTTTCTGGTGATAGATGACAACAGCAACCGACGGCCTGTTTGGTGTTTGAGGTAGGGAAACGCACAGCATCAACTAGAGAGACACGATAGAGCCCTCGAGGGAGAAGGGGAACTACGCTCCTTTTCTATCTATCCGGTGCCAATCCCCAGCTGAGCTAGATGAACGACCAAGGCGACCCCCCCCCTCGGAAATGCCAATCCCAGTGACAGACAGCGATGTATCCATGTCTTTTCGCCCACATGGTGCAGAACACGATCTTAATTTTCCTTGGAAGAGGAAGGGGGGCTGATCGCCAGGGACGATTTAGATTAAATATTGAAATTAGTGGAGGCGGATTTTCATTGGCTTTGGCCGGATTGGGACTGGACTGACGGGACGGACATTCGAACTATCGAATCTCGATCCCCTTGGGGGTCCACTATTCGAGAGAAGTTTTTCAGCTGAGATTGAATGTCCATCGTCGATTGTTCCTTGGTCTTGGTTGGTGGCTGGCTGGGAGCTGCATGTCAGCATCGTACTTCGTAGTGAGGGGTCTGTAGGTCGATTTTCCCCCCTTGTCTCCGATTTTGTGTGTTTGGATGAGTGGGTATACTAAGTGCCCTACTGTACTCGTACTCTCTTGGAGATAGCGAAAATCAAACAACGGGGCAACATTGTTATCTGTTGGCACGGTACCTGCCAAGACACGTCGATTGTGGAAATCTCGCCCGCGGCCTCGTGGGAAAAAAAATTTGCTGGGTCCCGCCAACCGCTGGAAAGGGGACATTCACTCTGAAAATCATAATTTTGGTGGGCATTGTTTTCCTTTTGTTTCTGACAGCAAAGCTTAAGGCTCAAGGGTCTTGCTTGACTCTTCCGGCAAGCATGTTTGACATGAGCCGTCTTGCTCCGTCTCCTTCATCTCGATCTACTGTGCAACCTCCAGGAGACTCCTGCATTTTCGCCCGCGTATCAGACGCATTCTGCAGGATTCCACCTATCTTACCCTTTCAGCCGTTCTCCACTTTGCCGCTTCCCTCCCTCGCTATTAATAGTCCCGTGCACAACGATCTGACCAGTGTCTAGCCTATTGTCAGGTGGGTAGCTCTCGATTGCTTGATCTCGTCGAGACATGGCTATTTAGTGGCTGTCTGTCAGGCCGCGGATGCTTTCTCAGTGAAGAGCTTCAGTGTACTCCTACTGAATTTACTGTCATTGTTCAAGTTATTACTTAGATTGATCACTGTGGTAGGACTGGAGTGTAGCAAAATGTATATGACAAGTCTAATAAATTATGTACCATGTAGTGCACAGGATGCGCTGATCGCTGCGGTGGTGTCGGATACAACGAAAGTAAAAGTAAACCGCTCTAGCAATGATGCAACACGAGTCTATCTAGGGGAATATGTATGTGTCGATGCAGCCAGGGAAATCACAAGAAAGGAAGTTTTAAGACTGACGACCAGGACTGCTTACCAGCCGCTGTCAGTGGACGAAGAAAAGGAAGTGAAGAGGGAGGAAGTGAAGATGTAGGCTAGCCTGCATGCGACGACGCAGACAGTCTACTCGGCCGTCTTGGAGGCCTTGGTCCGCAGCTTCATGAGTGCGTACACCAAAGCATACGAACTGATGGCGAACAGCGCCACGATGGCGGCATCGCGCCAGCCGTAGTAGTAGTGCTTGAGGTTGATGCTGACAAGGTAGTCGCTGCCCTTGGTGTACTCGCACACCCGGCAGCCGGACGTGGCGTCGGGATCAACCAGGTTCATGCGGGCACCCATACCCTGCATGAAATCGGCGAGGTATTCCTTGCAGGTTGTGCCGTTTGGGGGGTCGAACAGCGCGAATTCCGACTCCTTACATTTGACGGGGGCATCCCAGGTTGTGAACACCAACAGACTGCCCATCAGGTAGTTGAAAGGATTCATCCAGTAGATCCAGTAGCGCCAGAACTCCTGGATTTGCGCGTACGGCACCAACACACCACAGAAAGATGCGAGGGTACCGATGATAAGAGGGTTGATCAACGAAGCAAAGATGGCGTTCGGGGCGTAGGCAGAAATAAACTGCCCGATACCGGTGTAGACAAACTCGTACATCAACATCACGAAGAATACAGCCCCGGATTTGTTGGAATCAGAGGGGAAGCCCACGGTATAGTACCAACAGACGAAGTACAACACTGCACAGATACAGAGATACGGGATTTCCGAGATGATCAAGCCGGTCACGAATGCAATCCATGAATACATCTTAGACTTCTTCTCTCTTGTGTCGTATATATCACGGCGTTCGAGGAACAGAGGCTGGAGCTGGTTGATGACACCGGGAGCAACGAAGATGAAGTTAAAGATCGTAAACAGTCGGAGCTGTACAGCCCCAACGTGATCGTTGATCATCCAGAACGAGAAACCATTGAACAGAGCCGAACCAACGTGGAGTGCAAGCTTGTTGTTGACATAATCCGTATTGCGGTAGACAGCAACACAAGATCGCTTGGTGACAATCAAGATTTGCTTCCAAAGAGGCATAGCGAATTCGTGGCCATCATCAACGGTACCCGGAGGCTTTGAGGCGGCATCACTAACAATAGAATCAAGCTCGGAGACAGCCTTCGAGTGTTCAGGGGACTCTCGCCAAACTTGATTCCAATCACGACCCTGAGACAAGGCTCCCGAGACGACGTCAATCATATGCTCGGCAGGGTTGGTTTCAGGTGGGCATGGGGCACCATAGCGAGCGAAATAACTCTTGACAGTCTGACCGTTGTCACCAATATCACCGAAGTAGACCATCTTTCCACCTTTGGCCAAAAGCAATAGGGTATCGAATTCGGCGAACAATTGGGCAGAGGGCTGGTGGATGGTCACCAAAACAGCCTGGCCGACGTCGGCAAGCTTCCGCAGGAAACGAACAGTATTGTAAGCTGACTGACCATCCAGACCCGAAGTAGGTTCGTCCAGGAAAATTAGGATACTAGGCTTCGAGACAAGTTCAACACCAATTGTGACACGCTTGCGCTGTTCCACACTCAAACCAGCGCCGACGCGGCCAATCATTGTATCGGCAATATCGTGTAGCTCAAGGAGTTCAATAATAGTCGTAACGTATTTCAATTTCTCCTCAGGCGGCACCTCACGGGGCTGACGGAGTAAAGCGGAGAACTCCAATGCCTCACGGACAGTGGCAAATGGTTCATGGACATCAAGTTGTTCACAGTAACCGGCGGAGCGTTGGAAAGACACAGGCAACGGGCGTCCATCAACCATAATTGAACCCTGAATGGTACCCTCGGTTTTGCGCTGAGCCAGAACATCAAGAAGTGTGGTCTTACCAGCACCTGAGGAACCCATAAGAGCACCCAGCATCCCAGGCTTCACCCAACCGTACACATTATCAAGAAGGACCCGATCACCGGATGGTGTCTTGACAGTGTACTTCAAATCCTTCCAGGTGAACACCGAGGTGTTTCGCACCAGTTGCTTGTCGATATCCTCTTCGCTTTGAGAGCCTTCGTCGCTGGGTGTCTTGCCTTTCTCCATGCCCTGTGCTTCCTCGTCGTTGCGAACGACTTGGTGATGATCCTGGAGCCTTTCCCGAGGAATCAGAAGAGAAGCACCACTCTCACCGGGAGCCTTCCATTTGGTGGTAGCAATGATGGTGGCCACTGCGAACAGAGCCCACCAAGCCCAGAGGATACCGAAGTTCCGCCAAACGTGGCTGTGGCTGTACGACATAGAGGCGAGATACGCATCACCGGTAACATAGGTCTGCCCAGGCACGGCACCCCCAACACCCGCGCAAGACTGATGGCCAGTGCCATCGTAGCCAGCGCCACTGGGAACCAGGTTGGTGCCTACACATGGAATGACTTTGCCATGAAACTCGTTCGAGAGGAGTGCGTCGAATCCGTAGGCCAGAGGGTTGATCCAGTAGATCCAGCCAAACCACGGGTGCATCTGGGGCTTCTTGATCATGTAACCAGTGTACATGATCAATGCTGAGATGAGGAACCCGGATACCTTAGAAGCGCCATCGAAAGTGCTGAATACGGCTCCGCAAGCACGGAACAACGCAGTCATCGTCTGATTATTGTTAGTTAGCGACCGGGACCCCTTTTAGGGGCAGCATAACATACCATGGTGGCAGCGAAAACCAGGATCCAATATGTGAAGAATGCACCAGCCGACATGGTGAGGCCGACCATAAAGTAAACCACAAGAGAGAAGACCGAGATCTGGAACAGAAGAACAGGAATATCGGCTGTGATTTGAGCAATGCAGAATGCAGCCGGGTGGAAGTATGCGAAGCCTTTGTGCTTCACCAAAACAGGGCGACCGTTGAAGGAGTCGGTGACTTCTGCCATTGCAAGCAGACTGTTGTAGAGGAGCGAGAAGAATAGGGCACCTGACTTGACAAAGAGACCACCAGAGTTATTGGGAGCATTATAGAACAGTGATCCAGCAACAAGGGCCTGGATCAAGGTAGAGACCTGCTTAATGATGAAAGTGGCCTTATCACCCCACAGAATCTGATACTGCCGCGCGATACAGGTCTTGACTTGAGTAATAAAATCGACTGTCAAGGGGCTAGACTTGGGCAGCTTCTTGTTCTTCTCCTGAGCGACGGAGATCTTGAAGTCCTCGGTCCGCTCGCGAGCGATATCGGTGTCAGGGTAATTGTACTCAGTATTCATCTGAGCATAGACTGGCGACTTCTCGTACTCGGCAAGAACCATCTCCGCATTACGAGGGAAGCGGTTTTCATACCCGGGTCTGATCTTGCGTTCGGTGGGAACGGTGATACCAGTCAAGTAATCAGCCACGTTCGAACCCTCGCGACAAACGAAGCCAAGATCCTCCATGAATGGGCGCGCTTGTTCCATAGGACCGTAGTAAATCTCTTTACCCTCGTCAAGAACAAGCACTTTATCGAAAAGGTCATAGATACCATTTCCAGCCTGGTAGAGAGTGACGATGGTAGAGAGACCAAGCACGTCTGTCATGGCGCGAATGGCCTTGGTCCACTCAAGGGCAGTACTGGCGTCCAAACCACGGGTGCTGTTATCCCAACAAAACACTGAACCGCGAGTAGCAAGACATTCGATGATGGAAACACGCTTGCGTTCACCACCGGAAACACCTCGAACGTATTCGTTGCCAACCTTAGTGTCGTTCGTGTGGGTAATGCCCATGGATTTCAGCAAGAATTCCTTGGCCTCCTGGCGATAAGCTTCTGCCGACTCGACTCCATTGGGCAAGGTGAAGGGCACCTTGAGA